AGGGGGAAAGGGTGGATGGAGATGTTGAAGTGTCAGAATGCCTGACGACGCCGTGACAGTCACCAAACAGAACTGCACTAACAATTAACTGGTGATGTGGCCCAAGCTCTCGGTCATCTATGCTGATAACCCGCACGGTGACATCCACAGCGCTTGGACGCCTATCCCAGCTCGAGTTGCAGTGTAGTGAGTGTCGTTGATGTATGTACAATCATTGCAAAGATACTTCAAAAAGGAGCCACTCGAACCCTTTATGAGTCAGCTTCAAAGTACCGCTCATTAGAGACTACACATCTCCTTTCTTGCTGTCCTTCCCAGGGCATTCCCCAGCTTTTGGAAGCTTCCATTTGTCTTCCATTGAACAGAAAGCATTCGGAAGTTTATCAACCAATTACCAACTTTCAGACTTCAACGTGCCCGGCGTCGAATGTGACCAGATTTGGGTACACGACAGGTAGGTAGCATAGCATTTGGCTGAAGACTTTACTATTGAGGCTTCTTTGGAATAAAAACAACAACAACGACTCTATCCAGAATGCCAAGACGTCTTGTCCGAAGTGCCTGTATCCCCGTCCCATTCTTTCCCAGCTGGAGAGTTGTCATCACGACACTCGGCGAATCGCAGGTATTTCCCAACTTACACTGTAGATACTGCCGTCTAAGTATTCTAGGTACATGTAGGTGGTACCATCCGACATTCGACTTCCATTAGATTTCCAACTCACTCTTGCTCCCATCCCTTCCCTACAATTTCCTCCTCAGTTCAACTTGTTGCTTCGGTTTCGCTCTTCTTTTTTTCTAATTGTTCTTTTCCCTGATACCACCTCCCCCTCTTCGCGCCTTCTACAAGTGAAATCCGCCTTGCATTTATCCTATCCACCCATCACGGGGCAGTGCACACATATGGACCTAATCTACTAAGCAGCCCGCCCATTCAATCCACCCATAACAGCTCAACACCCCATCGCGGCAGCTGAACGACCGCGACGTCTTATACACCCTCGCTCGTCCACTCTTACTCGCGTCAAGCCATATACGTCATCTTATACCTCGACACGCAGGTACCGTCCCTTTAGACTTTGCTACTACGTATTGCTCGGAGCGACCTCGTCAACCAGTCAGATACCTACTCCTAGGATACGCCAAGAGAACGGAACTTCTTCACACTGGACATCGCGCGTGTGGCCGTTGAACCCCAGGAACCCGCAGCGCTCACCCGACCATCCCCGGTCCCCACTGCTCAGCTCCCATCCGTCATACAAAAACAAAACAATTGCGCATGATTGCTCGCCCGGTCCTTTGATCTACGCCATGGCCAAAAAGGCTCGCCAAAGAATAAGCTATGGTATGTCGCTTTTCGTCTTCATTTCCGTTCGGGCGCAACACAGGGCGCATGGCTAATCACACTCGTACTTTACTGCAGTTCTCGAGCTCCCAAACTCCTCACCTGGTGGCCATCGGCTCGGCGTGAATGGTCTCGCCGTCGATCGCGACAATGCTATTCTGTGAGCATATACCCTCATCCTCGTGTCCCCACCGATATCGATCGAATCCCGTCCATGTACTGATTCAATTGACACGACACAGCTACTCCGGCGGCCGTGACGGCACAGTATGCGCTTGGGACGTCCCTCCCGACTGCATTGTCCCGACTTCCTCCCACTCCGCCGTTGTCGATACCTCGTCCTCGCGCGCCAATGCCAGGCCCAGGCAGACGACCAGATTCCGTTCCCAAACACAAGCGCATACACATTGGATCAACGATCTCGCTTTAGCCCAACAGCATTCCGCCGTGGTGTCTGCCTCGTCCGATCTCCTTGTCAAAGTATGGCGACCCCACGGAAGCGACACCACAGAACCAGCCACCATTGGCCAGCACGCCGATTACGTCAAGTGCGTTGCGACACCGTCACAGTCCACCAACTGGGTAGCCTCGGGTGGCCTCGACCGTAAAATATATCTCTGGGATTTGTCAGGCGCCGGCAAGCGACTAGAGATAGATGTCAGTGGCGAGGAGGTGCGAGAGAAGGGTAGCGTTTATGCCTTGGCCGTCAACCACTCCATCCTCGCCAGCGGTGGTCCCGAGAGCGTGGTTCGCCTATGGGATCCCAAGACGGGCAAGCGCATCACCAAATTCGTCGGTCATACCGACAACATCCGGGCCATTCTGGTCAACTCTTCGGGCGACATGGTCATGACGGCTAGTTCCGACCAGACGGTCAAGGTTTGGAGCGTCACTGCAGGCAGGTGTATGCACACACTCACCATGCACAATGACAGCGTATGGTCTCTGTTTGCCGAAGACCCTGAACTCGGCGTCTTCTACAGCAGTGATCGGTCGGGTTTGGTGGTCAAAACCGATGTGCGAGGCACCTTGGGTGATTTGGACGACGGTCTGTCCTTGGCCGTCGCACAGGAGCATGATGGCGTGAGCAAGGTTGTCGCTTGTGGAAACTCTGTGTGGACGGCGACGTCACGGTCATCGATCAACCGTTGGCAGAGCGTCGACACAACCGCTGACATTCAGCTCCCAGGGGGGTTCCGGCCTCAGAGGGCCTCCGTTGTGTCGACGAGGAGCAGGGAGAGCACTTTCCAGCCTGGACCCCCTATGCCAACAGGGTCACCTACCCCCAAGCGGGAGATTCCGGCCAAGTCCATTTTGCGCATCTCGAACACGGCCTCCTTCCCGCTTGCTCCCAGTCGAGATGGGGCAGAATCGGTTGCAACACATACACGAAAAGGATCTGAAGTAATAACAGACCCCGCGGTAAGCGTAGTCGAGCCGATATACCATCTGCCGGAAGAAACGATTGAGGGCCAGTTTGGCCTGGTTAAGCACCGTCTTCTGAATGACAGGCGGCGGGTCTTAACACTGGACACAGCTGGGGATGTAGTGTTGTGGGATTTGATCAAAGTGAGACCTCGTAGTTTCCCGAACTTTGTGATTGTGAATGTGAACGTGACTTTTGCTGACTGTCTTGTCCTAATTAGTGTAAACCCATCAAGAGTTTTGGAAAGAGACATTTGGAGGATGTAGAACCCGAGGTCAATACCCTAGAGGCCGTGGCTCCATGGTGCTCAATAGACATTAGCTCGGGCAACTTAACAGTGGTCCTAGAGCCATTCAACTGCTTTGACGCCGAGGCGTATGCCGATGAGCTCACGCTCGAAGAGCCCGTGGAGTTTCGGGAAGACCAGAGGAGTATGTTTCATCACCGACTATTGTCACGCTGGATCGTGCTAACCCTTCACAGTAAATCTTGGAAAGTGGATTCTGCGCTATCTCTTTGCAAACCTGATAGATGAAGAGATACGACGCGATGAGGCACACAGACACAAGTTGAACGAAGTATCACAACAACGGGCAGCCGTCGGGAGGGTGAATCCCGCACTATCGATAATAATCCCTCCTCCGCCGGGTGGCATTGACTCGCAGGTTACAACGCCGCGGGCAAATGGCTTCCGGTTCCCTCCTGTGACTCCAGGGTTCGCAATCGGACTCGCTACTCCAGCCTCGCCCATGGGACCAAGAGCGGACTTCGGAACGCCGTTCAGTCCCCTCGACAGGTTTTCGTCCCAACTTTCGAATAGGCCATCTGCAGAACGGCTTGACTATTTTTCAGACGCCATCAATGCACCAGACGGAGACGCAAACAAGACAGCACAAACTCCGGCGCCGGTTGCAGAGTCTCGAGCGTCAGAAGATAAGACCGGAAAGACGTCAACCGAGAACGGAAAAGAGAAGGACAAGGAGAAGGATAAGGACAAGGAAGTTAAGAGCCCCAGCACGCCGTTTGGAAAGAAGTTCCGGATGAACATGTCCTTTGGCGGCAAAAAGCTCGGTCGCTCAGCTTCCAATGCCGTTGCCGATAAGCCAGTCGTAGTAGATGAGAAGGCCGAGGAGTCCGAATCCTCTTCGAACCACGAAAAGGAATTCGCGGATAGCTTCCACGGTGTTATCCAGAAGATTCACAACGAGTACGAGAAGCAGCTAATCGAAAATCCCGACACGGTGGTCGAAACACGCATCTGCCCCAGCCTACCTAACGATACGCCGGTGCTCAAACTGCCCAAGGGCACCAAGGTGATCATCCAGGAGGAGACGTCAGGCGGCTCAGCCGAGCTGTATCGGGGGACTGTGGAGTCTGTGGGCGCCGACGTGGACATTATCGAGCAAAAGGGCCCCCAGTGGCTCGGCGAGGTTTTGTTGCTGAACGTCATTCCACCCAAAGATCCTGTCAAGGTGTCGTTTGTGCTGTACCCGTGGCAGGATACGTTGCCGGCCCTCACGGTGGCGGACGGGAACAATCGCCTGAACGCGAATAGGATGCTGAGGGTGAAGAAGATACTGGCGTACGTGGCAGAGAGGATTGATCCGCCTGCTGACCCGGAGAATCCGGAACCAGACGCGATGAAGCCCGAAGAGTACTTGGAGCTGTACTGCAATGAACAGGTGAGATCTGAATTCCTACTGCGAAACTGGGTGGCGCTTGTGCTGACATGAACCGAAACCACCTAGCTCTTGCCAAACACCATGAGTCTCGCAACCCTTCGCGCACACGTCTGGAAGGGTGGTAATGATATTGTCCTCCATTACAAAGCCAACGGGAAGAAAGAGATTCTGTTCCCGTCGGTGCCATCTCCTAACGTTACCGATGGCAGCCAACGCCAGAGTCAGGACTCCCCATCAGCCGCCGGGACAGCAGCCGGACAGGGACAAGTCGGCCAAGCTGTTGCAGCAGCAGCTTAGGATGATGAAGCTGTCAGGTTGGAGAGTTCATGGACGTCCCTGGAAGGATTTGAGTATTATCCATTCGTGCCGTTACCGCCCTGTTATGATGGATGATTGGACAGTGTATGACTAATTATTCTTGTTGATCTCGGAGTCAGCGTGTTTGTACATGGTGTTGTTGTTTTCTTCTTCCTCTCTATCTCTATTCATGCCGTCCTCTGACGATGTTGGTTATGGATCTGGAGACAGCGCTTGTTGGACTCTTAGCGGGTATTTTTATATAGTACAGTAGGAGTTGTTGTACATAGGGGTGTAACATGACTCCTGTTACTCCCACTGGGGTATCTTGAACTCTATGTCTATGTATGCTGTTCTTCTCGCTCATCCCGTCTGTCTATTCGATGCCCAAGATTAATGACATCGAGCTGATCCCTTTTTCTTTTCTCCTAGACCGTGCAGCAACAACCGTTTTCGCTTTTCCTCAGCAACGCTTCAAACCCAAATTACCACACCCTTCCTTAGAGCGACAACTCCCCACCACTGCTCTTCTTTCTTGTCGTCCCCTCAAAAGCATTGACAACACTCTGATAACTCCCAAGGAAAATCGCTCCTCCGATACTGATCCACATCACTCTTGGCCCAATGCCACTGAAGAACGGCCTGATGCCACTTCCCGTCTTTGTCTTCCCATCCCTCCAAATTGTTTTTATTAGGCTGACTACCCCCTCCCTCCTCTCGCTCAACATGATCCTGGTCTTGAGCACATCCAAAGGCGTCGTCAAGGCCGCCGCAAACCCGCCCGCCAAGCTTCCGTACAATGCGCTCTCGGGGGCACTAACGTCTTTGTCATCTCTACCCGTGGCCGAGTCCCCAAACAGGCCCCGGCCGGTTCGTTGGCGGCGCTCGCGTCCCCATTTCTTGAGCGACTCCCACAGCGGGAACTGCAGCACCGTAAACGGTACCTCCCTCATCACCGTGATGCCCCACCCCCTGTACAGCTCCCTCCACACCCCTGTCAGGCCGATGGTCGAGCGCTGGTGGAGGATGTGCAGCAAGCTGCTCAAGCTCGACCCGCCATGCTGACCCGCTTGCGCCCGCTGCTTGATCACCTCGGTCGGCACGCGGACCGCACAAGCGGCGATCTCGCCCAGACTCGCCGCGATTCCGTGCTGCACCCCCGGACTCAGACCCTTCTTTCCTTTTGTGTCCCCCGTATGTGTTGTTGTCGAACCTGTCATAGAAAGAAACCCCTTGGTGGTCTCATAAGTAACAAAGAAAAAGGCAGCTCCCGGAGCGGAACCGATAACGCAGGAGCCGACGCCGCGGTAGATTCCCCGGAAACCGCCGCTGGCGAAAAAGCCTTGGGCCGATTGGAGACGGGTCTTGAGCGTGTCGAGCGGGAAGAGAGAGAGGTCGACGGTGGTGCCGGCGAGGGCGCCGGCTAGGAGGGCGGTTTGGAAGGGTGGTGGGGAGGATTGGGAGGCCATTGTTTTTCTTTTTCTTTGCGGTTCGTCACGAGGTTACTTGGATTTGTTTGAGGTTGAGGAGGTGTCGAGTAGTCGATGAAGATTGGAGGATTGATTGGACGGAGGTTTAAGTTGCCCAACGGTGGTGCGGCGCGCACAATGGCTGGCTGTACTGGATGTGACTCGATCGGGAAAGTCACGATGTTATCGGTTCGGTTCGGTTCGGTTTTGGGAGGTGCTGATAAGGACTCAATAATGTCGTCCACCTGACAAACCGTCGACCTGAATTCACTGCGAGAAACCAACTGAATATGTCGAATTTCTTCAAGAAGCAATTGGCCTCGAAGAGATTGTCTAGGCAGGTCGACGGTGATTGTCCTGGGCAAGACGGCCGGAGCTATTTTCCCGAGATTTACTTTGCGACGGCGGCATCGGACGGCAGGAACAGGGTCGCATTTCGTGACGCACTATCGATGATGGACCTCCGGCAGGCAAAGGCCGGCGGAACGGTGGGGCCGATTACGCCGTAGTGGGGCCGGTCACAATGCCTTATCAATCGTCAATAACACCGATCATACATTATCACGTGCCTTCCCGAGTAACGTCATGGCATCAACCACAATGTCAAATGCATTGTGATTTCACAGCAATGGGTTCTTCCTTGGACAAAACTCGTACAACTACTCCAACATATATTCGTACACCGTGAAAAAAAGATGTTACCGGTCGGCATGGGGTGACTAAATCACTGGCCGGGACCCGCCATCTCCCAACACCCAGAGCAAATAAAAAACGATGCCCTACGCCCCTCACGCCATAAAGCAAAGAGGGAAATAAGAACGAGGAACGACCATAGTATCGTGGCGTTAAAGGTCATAATCCTCAGGATCATGACCATAAAGACCTAATCGTCTCCGAACACTACCAAAACTCTACACCCCTCAACCCCACCTTACTCGTCATCCTCCTCGTGGTCGTCGGCATACTGCACCCCCATGTCCATGAAAATGGTTCTGCGCCTGGTGTCAGCGCAGGCCACCGCGGCCTCGACGGGTGACAGCATATCGCGCGCAGAGGTCCAGTGGTCTCCGCCCGGCGTATAAGAATTCTTCCTGGGGCTCTCAACCCGAGCCCTGGCCATGCCTGTTTGTTTGTCTCGTTAGTTTTCTTCCATTTCGCTGTACTCATATCACTTGATATGAATATTCTTTTTCCCTTTTTATCTTACCGCTGGCAGCTTCAGCCTCATATGGGCTCATCATCGGATGGTATCCGAACTCGGTGGTGGTGGTGACGACGGGGTTGGGCGCCGGGGATGTCACAGTCCGGGCAATATGGCCGTTACCGGGCTGCGCTTGCAGTCTCGGGGGCGGGAGAGAAGAGAGATCGAAATAGCCGGGCTCGGGAGAGTGGCCAGCTTGGCTAACCCTAGCCGAGGCGCCGGTAGAAGAAGATTGGGACGGCAAAGCAACTTTGCTTCGCTGATACTGCTGCTGATGCTGTGGCGGTCTCGGACGAGATCCAGTCGGGGGGCCCTGGAAAGGGTGACTCGGTCTTCCATGGGGCTTGATGCCCATACATTGATCTCTGGCTGGTGTGTCCCAGTTATGGTCTTGTTCCAAATACCAGTCAGCTCCATTCATTTCCCAAATCATTCAAGGGACGAAACTCACGAAAGCTCGGAGGCTGCTTATACCCATATGGGTTGTTCGGGTTCAGATGACCCTTGAAAACGTCATCTGTAGTCCAATGAGTCAGTCAGCGTCTGTCAACGACAAATCAAACGGTATAGAATTGGTGACCTGTCCTACCTTCGAAAGGAGGTGTCTGCACAGGGGGACGACTCGAAGAGCTCGCCTGGTGTCCCTCGAATGACCGGGAAACTTGGGGCTGGGGAGGGGGTACGGGGGGCGAAGAACGAGACAAAACAGCCTGGTTCAACGATGTTGTGGGCCTCGAACCCGATGCCGACAGGCGCCTGTTGTCCTGAACTTGCCGTTGAGCGGACTTGGGAGGAATGGGAGGAGGGGGCGGCAATGAGGGTCCTGGATGGGAAGAAACCGGCTGGCCCATATGTTGGCTGCCAGAGGGCGACCGAACATCCCTGGGAGGTTGCCTGGCAAGAGGCAGGACAAACCCTCTCGGGGGAGCCTTTTGGTGGAAGTCAGCAGGCCCGGTGCGTGACCGGCTGGGGCGGCCACTGCCGAAGCTCGGTTGGGCGAAAGGGGGGTTGGGAGGGCGGAAGGGCAGGCTCGGCATAGGCGGGAATGGCTCCTCAACAAGCGCGTCAAGGCCACGAGGCCTTTGCGGACGACTGGGCGTCCGGCTTCTCTGGCGAATTGCCAGGGCCGCAGCAGCCAACTGCCGCTCAGGGCCTCGAGCTTGGCCTTGTTGGGCGTCCGGGCGGGGGTCGCTTGTCGCCCTGCCTCGAAAAGTAGGGAAAGGTCCTCCACCTGAAGCTAGTGTCAGCTTTATCACTGGGCCTGGATGATCCTCTAATAGGACGATGTTGATGAAACTTTGAACTTACCGAGAATTCCATCCATGTCTTCGATCTCCTGCAAGACCGCGGCGCGCGACGGGGCGCTCATCTCTGCATATCATGTTAGCTTCCAGGAGGATGAAGTCGGAATTGTGAAGAGTAGCGTGTGATGACGCTGAGCATCAGGCTCGATTGATCTGTCGATAATCAAGAAAGAGAATCTCGAGCCGGCTTCTATTGCTTCTGATATTCGCCCCTGCTGCAACGGGCTGTTGCTTACCTTGATTGGGTGGTGCCATTCTGGGTGGCACTCGATTTTACGTTACGGGAGGGGGAAAAAATGACAGGCGGGGCAGGAAGGGTTGCGAGTTATGAAGGAGTTTGGTCCAGGTGAAAACCTAAGAGCTGGGCTTCACTGGAAAGCGAAGGAGGTGAAGGGCTGGCTCTCGACTGAGAACTGGCCGTGTGCGATTTTATTTCTTGTCGCCGGAAGAAAAACAATACTTACTTGAGAGTATTGTACTGAGTTGAAGTGGTTGTTATTATCAAGAGGTCTGCGACTCAAAATTTGTCGGAGGAAGAAGTCTTCGTGCAGGAGTCCTAGGTATGAACGAGTGTGTGGCTCGAGGAGGAAACAAATACTGAGGAGGAAGTTACTGAGGAAGCGAAGGCGTTTTATTACTCCAACGCAGCGCGTCTGCTCAGGTTTCTAATCACTCCAGGCTTGAGACTTCGGATGAGAAGGAAGAAACGCAAATTATTTTGTTTGTTTACTAACGCAGTCTGATCACACTCGCAGGTTCATCTCATTCTGCGTCGGCTTCGTGTTGTCTGTCGTAAGGCCGCGAGTCGTCGAAGGATAAACCGGAGATGGACAGTTCAATACCGGTTACGCTCGAGAGGAAAGGCGGTTACAAAACTCCTATATGCCTTTTGTGTAGTTAGAAACATAGAAACATGAGTCTGTGTGGTGTTTCTGGATGCAGGAAATGCGTCTGACTACATGGAAGAGGTATATTGAAGACATGTTGACGCTTAGGAAGATTCACCCGAAGGTGTATTCTATTTGACGTTTCACTTGCTGGGGGCAATTGCAACCTGAAAACTATTCTCCTGTCGACGGGACGTACTAGTATAAGGTAAGAGGTACCTTCCTCTCTACGTGCGAAGTACTTGTCGGTGAAGGGATCAGATCCAGGTTCTCACTCAGTTAGTTTGGTCCGTCCGCCATCAACTGCCACTTCACCAACTTTTCTTCAACGCCATTGACACTCGGGGTTTCTGCCCTAACGGAGGGACCCAATATCCACGCTAACCGCTCGAACCTGGGGACAAGACGTGGAAGGATTTGGCCTCGAACCTTGATTCAAAGATGGGATCCTTGGCGTGGATGTCTTGATTGCTGTATCTTTCATATTTTCACAAGAGCTGCTGACGGGCCACTTCGAAACCTTGGATGGTGCTTCTTCCCCCAATTGTAATATCCATTTCAATTATGAACCGTCCCATATCAAAATATATTTTTCGAAGTGGTCAGGAGATTCACGGGCAAAGTTTCAATTATCAGATATGATCCAGTGTCTCTCCTGAGCAAGACCATACCACGCAGGGCCTGGATGCTCTTGGTGCAATTGCTGCCAATTTTCGATGCAAGCTGGGATGATCTGTGTTCATCTGCCCAGCGCTCCTACCATTGAAACTGAGCTACGAACTACAGCGGAAGTTACTGAAGGGCGGCATGCGCAACAACGAAACAGAGTCGTTAGAGAGCCAGCATGAGCGACAGTCGGGTCATTCTCGCCAACAATCATCTCAACGACATTACAGAGAGGTAGTAAGGAAACAGAAAACACTTTCCAGCGTGCCATCTGGGGCGAATACCGAATTGAGGAACCTCGAGTACCAACTTAGTATCAAGGGCATCCATACATCATTGTGGTAGCATAAAATAAGTAACGCTCAAATAGATAGAGCAGATAAAATCCGTCGCGTACTTACAGATTATGAAATTTCTTACGGACATATACCGTTATTAATAAAGAAGGGAAAGCGTAGCTGTTTAGATTACTTCATTCAATTTCAAATCACCCTACAGACACTCTAGGTCCCGTAAGTATTTCATTCTTGTAGGCGATGCCTTCTACAATCGCGGAATACTCGACCATCGCACTTTGCCGATACTATCTTGTCATTGTTTTCCTCGAGGAATAGTCTTCCACTCGTCCCTTCTGCTTTTTTAGAATCACTATCGTAGGAAGAGGGAAGTCAGATTCTGCACAGTTTGAACCAAGACACATAAAGCCGACTTGTTTCCCATGCGAGTGTCAGCGGCGAACCTTTTCCATCATCCATTCATTTTTTCAGCATCAGTGCATTACCGGCTTGCTTGGAAACTCTTGCGGACCTCACCATCGTTGCTCACACACATTCATTCGTTTCTCCTATTCCCCAGATCTGGCCGGAGGTTGTTCTTGGATTGGATATTGCTATTTGACTTCCACACACACTCGGTTAACACCTGAACCATCTTCACACATCATCATATACCTCCGAAAAAAACTGCATAAATTCGAGAAAGATGCCGCCAGTTGACTTTCAAATCTTCCCGAATCCACCAACTGATGACCCTTCCTATCAACCGCCGTCACCAATCCGAGCTCAAGTACGGCATCGAGCACGTGTGTTGGGTATAATGCCCTCATCAGCATCAAACCCGACAGGGCACCAGCATCCTCAGCCTAGTGGTCTCCTTGACGGTCGTGAGAGGGGAATTTTTGACGATGCCGAAATGCAGCATGGAATGGTTCGAAATCACGTTGGCAGAAGAAGATCCGAGCCTGGCCCTGGCCGCCGTCCCCACGCCCGCTCCCGCTTCCGCCCCCGCTCAGCGCCTATAACCATCCGAGAACATGGCTTTCCTTCAGGCGAGCGCATGTCATACTTTTCCAGACGCAACAGAAGTCTCTGGACCGGTCTGTCCAGCCGGAGTCCATCGCCATCGCCTCCATCGCCATCGACTCGGACATCGACACCGCCAGGGGCTCCCACAAGAAGACCGACCCTGACACAGACACAGATGCCGGGACAGTCGCAAAGACGGATAGAGGGGCTATCTGAGAATATACAACTTCTCGAAAACATCACCCCACAGGAACGCTGGCTCGAGACGACGTGGAAAAAACACAAAAAGACTCGCAACTGTTCGAAAGCTGATTATGATTTTTTGATGGAGCAAATTGAACCGCTTACCCAACTGGGTGAAGAACAGGAAAAGCTGGAGTCTGCTATGCAGAACATGTCGACATCGGTAAAGACGCAAGGGCTGAGGATTTGGTTCCGCATGTGGGTGGCGTGGGTGTCCAGGACAACGGCTACATCGAATGATGAGGGTTCAGAGGACAAGCTGGACGAGATAAGTAGAGAGGTTGTGGAGTGGGATAAGGCGTGCCTGAGATGGGAGAGGCAGGAGTTCCTTAAATGGAAAAAGCGGACTTGTGGGGTTGAAGATGCCGGTGCCATTGTTGACCGGAACTTGGAAGAAGAAGAGATCAAATGCCTGCTTGAGAAACAGAAGCAATGGGCGTATGAGTTGGATGATTTGGATATTTCAAGCCAGGTGGCGTGGGAAATGCAGTTCAGCCACGGTATCAGGTCGGCTTTTCTACGTCGAAATGATGACGGTCGTCATGGTCAGGACCTTATCAGGAAACCGGGCAATTTTGTTGTGCCGGCGTTCAATGCAAGGGACCTCTTGGAGTTGCCCGAGCTGTGGATTCAGTTGGCTCCTGGTGAAGCTGGACCAAGGAATGGGGATACGCCGATGGGAAAAGAGGGAATATTTGTTACTAATCACCCACCTTTCTTGCCGACCTGCATTGTCTTTGACGGTCTGAGGTTATATCGGACAGGGAAACTCTATGCTGGATACATCGAGTACCGCACCCGCGACTTGGAAAACGAGAACGCGTCGAGGGTTCGTCTAATACTCTGTGTCCACCGACATCCTCACAAGCTTGGACCGGGTAATGGGAACAAAAATGGGGAGCGTTAACTTCTATCAGTGGTTGAGATCTTAGTGATTGCGGCCTCAGAGAATACTCAGAGACCCGGATTGAGCCAGACGAGGGGTAGATAGTGTTACCCATAAGCGAGGTTTGGAAGGGGCATTTGTACCTCAGTATATGTATACGCAGCGTAGAATATCTTGTATTAGCTGTAGATCAAATGCTGGTTTGTTTGTTAATTTGGTACTCACTCCTTGTACACCGGACGAGATTGCTTCCGAATGTCCCAAAGCTTTCAAGGGGTAAATGTATGGCTAGGTACGGGTTCGAAAGGCACCATCGAGATCCAATATGGTGTATTTTGTTAGGAGAAAAAAGAAGACAAAAAAAGAAAGAAAAAAGCACCCTCGCAGCATGGAGATATCTACGGAAGTTGACCCGAGGTCTCGAGCTAACAGTCATACTAGATGTAGCCTGTAATAACTACTAGCTTATCATATGCCTGGATTATCTCGTTCCACCATGTGTATCCATCCTCATTCGAACATACTTTTATGAACAATCTCGACATCATAGACACCATGAATTTAAACCGAAGATATCGCGAAACAACGCTTTCACTCCCAAATCAAGAACACAGAGCTTTAGGCAACAAGAATCCAGCCCATGCTCAAGTACCCAGTCCTACACGTCCCCATACCTATACCCATCGATATTCAAGCTCCTGATCATATAATATCATACCATCAACCCCCTCATTCACTCACTCACAGCCCAAACCCACCCTCGACCAACTCAACATCTATGACCCAACTCTAACCTCCCCACTCCCACTCGTCAACCCCACCCTGACCCGACTTCCCTCCTCCCTCTCCGGACCCTTCCTAGCGACCAACTCCCTGTTGAACCCCGGCCACTTCTCGCCACTCTTGATGATCCTGACATCTCTCCCGCCCACGGCCAGCTTGCCGCTGAGCGACGTCATGCCAATCTCGCCCTCCCAGGAAGTAGGCAGGTAGAGATGGAAGTCACCCGACGTAGAAGTGTGTTGGTGGTGGAGGTTTCGGAGGGGTTGTTGAGTTGCTACAGCAGAAGTAAAGGAAGATAAGGATGAAGAGGAGAAATAGAGCGGGTCAAAGATGGTGATTGTTGTAGAGCCGGAGATGGACGAGGTTGAGACTTCTATCGGGTGCTGGTTGTCGGAGGAAGAAGAAGATTGAAGAAGGACCGGGAGAAGTCCCAAATTCAAAGTCCCACTTGTGCTCTTGACCGTCGCAGAAGAGGAAAATGCTGCCAGGCCGTGGACGTTACCGCTCGTGGTGTGCACGTCGAGAATGTAATCCCTCTTGAGCGGGGGTTTCCCCGTGTTGACGCCATGCTCGCGGAAGTCAACGTCGCCCGAGTTGGAATGGATGGAGAGCTCTGCCGCTGTAGACTGTGGCGCGGACTGCTGGTCCCAGGTGTCGTGGGGTTCAATGCCGACTTTGATGTCCCCCGATGTGGATTTCAATGCGAGAGAATCAAAGAGCGGCCAGACGCCGTAGATCTGCCCCGATGTGGTGCCTCCTTCGCACTTGCGCGGGTGGAAGGCGTACGAGTCTGGAGAGGTGTCTCGCGGGACCTCCTTGTTTTTGCTGCTTCCGTAAGTGACATCTTTGCCCCCAGAGGAAGCAGAGATGATGTTCCCAGCCACAGCGTCGAACTTGGCAAGGGTCTCGATGGTCAGGGACAAGTTATCGAGCAGCTGTACCCCCAAATGGATGGTGGCGATCTGGAGGTAATTGAGCTCCGCGTCCTCGGGCACCCAGACGGTGGCCTTCACGATAGCACATAACCTGAGGTTGCGCTCACCCGTGTTTATTCCATCGGGGGTCTTAATGGTGAGGGCCTGGTCGTTGGGATTCCAGTGCGTTTCGATGGGGATGCGGTCGTCGTTGACGATAATTTCCACAACGATGGAAGGGTTGGGGGTGTTCTGGTTCTTTGAAGAGCGACGAACGATGACTTCGCCTTGGATTTGGACGTAGGTGTCATAGTGGTGCGAGTCACCGTCGTCGTCGAGACGCTCTTGGTTGATGGTCAGGTGCTTGCTGGAGGAGAAGGAGACGTCGTAGGTCTCGGTTGGACGAGCGATGGTGCGGCCGCGGCAGCGATAGCGCGAGAGCCAGCCAGACTCGTTGTCGATATCGGGGTATTGCATGACGGGCGGTCTGGATGGTGAAGAACCTCCTTGTCCGCCGCCGCCATGGCCGGGGTGAGAAGGAGATGAGGGGTTGTTGTTGTGGTCGGACTGGGGAAATAGGTCAGTAACGAACCAGAGTAATACAAATATGCGAGATATATGCACGTGTGAACGTCATCCAATGTGGTACAGCATCCCCCGCATTACTTTAACATCGAAAGACATGACGCACGTCAACTTACATTGGACGAGGGGGTAACAATTCCCAAAAGGAGAACCGCAACAATCAACACCAGGAGAGTCTTCCTGACGGTCTCTCGGGAGGGCAGACGATTCCTAACTCGCTCAGTCCATGTATGTTTCACATTATTTGGCCCACCACCGGGGTTGCCCATGCTTTCTGGGCCACGGTTCAGCAAACCAGTAGACTCATCCGGACGACCCATGCTGTCGGTCGAGGAGGATGGGTTTGTTGCCTGAGGAAAGGTTTGATAGGTTGTTGAGGACGCTATGTAAGAATTCAGGGGGCTTGTAGGCGACGCCGATGTTGGTGAAGGAGTATAGGCGGGAGGGGCCTCAAGGGGGAATGGTGACGAGCCTTGACTGGATATTGATTGATGGTGTTGATGATGGTAGGCCGCGTAAGGTGAACCGGACGTTGAGGGTATATATGGGGATGATGATGAGCCGGCTTGTGATGGGAAGTGGGGGTAGTACGCGGCCTGGTGTTGTGGCGGATGGGTTGATGGCGTGGCATATGTCGAACTGGAAGCGGGAAGAGATGGATAGCCGCCATCTATCCGAGACGACCGATGCGCTGTGTCTCCTTCATCTGCGTTGTGAACGTCTTCGCCGCGTCCCGAAAAGCGAGCCGCCTCTCTCGCCTTGCTATCACCGGTCATTGACGGGTCGAGAGACGGGTCCTCGTCCAATGGAGGAGGAGAAAATGGAGAGTTGAACGAAGATCCTGACGTGTTATCGACGAAGTTATCGACAAGTAGAAATGCATTTTGGATTTGTCTTTGGTCGTGTTGATGATCAGGAGCTTCCTCGATGTCATCGTCGTTGCCCAGGCCCGGGTACGAATAAAGATTGTCCGAATAAGGGTGTGACATGATGGCTGAAAGCTCTTCGCGTCCTCGAAACCCGACTCCCTGTCGGTTCTAACCTTTCAAACAATCCCGACGCTGACTTTGCTTTGCCGCTTCGTGTAGAGCGAACAACAACAACACAAAGATGGATAAAGGTTAGTCTCGGTAGACGCTCCGTCAATATCACTGACCACGGGCGGCGATAAGTTGGAATTACGACGCCATGTAATTGGTCAGGTCATAGACAAAACACTGTGAATCCGTGAGGAAACAAGAAGAACGCGCGTTCAGCAATGATTCATTGTGAGTTGTACGGGAAAGAGTTTGTCTAAACAGTGAAGATTACGAATCCAAGAAAGGGCAGAAGGACGTCGAGGTGAAGACGAGGTTGTATCGCTGCGCCAAAGAGGTATAGCCTTCTCATCCTCAGTCGTAAGCTGCATGCAACTCCAGTCAACTCTATTGGAACGGCTCGGATTTAAAGAAACAACATGCCAGCTTTGACATGGATTGACAAAGGAAAGAGGTTCCATTGGTGATAAGGGAGATATCAAGAACTTTGCACCGAGTTTATGACTCCCAACGAGAGCTGACGAGTTTTGAGGGCGATTCTCTTCTTGATTTCCCGCCGAACCTCGATTGTCCTTAATCTGTTTGGTAAATTCTCAGCCGTTTGGTTGAACACCATTGGCCTATCGTTTTTACGTGTATAACGAGCTTCCTAAACGGGACGGAGAAGCCCCAGTGGGCTGACGATAAACAATAGTGTGGTGCCGAATAAGCGCGGGGTAAAACTCACATAGGTTCCTTGTGATGGTGTCAAGGGATGCTTTCTCTCTCAAGACCACCCCCAGTCACTTGGGTCGCCTTTTAAGGCTGGAAGTTGCAAGCAATCCACCTGGTGAGCGAATGGGATGTCCATGGCGAGCTGGTGCAAGCCGCTGATAACGTCAAAATGTCTGTCAATGACACAGTTGGTGACTATCTGGGCCGTAGTGAAGTACCATGGCTAAGTAGGCATGGAATGGCGATGGCTTCGTCACCCCCAACTTAACCTTAGCTGAATGAGCTCTCCTCGCTGAATTACCTACAAATGTTAACTCATTGTTTTAAAACAATCAAGCGACGACATACGACCGTCAAAGATGAGCCGTACATAAATAATTTACATGATGTCGACTTTTGTTCCCATGCTGCTACAGCATTTGGACCACCAGACCCGTGCCTCCACTTCTTCTTCTTTTTGTTTTTTTTTGTCCCTGCCTCCGTCTTATCCTATTCCATCCCACCTCGTTCCTATCCAATCCTGCAACCCTTCGACACCATCGCCAACGCTATGCTTTGCTTTTAATATGTTTTTAGGGTTCGCCTTCGTTTCACTTGAAATGACATCAACCCCTTTGAGTCTAATGGTATCTTCGTCCTCTTATGCCAAACGCCAGGGCTATATGTTGGTAAGGTAGCCAACCTCTCAACGACAAAAAAAATAAAAATCAACCAATTGCTAGGTGTAACGCTTCTTCTTCCTCCGCATCTTGTGGCGCCATCCATCTTATCTAGGACATCTATGACCTGGTATGTCCAACCTCTTCGTATTTCCGCCTCTCCGTCTCCCCGTCTTGGAAAGCAACGCTCTCAGGCTGAGCAACCGCCACGCTGCGTGTACACATCTTCGTGAGTATCGGGTATGACCTCTGCTAAGCTCCAGTAAAAGCCATTTGGGAGCCAGGTTGTAGATCCACAAGCGTGAAAGGAGCGAGCTGTGACTTGGGATGTGAGCCAAAACATATTTAGGTCAAAGGTTGCGAGTCCCCCATTAGCGCCTGTTGGGAGCATTACTGAGCAGCTGCCACACTGCCATGATTGGCATCGCGGTTGAGAGATGGTGACCGCTCAACGGTGTTCAACAACAGGGTGCCAACCCTGCCCCCAGAATGTCCAATTAGTGCAAATCGAGAATCGTCTTCATGTTCTCATAGCAGACCCAGGTAATACTAAGAGCCGGTGCTACTTTGAGCAGATTAGGGGTCAAGCCCTTGTAAAGACCACGAATGCCCTCGTTACGGACTGTTTTCGTTGCCACATCCACAAAACCGGTGTATGTAGGTGGATGCATCGCTGTTCCCTGGGTCTGGAGCCTTGTTCGAAGGACGTTGAGCGGATACACCACTGTGGCACCTAATGCTCCCGATGATGCTCCGAGAACGCCCAAAGCAACGTTTCCTGGCGCCGCATCGTCTTCGTGCACGCCGTAGTACTTAGCTTTGGCGCGCTTGTACGACTTTTTGAGAAACTCGAAAGTGCCGATGTCGATGGCACTATAAGGGAACATGCCGATGAGGCCGAGGCCGAGACCTCGATATGCTGCACGGAGACCGCCGTCCGCCCACATATTCTTGGCTGTACGAATGAGGAGGGCATGGCCCTTGGGGCCTCCTTCGACGGTCTCGCACTGCAACCGGAACTTGAGAGTGTCGATGGGATAAACGCAAAACTGGGCCGTCATACCGCCCATGCCGCCAGCGACAAATTTGGACACAGTACTGATTTGTGACGGATCGTTGTGGCCCTCGTAGGCCGCAAGAAACCGTTTTGAGGCTTCATAAGAGCCGAACTAGCCAATCATTAGCAATGAACGTTTAAGAAGCTTCGCAGTGGGCCGGGTGAGGCTATTTACCCGGATGGCAGATTCTGGCATGATCTTGACAACGTTCAGCCCGTTTCCTATGAGTTTGTTAGTCCCGAATGGGGCACCTCGTGGTTCATAGACATTCGGTATCAACTTACCTGCAAAGAAGGTCTTAATTCCACCGGCCCGCCATAGCGTCCTGATGGCGTCGTAAATGGGGCCACCTGCATTACGCAGAGCGCTGAGAGGCTGGCCACTTTTGACGACTGTGGTGGTGGACTTTGGTTTCGTGTTGACGAGGAGGAAGACTTTGAGACGGTCGAGTGGCGCAGTAGCAGTGCGCGACACTCCACCTGAGACGGCACCGGCGAGGAAGTAACCTGCGTCGGGTAGTAATCCTGTCAGTCCGCTTTTCACGACCTCCTCATCCTTTAGACTGGTATCGGATTCTTGGCGGAGGTCGTGTTGCCCCTCGCCCTCCATCTCCTTGATAACTTGGCCATGGGCCGCCCTGTCTGCTGACACTTGCTCAGGGGTGGCGGTACCGACGGGTGCCAGTTTGGACGGTGCCATGTTTGCCCCAGCACCAGGCTCGGCGGTGCCGTCGGGATAGTGAGATGAGGGTGAGGAAAGTGGTGATTTTGAGTCTGGTGCGGGCGGCTGAGAAGTAGGAGTAGTAGTAGCGCCCGGGCTGGCAATCTTCAAGAGAGAACCAAAAAGAGCGTTGAGAAGGAAGCCAGTCGTACCTAGACCCTCAAGTGTCTCTTCGCTGACGAGGGAGTCGCCCTCTGCATTGACAGTCACTATGGAGGAGTAAAACGACAGGGCGGCTTCAAGTGTAGAAGCGTGGTGGCCGTGTTCGTGGCCGTGTTCGTGGTTGTGCGTGGTGGGCATAAACAGGAGAAAGTCCCTTTTGTCATCAGAGGGAGAGTTCAAGTCAGCCAGCAGGTTCTCAAGGTTCTCTCGTCTCTCGTGTGACCGAAGCAAACACTCGCTCAACCTCCTTCCTGATTCTCATTCACTCGATTTCCCAAGACCTGGCAATGCGCTTTAGGGGCAGACAGCACTGCGGCAGCCTTTTTAGCACGCGCGCAAAGTCAAAATGACTTTGACTCGGCCGCTAGCTGGCATTACAGGGTTAGATTGAGCGAGTGGAACTGGTGAAAAGTTGGCGATTCCCGGTCTTCCCCAGCTTTGAGTGGGTCGGTTTGTTTACTTTGTGGTCCACTTCTTTTTCTTCTTTTCGTCTCTCGAGTCTCTCTTTTCAAAGAAATTGTGTGACTTACCGCCACTCGTCGAAGCTGATGTAGCCATCGTGGTCCATGTCGACCTCGTCGAAGAAGCCCGACAGCCTCTTGTTGGATACGGTCAAGCCGGCCTTTTGGAAAGCGCTGCGCAGCTCGTTCTTATCGAGCCGGCCATCCTTGTCGCGATCGATGGAACGGAAGAGCAGCCACAGTTGGCGCTCGGCGGTCTCGACGAAGTTGCGGAACTCTTCGTATTGGATCTTGCCGTCGCCGCTGGTGTCCACGACCTTGATGATATCCTTGAGCATGTGGTCGGCATTTTGCATGGCTACAAGAAAGACGGGGCGCTTGGTGTCAGTAGAAATGGCAATTCGTGAACATGCGCATGACGAATCGCATTGGCGTTGGCAGGCATTGGCTCACGGTGATCGATCCTTCTCAACCCCTTTTGCAGCCCCTTGAAGTCGAGCTCTCCGTGGTGCTGGGGATCCAGCTTCGTCCACAATTCCTCGACGCGCTTGTCCCGCTGGTTCTGCGATTCGTCCATGCCGGCTTGGAGCTCTGCGAGCACATGGGAAACCTTCATTCCCGCTGTCGGGTTCTCATCATCCAACGCGGCATGCGCAGATGGTCGGCGTTGCTGTTCGGATATTTGCGCACGGCGGGGGAGGGGTCGGCGCGGAGAGGGAGCCAGACGACGGGGAGACGGGGGGGAGCGTTCAATGCAAGTTCGGAGCACGACAAGAATGAATGGTCGTCGATACGGTAAAGTTCAGGTAAGGCACGGCGCAGTGCAATGTAAGTGAAGTGCAGTGCAGTGCAAAGGTTAGGTTATCTTTCAGTTCTTTCCGTTCCTAGGTATGGTATAATGTATGCGGTGCTATGTGCAGTGCTGGCTCGCAGCTGAGGCAAGGTGGTTCAGTACCTAGTGTGGTACACAAGACCTACACTACCATAGGCTCGGAAGGCAGATAGTCACTGCAAGGTCGGGACCTCGAGTGGTCAGGAATGGCAGAAATGAGACCGCCCGTCTAGACTAGCGGATCTAGAACCGTTTCCTGTAAGCGATTGGGTATGACGTAGGACAGGGGCTAGAGCAATAGGTAGGCAACTTGGATTTGGAAAATAAGATGAAAGAGAGATCAGAATACGTTACGAAGCGACTACTTGTATGAGCGGGACCTTCAAGGGGAAAATTAAAGTTACTTTCATGAAAAGAGATTGAGCCAAGCCACTCACGAATGGGATGGGACGAGTGGGTGGTGTAAGGTATCGCTGTCCACGCATCCATTCATTCTCCTCAAATCGTGCCTTTTGCACATTGCACCTGGCACATTCTGCCCAATTTTTCAACCAAGTCCTCCGGTCCCTTTTTAAGACTCGAGACTTTGTTGACATGTAGCAAACAATGAAAGGGAAATCGGGTGGTGCGGGTGGCCGAAGTGGTGAACGTGACATTCACGAAAAAAGCGGATCTGTATCGGAAGTGGTTTCAGTGGCCCCGTCCGGTGTGAGCGTGACACCGATTGTTAGTTATCTTGGCCTTTGTGTATCGACAACACTGAATTCAAGCTCGAGATAACCCAATTCATCTTGTCCTGATCACCTGAAACAGATTCAAGGGTCGAGTTCTACACTTACATATGTATCATGTATGCACTTCAATTCCTGTCCGGCATCTGGCAGCTTCTTGACTCCACCCAGGTGCAATTCACTTTCTGCAAACAACAAGGCTTCAGTATCGGAGCAGGGTCATTTCTTTCGCCGTCTCCCTGATTCGCCAGCCCTGTCAAAGCATGTGGGCCTCCCAGGTCTTTAAAGTTTACTTGGGGGTTGTCGGGTGGCTTGGTTGGAGCCTTTTGTCAACCCCTACCCCCAAGTACATAGTAAACCTCGGGTCGGGCAACTCTGTAGTGTTGTGCATGTAGCGTAGTGTACCTAGGTACCTCTACACTAGGGTACCCGACGGTAGTTTGTCGTTCGCCTGCCTTATCAGCTTATCTTGGGCCCCGGGGTGTCCATCCGATCCGATCGCAAGCCATCACGTAATGTTCCTTTCCCGTTCAACATCAACCAACATCAAGTCGGAGTAGTGAGCTGAAGGCTTTCCGAGGTCTTGATAGCGGCGCGTCGCAACAGGGTTCGAGACTTCTTCCACCACATAGGATTCCAACTCCACCGATCGTCAAAACGCGCGACCTAGAACATCTCCTACAGGCCAAGCGGACGACCATGTCTGCAGCGCCTTGGGAAGGACACAGCTAGACACCCGACAGCGATTCGAGGCACAGAGACACACACGGTTACCATGGCGGCCAATTACTGGGAATCCACTCAGCGCAAACACTGGCTGTTTACCAAAGATGAACTTGCCGCTATGCGCGCAAAGCTAGAGGCTGAAGATCCCAACCTGGTGGCCTCGTTTCCTCTCCCGCAACTGCGCCATCTGAACATCTACTTCAACCAACGTTCGTCGTATCTCTCCATGTCCCCTACCCCGTCCACCCGTCTGTCTGTCCGATGAAGAGAGTCGCCAACATACCTCGGTTCTACTCTAGAAATCAACCGTCTCGGTAAGCGCATGGGGCTACGACAGCAAGCATTGGCCACCGCCCAAGTCTACATCAAGCGCTTCTACACCAAAGTCGAGATCCGGCGCACCAATCCACACCACGTTCTCGTGACCGCCCTATATCTGGCCTGCAAGATGGAGGAATGTCCCCAACACATTCGGCTTATGGCCAACGAGGCCCGCGGCTTTTGGCCTACCGACTTCCAATCCCAGACAGAAGTGGCAAGGATAGGAGAATGCGAGTTCTACCTTATCTCGGAAATGAGCTCACATCTCATTGTCCATTCACCCTATCGTACCCTTACCAGCTTACAAGGGGAGCTTGGGCTGGCACAGGAGGACGTCAACCTTGCCTGGTCCGTCATCAACGACCATTATATGACCGATCTGCCGCTGCTCCACCCACCACATGTGATAGCCTTGACAGCCATTCTCTTGGCTCTGGTGTTGCGTCAGGATCCCAGCGGTCGTCTCCCTGGCACAGCCACGTCGGCTTCGGGACTGGTAGCCGCTTCGGCAGCGTTGGCTCAGGCACAGGCGCAAGCACAGGCACGCGCTGCCATGATGGCAGGGGGTGGCCAGACTGTGCCAGGTCTCGCCCCCCAGTCTTCTTCTGGCTTGCAGGCCATGCTTCCACCCCAGTCACCAGCCGGAGAAGGCCCAGCCGAAGGGAACAAGAACCCACGTATGGCAAAGGTTCACCGATTTGCTGCATGGCTGTCTGACAGCAATATTGACATTGAGGCCATGGTGGACTGCACGCAGGAGTTGATCTCCTTCTATGAATGCCATGAGCAGTACAATGACAAGAACACTCGGGAGCAGATCAATAGGTTTGTCAAAGCTCGCGGGCTGGACAAGTAAAGTATTGGTTCTGAGATCATAGATTGAATATCTCTTATTTAATAAATACCTAGTAAGTGGTTAGACAACGGCCATGCGACCAAACGGAAAACGCTTCTTACTATCAGACTTGGACTGGTATGACCCCTAATCCCGTGTTGTATTTTTTCTCTTCTGTGGGGGTACTATCAATTATTGGATTATAGGTTCTTAAGCTAATAAGTATACGTATCACTTCAAGGGCAATAGTAATATTTTAATCATAAGCATACAAATAATATCGATTAAAGCTTTACATTCAAACAAGCGGATGAACTAGTGTAATGGCTAAAGAAGGATGTCCCTCACCATACCGAGGACTTCTGCTCCGAACGTTGGGTGGATTTCTTTGATGGTAATGGCTTTGGGTGATCCGTCTTTTAAAATGGGCTTTGGGCTAGTGGTCGACATAGTTGAGTGATTGTTGGGGATATTGCAGTAGTATTCTTGTGGTTATGATCAGTGCGTCTTTTTCCTTGATTTCCACTGTCTTTTTTTTTCGGCCGTCTTTCCCTCAACGTTGTCTTGTTATAACTGTTTCCATGGCGCTGAGATTTGTGAAGCTAGAAATATGGGAGTACATCATATCTGTACCACCTCGGGCGTACCTTATCGTGCTTTCCACTGAGAGGTAATGTGAGGGGTGACAGATGACACATGCATCATGCGTGGGATCACTTGAGGGAATTGGCAAAGGTGCTATCGCGAATGTATTATTGCAGTGTTATGAAGCTACCTACGGGAAGGTGATATTCTACTTCGATTCCTGGACGATCTCAGCTCCTCCACGTCCGAAATTCTTTGAGTGGACAAACCCTAATGATGCCCGTCTGTGAATGATGAAGCCCTTTTAACTGATAGGGTAAGAGCTTGGCAGCTTCAGATGTATGGGCATCGCGCTTTCCTCTTCTAATTCAAAAGCTCGGTTTCTCGAAAGGCCATCTTTTGCTGGCAGGGCAAGCACAACCTATCCTCCTTCCTCCATCAATTCTCCCGTTGTCACCAACCACTCTGTCATGAACACCTCATCAAATCTCCTTCCCTTCTTCTTTCGCTCACCCCTCTTATCTGACGCCGGATGGCCAAACCTTTATAAAAGCCCAGCCACATCATCACTCTCCCCATCCTAAGAAGGTTCCCAGCCCATCTCCTCTACTCATCAACCGGCTCAGCTTTCACCACCCCCACAAGCGGCATCCCCGCCTCGTCCTGGGTCTGCGCCTTATGCCACGGCAACAGCTCCTCGGGCCGCGGCTTCTCATGAAACGCATGTCTAGCCTTGATCTTCATGGTCGGTACATTCTCGCCAATCACCCATTTCCAGTCCGCCAACATCTTGAACATCTCGAACGACACCGTGCACCGTGGCTCTATAACCTCCTGCCAGTCGGGGGGCAATGGGCCCCTTCTCTTCGCGCCGAAGAGATGAAACATGCAATGAGCAACTAACAGCCTTCTCATCTGTGAATCGGGCGCATGCTTGGTGTTCTCAAAGATGTATTGCACGTCGTGCAAGTCGGGCACGCGCACCTCTTCGGTCTCGGCGGCGTAGTAGTGGTAAAGAACATCGATGCAGGCGTTACGCAGACCCGGGAGCTGGACGGTTTGGCCGAGGATGTATAGGCCGAGGTAGTCGCGTACGGTGATTTGGTTGAGTTGGGGAGGGGGGAATTTGAAGACCTTTTGGCCACCTGAGGTAGCGAAAGCTGTGCCGTAGAGCCAGCGGATTAAGAGGGCGAAAAGCTTCGGCTCGGCAGCGGGGAGGTAGACTTCCTCGATCGGTTCTCCGGGTGCCGCGTTTGCGGCGGCGGTGCTTTGGTTGTGATTACTACCGGAGGAGGAAGAGGAGCCTTCAACGAGCTCGGGCTCGGGGTTGAAGAGACGTTTGAAGTACGGGGAGTTGTAACTCAGGAGTTGTTCGTGAACATTCCATTTGCGGCGCTCGGCACCGACGGAGACGACGACGATGCGGCCGGTGAGCCAGTTGGTTCTATAGGAGATTGGTCAGTATTTGCTCCTTATCTTGTTAATAGTGAGGGGAAATACTAACCCATCAGGAGGCAAATTAGGCAAACTCGGGTTAGCCGTCGGGGGTCCGTTCCGCGAGGTGATGCTCGTCACGGAAGCCACACTTCCGGCTCTCTCTCCTCTCTCCGGAGCCACTTGTCCCCTCTGCGGAGCAGCTCCCGTCATGGTCACAGCACCGGGAGTACGAGGTTGGTCGAAGAAATTTGGAGCTTGAGAAAAGGGGGCTTGGGGCATAGGAGATGCCCCATGGCTGAACGGTGAAAAAGGGCTTTCACCGCCACGATCACCAGCAACACCACCACTACCCGGTCCCTCTCTAACGTCAAAAGAAGCAGGACGCGTCGGGGTCCGAGGGGGTGAAGCGCCCGGGGCCGGGGCATGCGGACCAACGCCCACGCCAGAGCCAGACGGGCCAAAGACGGAGTCAGATGAACCAAAGATAGAGCCAGACATGCTTCCTGGTGTTGTGATGCCAGAGAATAGTCGACGAGTGGTAGGTCTCTCTAAGTCCACCTCTGCGCGTCTCTTGTTGCTGTTGTTACCGTGGTTGTTACTGCTGTCATCTCTGTCATTGCGGCCAAAGGCACCGCCGCCGCCACTGTTACCTCTGTTCATGTCGTCAGAGGCAATCGAGGCCAAATTCTCAAGAACTTCTAGACTCTCTTCTCTGATCGCGATATCGTTATCGTCTTGTTGCTGTCGGTGCCCCTGCTGCTGCTGAGGCTGCTGCTGATATTGTTGGACCTTCTGCGCCTGTTGAGCCTGTTGATGCTCCTGTTGTACCTGTTGCTCTAAAATACTAGCAGCAGTGTTCCCCTCGTTCGATGGAGAGGATAAAACGTGAGACGGAGGGGGCGGGGTGTCTAGGTCGAACACTTCGCGGTTCTTGGCGTTGGCAGTGAATGACTTTGAGAGCGGGTGGATACCGACCTGGCTCTGCGTTTGCCGCTTGTGTTGCTGCTGGTTCTGCCTAGTTTCCTGGAGATACATAAGCCTCCGCCGTTGCTGCTCCTTGAAGTTCTTTTCGTGGTTACTGGCTGACGGAGTGGTGGCGGAAGACGAAGCAGTGGTAGTAGCAGTAATCAATGAGGAGGACACTGGCGAAGAAGAGGAACCTGATGGCTCAGTGCCACGTTGAATGGGGATAATCTCAGGTTGGGGTGGCTCGTTCGTGCTGGAGGTACTGGTACCTCCTGCGGCCCTTCCGAATGTTGCTCTCCGGCGAGATTCGAGGCGGTTGAGGTCAAAGGTGTGTGCACCACGCCTGGAGAGGGGAATCTCGTCGTCGCTAGAGGGCGGCATGGTAGTGATGGTAGTGATGGTAGTGATGGGTGGTCAAGTTTATAGTGAATGAGCCAAGGTACCGTTGGCTGCGTTTGGGTGTATTGTAAAAGACGAATGGCGGAAGGCTCACCAAATCAAGAAAGTACGAGAAGAAATAAATTATTGCAGTCTCGCAGCGAGTCGATATTTATCCACGCCGCAGGAAGGAATCGTAAAAAAAATAGAAAGTGGGAGGAGTCTTGAAGCCAGAGAACCTTTATACACACCCCATCCCATCCCAAGAACGTTAAGGTGCGTGAGGATGTCGGAAGTAATTGCTATCTCGAACCTTTGGCTTTCATCTCATATCTTCAACATCATCCCAGGTCAAAATATCACCATGAGCATCGTCACTCGGTCAAGATTGGTCACTACTACAGCGAGTGTAAACAGAGGCGTTTGAAAGTACCACCAAGATGGAGGATTCTCATCTCCTTGACCGTCTCAGCGTTGCTCGTACTGCTTTTGGCTGACCGAGTTTATAAATACTAATATAATCAAGTGAATGAATGACACCTGCGTCAACTTCGTAAACATCCCGTGTCAATTTGACCGACTCAAGAAAACAACATGACCCCCTGATAGCTAATAAAGGATTTTCAGTTTCGTCGACAACTGATTTGTTCGTACAATAAAAACGTACAAAAAAGTCGCAGTGTCCAATGGGACAGAGTAGAAATGGATCTCAACCTAGGACTTCACAACTCCCACAATAGTGGAAAACCACTCGATCAACTTGACAGATTTTGCCCACGTTCAACCAAACTTTCACTCGTCTCAGCGACAACACCGAGCACCTACAAAGACAGCCGCAAACATACATTGACACTTCTTTGTGCCCCCTGTCACTCCCTAACAATCAACCGCCTCGACATCACAAGATAAACCTTAAGACATTTACAACGCAAAGTTCGGACCTTGGTTTTCGAGTCCCAGTGTCCTATTCTTGGGTACCAGATCAAGATAAGAGTGTTAGAGTGCTAGCCTAAAAGCTTCTAGCTATTCGCATTGTTTCCTCAACTTGACACAAATTCTTGACGCCGATGATGCTAGATGTTTGAGTAGATTGAGTGTATTCTTTGTTTCTGGAAAGAGTTTTGTATGCTAGCACTATCTCTATCATTTGGTAGACAGACGCTTCGAGCGGATTGTACATAGTGTAGTTGTAGATGATTGCGATACTGATACTGATACTGACAAAAGGTGTGTACCTTGCGAGCGGGTAAGACGGATGCAGTTCAATCGATTGGCATTGTGATATGACCTTATCACTCAATCCAGCTAGGTTTGGTCCAGTCACGACGAGGTGAGCGACTTCAAGTGACATGCTGTGACACACAAACAGGAAGTGTATAAACGCCTTCAACACCAGAACAGAATCACAGAACACAAGGATGGGGTTTATAAGTACTGTATCACGGCATGTCATCGTACCACTTGTCACCACACCCCAAGTCAAAAACACGTACATGACACTCAAAGGCAACACAACACCGTCACGAAGGCAGTCAAGAGAGCAAGATATGAGTGAAGGAGGCGGTTGTATTCATTTCGATCGCTCGCCGTATAACTTGCAAATCTTTTTTTCATGAATATAGATCCCGAATATTCACACGCAAGCTTTTTGAGTCGAGCGGTCGACAAGAGTCATACGTAAGATGATGACTCGACCGGGACAAAGCAGCCAGTTCGGAGCTAATCGCCCACATCCCAGCAAGTAGCAGACAGAAACACACAACCCTTTCCAGTGTAACTCCTCATAACATGGATATGGAAGACACACACTAGCAAAGCTTAAGCGACGCCCGCTCCCAAAAAACACAGAGGATATCCCCGAAATGATGATGCTTTGTGCCGAAAACAAAACCGAGCCAGCCTTCCCCATGAATAGTAGAGACGAGAGAAAAGAGACACGCTGATATCTTTCCACACACCGAGCCAGATCCGAGAGATGCAAAGTTTCCCCGTTGGAAGAAATAAATCCCAAAATCAACAAGAAGAAAGAAAAGCAAAGGCGGGGCTAAGCCGTAGCACAGCGCCTACCATCCCTTCATGATACAGGCGGAAAGAAAATCCGGAACATAGGAGAACCAAAAAAAATAAAACAACACAGAAAATCCCCGAAATACTTTCAGACCAACTCCTCATTCCCGTACACCCCGGAAATTCCAGCTTTCAAGTTGAGATTCCGCGCGACACCAAAACGACAAAAGAGGTCTTTGCCTGCCTGCCTGCCTGCTCCCAAAAAAGATTTGCCCATGTAGCCCCCAAAAATTCGAGAACACCCAAGGTTGCAAAAGCCTCCCGCCCACATAGCGCAACCTGCTAAAAACCCATCGAAAGTCGCTCTATATGTCGATATCTTTTTCTTTGATGAATTCGTGGACCCGTTGAACCGTTATGACTTTTTATCATGTGACTGAAGTCGCCGCTTCTTAGTGACGATGACGAAACACCAAAACCCCGTGTGTATGGTATCGAAAAAAATAAACGAGAAAATAAGACAAAAGTCGCCGAGGCGAGGAAAAAGCCGAGAACTCCGTCGTGAGACACCGATGCAAGTTGTTGTGTGTGAAGTGATTAGTAGTTCGGTGGATGCACGACCACCTTGGTAACACCCGTTTCGTGGAAAAAAAAAATCAAAGCAGCCCCATCTTTCGAAGCCAGACACCACCACGCTTTTTTGGGTATTCGAAAACAAACAAGAGGTGCGGTTGAATCTTCGTTTTTTTTGCGCCGTCCGAAAATGTCAAGAACTTTCGCTTCAGGAAGGGAAAGGAGCTTATGTCGATTAAAGGATGTTTGTACAGGTTGGGTATCGGAAAAAAGGTTGCCGAAAAGGTCGAAGATCCAGTGGGAAATTGGGTTGTCGCCCCCTGCCTGCCGGGAAAATGAGAAGATCATCGTAGTGCCTGCCTGCTTAAAGATTGTTGAGAAAACGTCGGTGGTACCCGCCAAGATGAGCATCTGCAGTGAGCATGCGAAATGAGGCAGTACGTGTACAGTCCATATTGCAACGGCGACGACGGTCTAGGTCGGCCTAGTCTCGTCTGCGTCACGAAGCGAGACATCAGTCGCCTACCAACGTGGCCGGGCGCCCATAAGGGACTGCGGCTGCTGCATCCGAGCGGGCGATACCGAGGGAGGTGGGCTGGTCATGGTGATACCAGTAGCAGGGTTGATAATGGGGATGGCATTACGGCCGCGGGTGGCAGAGGGCTGATGAAGCTTGAGGGTCGCCTGTTGACTTTGGTAGACCGGAGGAAGATAGGGAGAGTTGAGCGAGAAGCCTGGGGCGATGGTGGTGGGCTGCTGCGTAGGAGAGCTTTGCGGCGAGTTGCTTGCCAAGGAGGAGCGCTCAGAGGAAGCGCTGTGGATGGAGACCAACTTTAGGGAGGGAAGGCGGGTTAGTGCCAGCGACTTGGAGAGGGAGCAGGCCAATGGTCCAGTTTGTCTAGTGAACTACTCACATCATCATCGGTCAAAAGGCCGGGGCAAAACTCCATGTCGTCCTCGAGGTCAAAAGAGCGGCCAGCTTCGTACTTTGTGCGGTACGAGGTCACGGACACAGACTCGGACAAGTCCTTCATACTCCGGACACCACGGAACTGCTTATGCGTATTTTGGGAAACAGACAGCCGGGGAGCTCTCCTGTTACGCCCACCGTGGTGAGCATGGGATACTGCAGGAGCAGCGGCGGCTGTAGGCTGCTGGTGGGCGTAGGAGTGATAGTACGAAGACATTATGAGTGGCGGTCAGGGAGTGCGATGTTGAAGACGAGCAAAATCGGTCCAGGAAGAGCCAAATCCAAGTGCGGGATCGGAGAATGGGTGATGATGGTTGTGGTTGTGCGTGTGTGCGTTGTGTAGTTTTGATTTGGCCAAGCCGGGAGTTGTGCGGTATTAAACCCAGGTATTGTGAGACAGCAACAATGGAACCAAAACCAAGGCTGTTGCAGTGGAGCGATCAAAGACTGTCGAGGGAATGTTCAAAACTTGAAGTGGGCGCAGGCAAAAAGTCGGGCAAAAGTCGAGGAAAGGGTGCAGAGAAGATGTTGTCGTTTTTTGTGTGGTTGTTGGGTGTGGTCGCTTGCAAATGTGCAGAAGATCGAGGGTGAGGGTTGGACGTGGTTTGACGGGGACGAGGCGGGTGAAGAAGTAGGGAAGGGGCGAAGGGAGGAGGGACGAAATGGAAGAGCAATCGGAACAGGCGACGTGCGCTGGACACCAGCGCTGTGCGAGTGGGTCCCCCAGGGGGGCCCCAAATGGATCTGTCCAATTCGCCCACTTCGTCCCACCATAACCCGGCCCACTCTGGCTGCCGCTGCCAGCTGTGACTGGCCCGACAGATGGGGTTTCTCGACGGGGTTGCCAATGGGATGATGGGGTGCCAATGTGGGGGGGCACACTGGGCTGGAACTGGGACGCTACTAGCGCACCGGGGTCTCAGGCATTGGACGGAACCAGTCTGGATGACAGGCAATGGCCTGGGCTCCTCTCGCCAGAGGCGCCGCCCGGTCGACGAATGGGAACGGCGTGAATGTGCTGAATGCCTGCTGAATGGCACAGATGGTTGAAATGGCTGATGAAAACCGCACAGGCCATGCCTCTTGTGACCCTGTTCCATCTCCGCTCGCAGAACGGGGTGGCGAGACACTAGCATGCAGAAAAGCGGGTCTTTGTTGCGTACCATTGGGCGCCATATTGCGAGTCCGCTTTCGGCTTGGTCACACTGTCCTGCTGGTGTGCAATTTCGATTTTGGATGGCGTTGCCTTGTGTGCGCCAAGAACTCCCAAGGTTCACACTCAACCCCACCTGAGTAGCCACACCCAGTGCCGCAAACTGTCCTGTCCTCAACTTCAGTGAACTCACTTGAACCACTGGAACCACCCACTGCGACACAGCAGCCTGCCCTGCCAACCTGCCTGCTACTCACGACTCTCACAGAAACGTCCCTCAAACAGAACTAAATCGCCAAAATGTTCGTCATAACCTATCAGAATACCTATGACGAGAATGGTCCGCCCGAATCGCGTTCCTTCTTGTCCATCTCATTGTCTGGTTCGATAGTCCGTCCGTCATCGTTCAGAACTTCACGACTATGTGCCAGCAAAACCCCTGGACTGGCTGATACCATGAGTAACTCTACCTACGACAATTGACGAAGCCGAGATTGACCCTGTCGGCCTGCGACTATCTCGTGGTTAGTGCTAAGGTGACCACGTCCTGGATGCTGCACCTCGCTTTTCTTCCTATCCGCAACACCCGAAAAATTTTCCGGTCACGGTATTCAACAGTTACAGGTTTTCCTGTCCTGTCCTCACAACGTGGCCCGGATCAACGTCCTGGGTTGGGAAGGGGAAAATGGGTTACGAGTTGATCTTGACTCGTCCCCTCGTCTCTTGTCTCCTCTCCCCTTTCAGTTCGCTTTGTGGTTGCGGGCCCGAGGAGCCCCGTGTTGTCCCAGCTGGAGCCGTAGGAGCCGCTAGGTCGGGTCATCGACGATGGCCCGAGGGCTTCCATTGGGGAACTGGCAGCAGGGCAAGACGCCGCTGTGCCTCAAAACCCTAGCGTCTCTGTCCTGGCTCCATTGGCAAGGGAGACGTAGCCGATCGATTCCGTTTGAGGCTAAGTACCTCGCGTGCCCAAATTTACTTGTGTTGAGATGATCACACTGTGAGCCACAGCTTTTGTTTCCAGACGCTTTACGACCTGCCAAAGAATGGATGCCAGATTCCTACCCCATAATGCAAAACAAAAACAGTTTGTTTTGGCAAATCGATCTGGTGAGGGTATCGTGGGCGGCTGTCTGCATACTCCTATGGCCTCTCAAAAACAACCAGAAGCGTAGAACCTGACACCCCTCCCAACCTTATTGGCTTTGGCCTCTCGTTTCCAGTGCCTTTCCGTACCGTTATTACACAGTGCCGCTTCGGCAGCGTGTTGCAGACGGCGGTTGAGGGGTGCGTGGATGCATAATTTCTTAGGACGAGGGCAGTGTGGCCTGCGCTATCACCTTTTGGCAGATTAGGCCGCCCCAGCCCTGTGGCGAGGTCACCCCGTCAGCGCGCTTTGACTGGTTGTGACAGCTCAGATTCGATTGGGTTGGATACCACCCACGCAAACTCCCAAGGCCTACGGAAAGTGTTGGAGTTCCCCTCTCGCCCCTCCACTGTCAGTTCTGACAGACGTCTTCTTGTCTGTATGTAATTCATGGCCGTTTGTCATTGCGACTCTACAGTGTCTCGGAATACGCAAGTGATAGAGGCGTTGGCTTGGTTAAACTCCAGACGTCCAGTCTTGTTCGCCTATCCCCTGAATTGGGGCCGGCTCAGCCCGTCTTGTCGAGCTCCAATCACTGTAAGATTCTTGCGTTGGAGGTATCAGAGTACCTACCTACCTTACTGACACCCTCGTATCCCACTTCACGGACGAGACGGTTAGGAACATGATGGCAGGCGCGTCTAGATTGGAGTAGACTCGAGAGCGCTGCGATAGTGACACTTGGAAAGGCTGTGATCCCGCTAATCCCGTTGACGAGATACTGTGTCGCAACTGGGAATAACTACCCCTATATGACGGCTCAGATGGTTGAAAACCCGCCCGGACCCTTCCATCATCATCAGCGAACCTGAGCGGCGTTCGAGGTGCAGAGACAGAAGGGACCACAACCGAGACTCTGTCTGGGACTCTGGGGGAGACAGGGGGGGTTTGGGGCCACAGCTTGCCACTGATTGGCGAAGATGACGCTGGTGTCTTCACCACCCGTTCCAACGAGACACCCGAAAGCAACCCCCCAAGCTTCCAGAAATTCAGTGACAGACATCGTGCCCTCCTAGTCTCACCTGCATATGCCGTAGCTTTATGTAGGAACCTAGGCATGGGGCTTATTCTTGTTGTCCCTTCGTTGCGTGCCAGAGATTTTCGTCTGGTTAGGTCGTTTATCTGCTGTAGACTGTGTTGTATTGTCCTCATCGGCGACCTGCACGCGGACTGCATCCCTGAAATCACAACAGTAGGCGCCCCGGTTGAACTTGTGCCTCTGTGTTCCGTGCCGCAGAAGGTTGCACAGGGCAGGACGGGAAGAAAGGCAACCATAGGCCATACCTGGACAGCTCTCCAAACTAACTAACCTGCACGCCACCGGTGGTTGAACGGATGAACGACGAAAGTAAAGTGGAATTCATGGTGGTGTGCTCGGAGATTCACGATGAACGGGGTTCCCCACAAGGGTCCAAGAGACCCGACAGGACTGCAGAGATGCGAACCGGCGACAAGTTACACACAAATCTAACGACAAGAAAGAGGTCATCCCCAAACCAACGGTTAATTCGCCGCTTGAATCATGGCGAGCAATTGCCGGAATTGGGGTTTATTCACGTTGTGTTGATATCAACCAGTGCATAAGCCCATTCCCCGCCAGACCGTCCCATCATGACGTTCGGGGCTAGGGTGGGGCGTGGACGGGTGACGAAAGGGGCAAACTCCCGTCATCCCGTCGTTCCTTTTTTCCTTTGTGAAGACAATCTACACTAGATTCTATCATTGTTGTTGATTTGCATCGCTCTTCCTCTGGTCGTCATGAAACTGATGGAGAGGGACTCGACAATCCCGTCTATCAAATACGCCGAGCAATACACTACTATGTACATAACCTTCCTATATGATCCAGAGAACGAATGGGGATCGTCAGCTTTTACTGTAAATTGAAGATCCGGAACAAATCAGCAACATGTCGAAATCACAGACCATTTCGCTGAAAGTGCCATCACACGCTATCACTCGGCTCAACTCGTTCATCTCGGTGACGGTACCTTTTTCTTCTCGAGACGGGAAGAGGGGGGGAGGGGGAGGGGCACTTAGGTCGGACATGCTGGTACATGCTGTACACTAGATGCCGATGGACCCTGTTGTTCCCCTTGAAACCCGAGTGGGGGACGATTCTTGTTGTCGATGAAGGTCATTTCGGTGCATCCCAATTCACCGTCACAAACGTTTATCTTATCGCCGTCGTGCCGTCAAGCAGGGAATGAGAAGCGAGAACCAAACAATCACGGGCCCGGACATTGCAGCGAAGCGATCTCACCTACCTACAGTACGTACCTCATTCAAACCCACCTTGTTAAAGTGCTTGCATACACGACAGTAACGACGACGCATCGGTTCGTTCGATTCGAGCATTTACTATGTACTTCCAGGCCGACGCAGATCATAAGATTCATACATACACTATGTCGCATATCGAATTAATGGGTATGGTTGCACACTCATTTGAAGGCTGATTGATGCATCCTTAAGACCTGTGCAGCAGTATCGTCCTCGGTGGCAGCGGAAGCCAAGGCAAAGACATTCTATGAAAGCACACGTCCAGAACGTGTAAACCGAAAACGAGGAGGGTGGCACGGTGTTGCCGCTGCGGCTTGTCCTCCTAGGTAGCGGGCATCTCTTCTTGGTGTGCTCAGGTCCCAGAATGCACCCCCCACCGTTCCGTCCACGACACCATCACTTCTTGCCTGCAGTGCAGTGAGTGGTCTCAACAACTTAAGTTCCCTCCCAAATCCCCACACTGTGTGATTGTTCTGGCTCGGCAGTCATTTCAATCCATCGCATCTCGACGTTCACCTTTCTTACCATTGTTCACATATTTTCAAGCTTGGGCCATCCATCCGCCATCGGGTTTTTCAAATAACCGTGATATCAAATCTCGCTGTACAAATTGCGTGGAGATGGACCCCAGCTTTGGGAGATACCCGACCTACTATGCAGTACTGCGTACAACTCAATCTGAAGTGGCCAGCGACAGTGACGAACCCAATGTCAAGAAGCACTGTGTGCGAGTGCGCAGTACATACATACACAGTACACTAGTAAATCCCCCCATCCCATCCATCCCCAGTCTGGAAAGGCTTCATGTATACCCTATTTCTGATAATCGGGCTGTTTTGGCACTGCCTACTTCACCGCTACTCTTTTTTTTGTTCCTCGCTCTTTCTTGTTACGTGCTAGGGACGGGAAGTGGAAGCGAAGGTTCTCCCATTGGAGATTGGCGTCGGTCGCTTCTGAGCTTTGACATGAGGCGACGACTACTGACGAGACGACATGGCATGATTGTATGAATGGAAATCGGATGCTTGCCGAAGGACGACATTCGCTCGAGGGAAATCAAAGAATAGCGATACCCGATGGCCGATGCTGCTTGTCGGTACGTCGTAGGTAGCGTCAAAGCGTCCAAAGCGATCACGACGACCGACATCAGTCCAAAACCCCAATGCACCACCCCTTGCTTCTCCGTCCTTACATGTACCCAAGTATCCCCGACGGCGGCGAGCGGCGGGAGGGCCGGGAGTGGACGAAATCTGGGGAAACCGACTCGACATGGACGTTCCGATGAAACGCCCGGGCCTCGCGTTCGATTTGATATCTTTCCTAATACCCAACCATAAAAAAAGGTCCAGGCTGACACCTACATATTGGGCTTGTCCGGTTTGTCCAGTCTGAAGTCGCCAACGACTCAAACGGTCACGTTGCTACGGGGACACATGACTTGACTGCCGACTCCCGACTCCCGACTACACTACAACTCAGTGCCGCCGGCCCGGGTCTACATGCATTACATGCAAGCCATACTGAAGCCCAGACAATCATGAGACAGCCAGAAAAGCTGCCACGAAGTCGTCAAGATTCTTCAACTCGAATCCAGCTTGGACAACGACAACAACAATATTCACCTAGCCAAGCAAAATTTGACAACGAAAGGAAGACTAGTTCCAGACTTCATACACCTCCACGAATCTGCGCCGCTCCCCTTGAGCCTCTGGATATCCCCGAATGGTCGACAAGATAGATAACAGATGATGAGCTGAGACAACTCGGGTATCAGACCGTCTTCATGTATGCTCTATGTCAGGCCATATGCGTTGTCAAGATATTATTAGACGACGTTGCTGCTAGATAGGTAGGCAACGCACACGACGTAGGAGTTTATCTTCCCAATCCTTTGTCTATCCCGGCCGGCTTGTCTCACTGAGACATAAAGACTTGGTTTTTTTTTTTTTTTTTTTTTTTTTTTTCTTTTTTGGAGCTTTCTCGTCGGCATGTCATTCTCTCCATCATCCCCCGTGGGCCACGGAATGGCCCTGGGATAGGGAAGTACATATGTACGTCGACAATTTTAGTATCATTTGTTTCTGTTTCTCCCCTCTTTACCTACCACCTCAAACCCTTCCATATTCCTTCCATATGCAGAATCAACCGTTCGCAATCCACTTTTTCCCAACTTTCGGGCCTTTTGTCCAAAACTGAGCTTTCCAAATCTTGAACTTCAGCCTTTCACTCTGGATCTAGGTTCAGGTATCCTCGCAAACTTCCCTCGCTTGAGTCAATCAATTAATCAAGATCATCACAAACCCCGCTACCCGGTCCTTGTCTAAACCTTACTTACGTGCCTGGGCCGGGCCCGCAGTGCCATTTTCCCATCTCCGATCTCATTTCCGTAAATTTCTAATTTTTTTTTTGTCTTTTCTGGGGAAAGTCGCCCGCAATCTTTGATTTCTGGGAGGGATCCCGAAAGAGAGATTTGCAAAGAAAAACCGGAGAAAACTTCCTCATTGGGTGTTTGTTGGTACCTAGTGTAGAGAGGGATTGTCAACTTTCCTTTTGATTCACTTACACCACCAGCATCCGTCGTGACAACAACAACAACATACGCCCGACGCCCGGCCAGCATGGTATGGCATCTGTCGTCAACATAGCATGCTACTTTTACAGTACACTACACTATGGCAGACTACCTCCCTGCGTGACTTTCAAGAGGTTTTCAAGTGCTTACATATCTCATCTTGAACTTCTCGGTACTACTGCTTGAATATATCTGCCCTTTTGTCGCTGATCAAGTGCTCAAACTACATGCCGTTTTCCCTCTCTCTTTCTCGTTCTCGTCTCGTCTCATCTCGTCGTGTTGTCGGCTCCCACCTTCTCTCCGGGAAGCGACGAAATGGAGCCTCAATTCACAGTGTACACAGTACTATAATCTGGGCGCTGTGGGGAAAACTGAATCCAAGCGCGGGCGGACCGCGGCGGCGGCTATGCTTGTCTTGTTTCTGCTGCACTGTACAGTTGTTCAATACTGTACCGTTCCGTTATTTTGCTACTGTAGGTACACTAAGTACAAGATTAAAGCATGTACATACAAGTGTACGATTGGGGAGGATGCGAGATTTTCATGTTTTCATAATAATTCAACGTTTTGTGGAAGTCTGGGCCGTTCGCTGCGGGTCTGCGGCGGGCTGCGCCCAGACGAAAACCGGTTTTCTGATGCTTTTCATTTCCCAGTTCCTGGCGAACAACAAGTCGAAGGTTCTTTGGCAACAAACGTTCGGCCATTGCGGCTTTTTATGATTCGCTCATGTATGATGGGCCTCTCCAGTTGGCTTCTCTGGCGTTTCTAAAATTGTTCTTTCCAAATATCATTGGGTACACGTGTAAAATTTTGCGAACTGACGAGGATCCGTCATGTTAGCTGCCGGTCTCCCCCCGTGGCCGATGATAAGGACGAGACCGGACAGGCGGGGCGGAGCGGATCGGTTCCCTCCACTTCCCCATGCCTCCCGCAGTGTTTCGGCAATGTGCCATGCGGATGCGGATGTTGCAGTCTCCGGGCTGCCGGTATTCAAATTCCGGGACGGCCCTATGAGGCCACGGCACCTCGAGCCCCGATGTTGCGGTACTGCACTGTGCGGTATCGCCGGTGCGGAGTTCAAGCTGGAAGGCTGAATACGCATCCGCCGTCGGGTTATACAGTATATGCCTACCTTTACCGTCATAAAGGCGTACTCCCGTCCGGGGATACACGAGTTTCTTGTCATCTTAGCGATTCAAAGTCCACGTTGCTTTCGGCACACAAGGCCCTTCTTCGAAGTCACCTTATGCGTACGCATATAGTTGAGCCATGGATGGAGGATGACACTTCCCTCCAAGCCCCAAGAAACCAAATGGACAAACAAGAATCTGTCGTCTTCCCGCATGTTTAACCTCTTCGCGGTATCGATCTTCGGGCTCCCCGACTCGTCTACAGATTGTCCTAAAACGTATGCCGACACTCTGGTCTGGCCGCGGTACCAACTGGAGGGCTTTCGAGTTGATCCGCTACCGAGTCTAGTGTACCCGTGTGCCAAAGAGTGTCAGAGCACGATATGTGTGCCCAAGTGTTTTGTAGGACCTTCTTCGAGTTTTTGACACTCGAATGCTTCGGCAACAACCGACCGAACCATTCCAAACGAAGGTAATGGCCTTACTCGTCCGTAGGTAGTACTACGGAAATTCGATGAAAATGGGAACCAACAAGGACGTGTGCCGGACGTCTTTTTTTTTTTTTTTGGCTTTGTCCTCTTGTAGCTTGGGCGAGTTTGGTTACCAAGAGAGATAGTGTTCCCACACTCGCCCCGGAGATCCGGTTACGCCGATGGCCTGGGAGGAGTACGAGATGCTGGATCTCTGTGAGACCCTGAGACGAACCATGAAGCTCAAGATTCTCCTCGATGGATGAGTAGGGCGGTATGAGCAGCTAGTTTCGGTCGGCCCGCCTCTGCCGTCGTTACTTCAGCCCTAGAGCCCGAATGATGCCTCTCCAGTCCCCGAACCGGAGGCTAGCTTGGATCGGATCGGAAGCTAGAGGATGGATGATCGGATGGGTCCGCGGGTCCCGAAAAGCACCTCTCCTAATTTTGCATATTATATGCTTAAGGTTATGCAATGCACTGCCAATGCTCAAGAAGTGTCAGCTCAGATATGCTCAAGTGCAAACGTCAGGTATCTTTCCGATCATCTCTTCTCCTCTGTCGTCAGAAGTCGCATTCGAGGGAGTCCACTACTCTGACGCTGACAGTGTGAGAGAATTGTCCATCCTTTTGCTTATTGTAGGGCTGTGTTGACCAGGTCATGGCACTTGAGAGGTATGACGTCGGTGTCTACAAAGTTGACAGGGACAGACTGTCGTGAACAGACAAGTCTGGCGTTGAAGGAGCTGGTTGCTCTTGGAACAAATGTTGGTGATGGAGTTCCAGCGACCTGAATCAAATAGTCTCCAGACATGACTCCTCTGAATATCGTCACTCCAGAAGCTGTTGACCAAGGCTCAACAAGTCGAACTTGGCTTGATGTTATTGCTGGTGGATAGGGGGACTATCACCTCAGCGTGGATATGGATCCACTTTTGTCTCTGCTTGGAACAGGAACAACGTCAGAGCTTTCGGTTTGATGTATTCCTGAGAATGGATGAACGTGTGGATGCGCGATTGATTGGAATTTTGATGCCATCGGTTGGCCAAAGAAATGAAGTATCAATGTGAGCTTCTCGCGAGGGTACAGAGCAGTGTTTGAAAAGGCAGTCTCTTGGGGGAGGAGCAACAAAGACAACTTAAGAAAAGCTATAACTTTCAAGTTGTCCCTGACGAAGCGGGATTTGCACGTGTAAAGAATGGGGCTCCCTCCAGTATTGGCAGAGGTGCTGGTCCTTCGTTCTTGTTGCAAACCATCACGATCATCCCTTGTCCCGGAGGTGTAATGACGTCATGGCAGACCGCGAGCTGCCATCTCTGTACCTGCTTCAAGGCAGCTACTACCGAGTGCCCCTCCTCATCCTTTGATCAGACAGCCATTCCTTCCTTTAATAAGGAGAGCTTCCCTTCGTGCCTCTCTCGCTATCTCAGCCTATCTTCTTTCTACTATCAGCCACCCTCCATTACCATCCATCCAAACCAACCAATCGAAGGAACCCAATTCCTCCCCCTCAACTTACACACAACCAACTTGAACACAAACAACAACAATAACAACAACCACAAACCACTTTCAAAATGTTCGCCCGCATCTCCACCGCTTCCGCTCTCACTGCCCGTCAGACCCTCGTCGCCGCTTCCGCGCGGAGGACCATTGCCTCTACCGCCAGCCTGAAGCTCAAGGAGTCGTCTAACAGTATGTCTTCCCCTCTCTATCACAAACAAACCTTACCCCCCTAATTATGTATCCCACATATGAACTAACCCTTACATTTCCAACAACAACAGCCGACCCCGACCCCCAAGCCTACGAGAAGCACAAGCAGGAATCCCTCCAGAAGCAGAAGGAGGGCAAGGGTCAATGGAAGCCCGAGCTTGCCTCCAACAGCGAGGAGAACGTCAAGGCCGACCGCCTGTCGGACGCCGAGTTTGCCGAGGCCAGCAAGCGCGAGCTGGAGAAGCATACCAAGAACTGAAGGAGGCCCAGTCAAAGGGAACTGAATTTCTTTCGAAAGCATGAGAAGGAGTATGATGAGCTCATGAGGTTTTCTTTTTCGGGTTAATTTCTTTTTCATTTATTTGTTTGTTGCGAAGCAACTATTGCATTTTCAGCCATCAATGGGAGGATGATGAGAGGATAGCACTACAATTGCATTACGGTAGTGTTTGGGATGAGCATCATTCAGGGAGATAGACACTGGCCATCTTTGCATGCATGGATATGATGGTTCATGTGTTATCGAATTGAAGAGGATTTGAAACAACATCATTGTTCAAGGAATATTTGTTCTGTGAATGGGTGAATGTGCGGAGACGACATCAAAATCAGGTTCGAGGGGACTGCATGTTAACATCACCGAGACTTGATGCGTCAGAGACTACAGTACGAGTTTTGTACCTGCAGACATGCTGCCCAATATGATCATACAATGTACAATGAAGCAAAGGGAAGAGGTAACCAGCAACCAACAAAAAAAGCAACCGTGATACTAGCTGAACAATGATTGCTATCGACTTTTAATCCTTCCCTCCTCATCCTCGGACAAGAAAATCGGCTCACTAAAAGAACCCCCCGTTCATTCATAAACAAACCCAGGACTCGAATAACATATAGTAAACAACATTTCTCATCATTCCTCGAGCCTCGAGCCATCCAATCCTCAAGCCACTATACACTATCTTCCCTTCGTTTACAAGACAATAAACGCTTACTGGGAACATAGTCCCGAATTGCCTTGGTAAATTTCCCCTGCTAATCCCCTCTCACATCTCTTTATGAACCCCTGGGCCTACCCCTTCCTCTCCCCCTCCCCCTAATCCCACCTCTGCCCCTAGACACAACCCCAACCCCACCTCCTCGCCCCCTACTCGCAAAGCTCTGGCGAACACTCTCCTTCCTAGCCGGAATATCCTCGTCATCCGAGTCCGAGTCCGAGCTCGGCTCGTCTTCGGAGCCCGTACCACTTGCCACGCTTCCACTCCGCTCTGAGTGAGACCTCTGAGAAGGCGAACGGGATCCCGAGTAGCTGCCACCGTAATCAGACTCTTCATCTTCGGTGTCCATGAGCCTGACAACGGTAGGGCCTGCGGGCTTCGGTGGAGGAGGTGGTGAAGGCGATCGGACAGGCGATGGTGAAGGGGAGGGAGAGATGCGGGTGACAGATGGAGCGGCAGCGGTGGAGGGCGCGCGACTTGGGGGTTCGGGCGAGGCGCTGACACTCGGACTGCGTTCTGGGGACTTGCTAGGTGAAGCCCCGTCACGAGGAGGACTGATGCGGACGGATGCCTGGGACGCGGAGCGTCGAGCTGGTGGTTCTGGAGACTTCTTGTTCTCCATCTCCTTTTCAGGTTCGGCCTCCGGCTCAGACTCAGAGTGATGAGATTCCTCTTCGACAGGCTGTACAGTGTGGCGGGTCGCTGACGTGGTCCTGGTCCTGGTCGTCCTGGGCGATTCACGAACAGGAAGGGAGGTCTCCTTCTCAGCATCCCGTGCCACCCTTCCAGAACCCGCAGGAGAGGCACTCTTCTCGACCGAGTCAACTGGCTTGGCGATGACCTTTCCGGGCGTTCCTCCGGTGCTCTTACGCTCGCCGATCTTGAATTTCTTGCCCTTGAGTTTCATGCGCTCAGCCAAAGACAGCATGGGTGCCTTGGTAGTGACCTCAATCACGACCTTCTTCACGCCATTCTTTGGTGGGCGGCCTCTCCTCTTAGGAGCTTGAGGAGCATCGGCATCGCGCTCGACGACCTCGCCGTTCTCGTCAAATCCATCAAGCTCTTGGGCGAGTTGAGCATCAATATCCTCATCATCATTTTCTTCACCAGATTTATGACCACTGTCCGCGGGTTCCTTTGCTGCCAGTGATGCGCGTGGGGGACGCCCGCGTCTCCGAGTGGGTTCTGGTGCCTCGTGCGATTCCTCATCTTCAGTGTGGTGAGCTTCAGATTTCCGTGGCCGACCGGGAGGACGTCCTCGCTTCTTATGCGGCCCACGTAGCTTTGGCGGCCCAGTCGGAGCAGCAGCGGCACGAGTCGATCCGAGTTCCTGAGAAGCTTCATTGCTATGGTTACCTCCGGCGCCGGTAATGGCAAGAACGGCGGCAGAAGCAAGATCCAAGGGATCCTTAGGATCAGTCGGTCCTTCGATACTCTGCACGACACTGGCTGGTGCTGCAGCTGCCCGGTATTCAGGTCTCTGCGAGCGAGGGATGAGAATATCGTTGAATTCTTCTTCGTTATCCTCATCAACTCTATAAGATACCTTGGGCCTTGCATGTCGAAGGGTGGGTACGTTGGGCGAGTACATGCGGGCTTGACGAGACTCCTCAGCTGCCTCATCTGCAGGTTGGGCGTTTGCAGGTTGCGAGGCGCCAGCCTGGGCAGATCCATCTCTAATATCACCGCCAACATCCGTCATCGTCTGATCAAAGAGCGCCGGGTCCATGTTCTCGAGAGCGTCGTCTTGACCGTCCCGCGTAGGTGGGGGCTGGGAGGTCTTGTCAAGCTTGGGCTTCTTCCGATGGTGAGACCGAGGTGCAGCAAAATCAGGATCGTCATCTTCGGCGTGGCGGGCCCTACGCTTAGCCAACCGAAGCTGCTTTTTCAAATACTCAGACATCAATTCCGGTTCTTCGTCAACAACATAATTTTCGGCCGTAGGTCTCTGATAAGGGTCGAACAGGATCTTGTCCGGACTATCGTCATCCTGCTGGTAATAACCCATACCAAGCATGCGCTCCTGGCCGAACATGGACGGATCAGGGTAAGCGGACTGATCGTGATCCTCGGGAGCAACAGACATATCTGCAACCTCGGCGGGACCTGCTGGTTGGGCGACGTTGGGCTGGTCGGCAGATGCACCAGTCATTTCAACATCCGGTCTCTCCTGGCCCTCACCCAAGCCGTCGGCAATGGATTGTTGCAAAGCGTCATCCATGTTTTCAGCTCCCGTTGCCTGCTCACCGCTCGGTAGGGCAGGGACCTGGATGTGTACGTCTGCGTTCTTGGCCTTCTCGGCTTCGGCCTGTTGCTGTAGCTTTTGCAATCTCTTGCTCTGAACGTTGCGGCCATCGTCGCCGGACGTCTTGAGCCAATTGAGATTATGTACCTTGAAATCGACAAGTGTTTCCACACTCCGATCGTCAGCGATAGGGCGAGTATCGTGTCCAAGCAGCGTGTTCTTCGGATGATATGGGACATTGCCATTTTTGAGCCTACGGCAAGCGCCGCAGTTGCAGATCTTGAGGCACCTAGGGCACTCCCATCTCTCATTTTGCAGGACTTCCTGGGGCATGAGATCGAACGCTCGGTAGAGAACACCGTAGCAATAGGCTTCTGAACATCCTGGGTTCGAACAGAACGCGAGCTTGTAGGTGTAGTCTTTATGCTGGCACACATGGCAACGGTAAACATCGCCCTTTTTCTTTTTGCGACGTGGTTTCTTCTTAGGTTTCCCATTTTCGTCGACTTCTGGCTCCGAGTTTTCGGGCTCCGAAGGCTTATCGAGTTTGCTGATATCTTTCCATGGCCGTCTCCGAAGCTGCTCCTGGCAAATCTGCGCCACAGACTTCTTGCCCGACTTCCTTCTCGCCAACTCCAGTGGTAAGGGAGACGTGTCGTAGTCGACATAGCCATCGTTCTTAATGATCAGAGCGCGCCACTCTTCATAACGATCCACCAGGTCAGACCACTTCCACTGCTCGGCCCAAGTGAGGTTGGAAACACAAAGGCATGAACGTCCCATGGCGTAGCACTCCATGCAGATATCGTATGTGTCTTCGTCTCCAGTAACCAGGGTGCGAACGCAGTGCTTGCAAGTGAGGAAGCGATTGAAGATGTTGGCTCTGCAGTACGAGCAGGTAATGCAGGAGTCAAACTCAATGTACTCAATTTCCTTCTCCTTTGTGGCAAACATCTCATCCACCAAAATCTCGGTGAACAGGCGGAAAAGGGCCTTGAAGTCTTTGGCGATTTGTGTCATGCGGAAAGAGTTCTTCATCAGATCCTGACCAAAGCCGAGCAGCCCGATGTCGGCATTCTGCTCCATCTCAATCATTTGGTTGTAATACTTTTGTAGCGTGAAGTAGATGATGGCTTTGTTCTTGTACTGTTCGTCACGGCAGACGAGCCTTGCCTTGGGAAGGGCTTCATGCAAGGCCATCTCCAGGGTTTCCGCCGTGGTCCTGTTCCACGCAACCTTGATGGTGCGAGTGCCGCGATTCCAGACCTGGTGGGGGGCCAAAGGAGGGACCAGAACAAAATCGCCCACCTTCTGCTCCACTATGTAGACGGGGAAATTTGCCTTCTTCCAAGCGTTGATTTGAGCAAAGTGCTTCTCAATCTCGATATCGTGTCCCAGAATGGAGAGGAAGTATTCTCTGACAACCTCACGGTCCTTGGTCTCGGTCATGAACCAGATGGAGCTGCCAGGCTTCTCCCCGTTCTCGTCTCCGGATGCATCCACCATGATGTTCTGGCCCAAGCTGGCGCACATTTCGCGATGGGCCGGAGTGTATGTGCCTTCGTGACCGACGTAGCACATCAAGTTCTGGGCGCGCATCTCTTCGGGGAGACTGCTCATCAGGTCACCAGCTGGGGCGCAGGACTTTTCCTCCACGTAGTCATAGTCATCGAAGCGCCTCGAAACCTTTTTGTCGAGGTTGTCGTTCATGTAAAAGAGGTTCGTCGGAATGATCTTCTGGAGGCGCTCGTGCCACTCGGGCGGGCAGTCGATATCCTTGAGGTAGAGGCGTTGGCGGCGCTCATCGCGGAAGTTGCTCGGGGTCCACTGGTTCGTCAACTGCTTCATTGATCGGAGGTAATGGCCCATGGTCATTGGAATGTCGGTTTGTGCGACAATGTCGCGAACATTTTCCTCTGCAGAAGGTCAAGGTGGTTAGACTGCAGCATCAGTGACACAAAATGACAGCATGATACTCACGTTTCTTGTTATAGGTGCCTTCGAGCCATTCTGCGCTGAACAGCGTCTTGGGTAGTCGATCGTTCCATTTCTCAATGACCAACGGTTTGCCACCGCGGATAACGTGGAGGTAGACGAGTCTCTCGAACTCTTGAGGGCCGATGTTGCGGATCTGAGCTGCCGAGACGCGGAGGACCCAGTGGAAATTTGGCGTCTTTTCAACCAGGGCATGAAGATCGAGATCCGGCGGAATCGGGTCGAATTTGGCCTGGGGATGGGATGCGGCCGGCATCTTGGTGGTGGTGGTGGTGGGTGATGTTGGTGCTGGTGTGTGTCGGTTGTTGTGATGCGACGATGCTGCTATATTCTCGAATGGGTTCGGAAGAGGTTCGTGCGAGGGACGTGATGATTACGCGATAGAGGTACGGTGTTGTTGGGAGACGCGCAAAGCATTCAAGCTACATGATGCTCAATTTGACATAACGTAGGGAGTGCAAGCTAGAGATGCCTGCATCGGCTGTGGTGATGGAAGACAGCGGAATGAAAGGGCATGCAACTGTTGTGAGAAATGCGCAGTCGCCTTCAATAAATTGGTAGGTGTTCGTTGCCGGCAGTGGTGATTAACATGAAATCGCCCTGTACTGGGGTGGGAACTTGAAGTTTACTGTCCGGCGCGGCAAAAGTCGACAAGGCCAATTGGTAATCCTTGTTGTCATGAATCCCTGCAGGGACGGGCGGGAAAGCAGCGCGAATGCGGGACGGGAGGCTGAAGCTGCGGGGCTTGTGAGCTTTATCTGTTTGCCATGAGCCAATCAAGGTATGATTTATAGTTGTGGCTGGTGCCAACACCTCAAATCAGATGGAGAACCAGGGGTCTTACTGTGGCGCAAATAATTTGTGTAGATCAGAAGGCTGACAATAAGATCACGAAAACAATCCCCGAGGCAAGTTGAAGAGCAAGCTTGTCACCTCTACTCGATTCTGGATTTAGTGTCAGAGGCATAACATTCTGGCTGGGTAGGGACCGGGACAAGAGGTAATTTCACAAAGATTTTCTTTGGTTATTTCCCCCCCAAGTTCTGTCACTCAACTTCCACGGTTATCTTCGGCATCTCTCACTGTCAGTTGAAACATGTGAAGTTGCTCACTTACACAGTACCGCTAGCACTCACTAACACTTACACACATCTCAGACAGTTTACTTCGCCCATCATGTCCTCACACCGTCTTTTGACCAGACTTGTTCCCCGACAAACCTTCTCTCACACCACCACTCGTTTTTTCACCAAGCCATCCTGCTCATCACCACCATGTCTCGGCATCCGGCCCTCCCGCCAGTCCAAGGCCATCACCAAGCCACGCCTCCTCTCACTTGAGACTCTTCACAACTACCACACCACCAAACCCCTCCTCTCCCAACCCGAAATCCCAACCACACCCACGAGCGCCACCCTCCCCACCTCGGCCGTACCCTCCTCCGACCCTCCTCTGCCTGAGTATGTGCCCCCAACAACCGGTCTCCTCTCGCGCCTCCCCCCCTCCTGGGTTCCCTACGCCGAGCTAGCACGTCTCGACAAACCCACGGGTTCCTACTATCTCTTCTTCCCCTGCCTCTTCAGCACCTTGTTAGCAGCTCCCCTCGCGGGACCTGCCTCGCCGGTCTCTGTCATCGGCACCTCCCTCCTCTTCATCTCGGGAGCCATCATCATGCGCGGCGCCGGCTGCGCCATCAATGACCTCTGGGACCGCAACCTCGATCCGCACGTGACGCGCACACGGCTGCGGCCCATCGCGCGGAGGGCCATCACGCCCTTCCAAGGCCTAGTATTCACGGGGTCGCAGCTTCTGGCCGGGTTGGCGGTTTTGCTGCAGTTCCCCTTTGAGTGCTTCTGGTACGCGACGCCGAGCTTGCTTTTTGTGGCGTCTTATCCGCTGGCGAAGCGGGTGACGTATTACCCGCAGTTTGTGCTGGGCTTGACGTTCTCGTGGGGAGCCATCATGGGCTTTCCCGCACTGGGGGTGGACTTGTTGGCGAACCAGGCGGCGTTGACGGCGGCGGGGTGCTTGTATACCAGCAACATTGCGTGGACGGTGTTGTATGATATGATTTATGCACACATGGACATCAAAGATGATGCCAAGGCGGGCATCAAGAGCATTGCGCTCAAGCACGATAAGGAGACGAAGCAGGTGTTGACAGGCTTGGCTGTTGCGCAAATTGCGCTGCTCGCTGGGGCGGGCGCGGCGGTTGGTGCTGGACCGGCGTTCTTTATTGGAAGCTGTGGTGGCGCGGCCTTGACGCTGGGTTACATGATCAAGAAGGTTAACTTGAAGAGTGTCAAGGACTGCTGGTGGTGGTTTGTCAATGGCTGCTGGATTACCGGCGGCGTCATCAGCCTGGGATTGGCGACTGACTATCTGCTCAAGTATTACGGCCAGGAGAAGCTTGAGAAGAAGCCGGAAGAGCTGGAGTCGGCCTGAAAATGGTAAATGTTTCTCTGTTCTTTTGGGATATCATCTTTGTAATTTCATGTACCATAACACCATGTTTGTCATACTATTAGACATAGGGCGGTCCCTGGACAATCTCCAGAACACCAAAAGGTATGAGAGATAGAGAGAAGGGACTTTTGGGGAAAGCACGATTTCTTTTGGCAATTAATGACCTGCTTTCTGTTGGATCATTACTACCATGAGAGTTCAGGTATCCCTTAAACCCAAAACCAAAATGCCGTTGTAAAAAAGCCTCGTAGACTCCGCATAATGAACCGTGCCCGTTTGCCTGCTCGAAGCAACGATACGCTTAAGAGCGGGGCTTCTCCTTCTTCTCCTTCCAGAGGGCGAGGAGACCGACACCAGAGACCTTGACGACCTTGAAGCGGACACCGGGAATATCACCCTTGGCCTTGCCCTTGCGACCGAAACCGGCGAGGAGAACCTCGTCGTTCTCGTCAACGAAGTTCAAGCAACCATCGTTGGGGACTAAAGGGGGATATGGGTTAGCACATGTGCCACTTGAATGTGCTGGGGGTTCCAGCAGGATGATGTTTCATCATAGGATGATTTGGGAGTTGGAGAGGGATCGTCGTACCGAAAGCGGTGACCTTCTTGCCGTTCTTGATGAGCTGGACACGGACACACTTGCGGATAGCCTATGGTCGCAAATGTTAGCCTTATGTTAAAGTCGCAACTCGTTGTCGATGTCGAAAAAATCGGGTTGAATTGAGTTCATCGAAATCGGGATCGGGGTGTACGTACGGAGTTAGGCTGCTTGGCCTCAACGCCGACCTTCTCGAGCACAATGCCCTTAGCGTGGGAAGAACCACCGAAGGGGCTGTCATCATCGTCATGTTAGCCGAATGCCCTGTCTCGGTTCGCCTTGTGTTGTTCGTGATCTTCAATCGCCCCATCATTCCCATCTCTTTCTCTTCATTTCGCCATCATCGTTCGCGGTCGTTTCCATCTCCATCGCTATCGCCATCGCCATCGCCATCGTCGGGGTTGATGCGTACCTGGACTTGAAGGCAGTGCCGAGAGCCCTCTTCTTGTAGTGAAGATCGGACCAACGCTGCTCGCGACGGTTGTTGCGCAGCTTGCGGGCCGCGTTAAGACCACGGGGCTTTCCTCCAGACATATTGGCTTTTGGTTGAAAATGTCAGTTTGGGGGACAGTTTCAAAGGAGGAGTCGGAAATCGAAATATCTCGACGTGGTGAAGGCGGGGGGGCAGCAGGGAGGCACGTACCGACTTAGAGACGTGATCACGGACTCTGGGTACAGTTCGTAATCCGGAGGGTCAAAGGCACGGTTTGCTGGGAATTTTTTGGTTTTTCCGCAGTAGGGCGAGAAAACCCTAGGACTGCGTGCGATTGGGTGGCGAGCAAGTGGGGTCACTCGCCTCAGGCCACTGTCTGCTGATTGCGTGAAAGGTGGAGCATTTGGTGCACATCTGGCCAATAGCAGATGATGCGACTGATAAGCCCCTTTGATAAGCTAGCTACTCCGTTACTTCCCTTGTATGTTTGTACCGTCAAGGTTCCCCAAGCTCAACCAACCCCACGCAGAGACGCGACGCTCGTTGTGTCACTGTTCGTCGCAGTTCATCCTTTTTGAAGCTGACCTACAGACGTTCAGCAAGATCCCTTGTTTTGGAAAATGTAGCCATGTCTCAACTCGCCAAGGTAAAGTCCAAGGCGCGCGAGCCGCCATCGCTCTTCCTTCCTCCTTCGCCATCGGCCTCACATGCCTCGCTCTCTACAACAGCTGGCCCCGGCCAAGGCTACCCGTCGGGACCGGGACCAGCCTCCCCTCTCGGACCTGGCCGCGGTGGCGCATCTCTACTACCTTCACCGACCGTGAATGATACCCGACGAGGAAGTGTCGCCGCCAATGCAGCAACAACCACGACCGGTTCTACAACCCCGAATCCCGCAACAGCCCTCAATCTCTCCATGCCGTTGCACCTGCCTCGAGGCGAGTCTACGCGCACCACCGATAGGACGGATGCGCTCTGGGCTGAGATGCAAGCGACGCTGGAGGAGGTCGAGCTGTCAGCTAGCGGAGGCACGAGGGTGTTTGGACCGGATCACGAGCAGAAGCTGGCGGAGCTACGACAGGCACAGATTGCGCTGGCGCAGGCTTGGGCGAGGAGTGAAGCGGATGATGCTGTCGAGACACAGAACAATGGCGGTGCTGCAAGCGTCATAGGAGGCGGGCTAGCGAAAATCAAGTCGTCGGTTGCCGGAACGGAACACGGTGGTCTTGGTGGGAAATCCGAGGCGGGTGGCACGACAGGAGGCGCTGAGGGCGGAGGACCAAAGAGCACCGGAGGCGCCGGCAGCACACGGCCCAGCAGTGCCGGAGGACCTGAGAAGCTCGGCGCGAAGCTCGAGCAGGAGACTGAGGCTGACATTCTACTCGCAAGGAAGAGACGTGAGGCCAATGATCACTACTTTTCCAGAGTCAATCAGGGTGTCCTCGATGTTGTCGCCAAGTTGGAGGATGTTGCTGTTGCCATGCGCGCGGTTGAACAGGAGAGTAAGGATATCTGGGCAGACGGCGAAGACAACAGCAACCCGGGGAGTGTGAGGGCCATTGTTTAGTCGGCGGTACATGATCTCACATAGCATCTGGGGCTCGAAGAGGGCATTACCGTGGGTTTCGCATTATCATGGCTCGTTTGGCGTTTCTACGGCGTTGGAACACTCGAGCACTACCTTAGTATTACACACGTACCTAAGTTAGCTACGTATCTATCATAATGATAATTGTCACGGCATAATATGAAGCTGACGCTTACCCACTCACATACTTTAAACAAATCCATCACTTGATGCTCTCCCTGTTGCGTAAGCATGCATGGCTAGCTTATGACTGCCGAGGCTGGCGATGATGAGACGAAGCCGGGCAGTCTCCAAAAGGAGCTTGGCGCTAGGAACACCGGGACAACCCCACGTGTGGTGGATTTGACATCCTCGGGACCTTGCAACTTGGCATCCGCATTCCCACCATTCCCCAACTCCCCCACTGAAGTCTGAGTTCAAGTCCATTCATCCGGATTGCCGACCCGAACCCAGCGAGGCCATCCTTCCGTCCCATCTGGTCCAATGTCCAGTCCATCCCAACCTCCAATATCGGCAGGATTATCATGGTTGTCGGAGGAGAGGAATGGCATCGGAAGCCCGGGTTTGTTGTTGTCGACTGAGTGGCCGGTGAATTCCGAGAGATGTACCTCATACCTAGAGGTTTCAGATGGGACGGAGCTCTTGTCATACGTACCACCATGGAGGGGCACTTACTGAAGCTCCAAAAAGCCCTCACCACGACAACTGTTGGAAGGAATTCAGGTGTAGCTGTCTGAGCTCGGGACGGTGATACCATTCTCTTAGAGCACAAAACGAGCTCAGCAAGGATTGAAAGTTCAGATTGCCCAGATACACTCAATGAAAGTCCGGGGTGATCGGTTAAAAGATGTACCGGTTCGGTTCCTTATAACCAACCATACAGGGAAATCGAAGTGTTGGAGGTGACCAAACGGTAACTCCCCTCATGTACCCCGTAATCCATACAGATTGTCATAGAGACAGAGGTAGGTAGTAGCAGTGCGTCATGTACAGTAACCTACTGCAAGCAAATGAAATCCCCAGATTTCCAAAATTCAGGGCAAGTCAATGAACGGGGAATGGGCACTCGTGCTCAACACTCAACCACTGAGTCCGGGTCCAGTGGCATCCAAGCGCTGCCGTGGCCGCTCCGATCACTGGAGAAAAAAAAAAAAGACCGAGCTTCAAAAGTACCTGTCAGCCAAACCAGGACCGTCCCCGGCCTCCATACAGTATACAATACTACCGTGACCCGGACTACTAGAAGAGGTACCCGTAGCCCGACTACCTAGTACTACTACCATTGACTCCAGTCTTGCTCCCGCGTTCCGTGTCCGTTTCGCTCCGTTGATTTGAATTTGAGGTTATTTCTCTTTTCAACTTTCCCTTCCTCTTCTCTTCTTCTTCTTCTTCTTCTTCTTCTGCTTCTCTCTCCTTTTCTCTCCCTCTTGCCTCCACCTCCACCTCCTCCACCTTCCAACCAAACATCTCCACTCCTCCCCAACACACCACATTCAAGATGGGCTTCATCGACGACGAAGTTAAGCGCCTCGGCGATGTCATTGCCTCCCTCGAGGATCGCGTCAGGTCCCTCGAGACCCGCGACTTCAGCGGCAAGCCCGTCACCACCGCCGAGCAGCTCCGCATGGTCCTCATGGGCCCTCCCGGTGCCGGCAAGGGCACCCAGGCCCCCAAGATCAAGGAGAAGTTCAACTGCTGCCACCTTGTAAGTTTCCTTGTCTTGCTGCCTGTCCTCCATGCAAAAGAACCGATTGGTGTCTTGTTTCGCGCCAGCCTGGGACTAGGGACCGGATGAGAAGCTAACCAATGCGCGACACGCGCGCAACGCTTCATAGGCCACCGGTGACATGCTCCGCGCCCAGGTCGCCAAGGGCACCGCTCTCGGCAAGCAGGCCAAGAAGATCATGAACGAGGGCGGTCTCGTCAGCGACGACATTGTCATTGGCATGATCAAGGACGAGTTGGAGAACAACAAGGAGTGCCAGGGCGGGTATGTGTTTTCCATTGACCCCCATCCCCTCCCCCCCTTGTCCTTTAACCATAAACTAACAACCCCTCCTTCCTCACAATAGCTTCATCCTCGACGGCTTCCCTCGCACCGTCCCCCAGGCCGAGGGTCTCGACGCCATGCTCCGCGAGCGCAACCTGCCCCTGCAGCATGCGGTCGAGCTCAAGATCGACGACTCCCTTCTCGTCGCGCGCATCACGGGCCGTCTCGTCCACCCTGCTTCCGGCCGTTCCTACCACCGCATCTTCAACCCGCCCAAGGACGACATGAAGGACGACATCACGGGCGAGCCGCTGGTGCAGCGCAGTGACGACAACGCCGAGGCGCTGCGCAAGCGTCTTGAGACCTACCACAAGCAGACGGCGCCCGTCGTCGGCTACTACCAGAACACGGGCATCTGGAAGGCCATTGACGCCAGCCAGGAGCCCGCCCAGGTCTGGAAGTCCCTGCTCGCCATCTTTGAGGGTGACAAGGCCAAGGCTAGCAGCGCTGGCAGCGGTATCATGAGCAAGATTGCTTCTGCTGCCAAGAGCTCGTAAAGAAAACACCCGGCAAAACCAATGTCAGCTTGTGGTTTCTTTCCACGTTTTAGGTTGGTGGTGAAGGAAAAAAAAAGAAGAGCAGGGCAGAAAGAGAAGCGGGGGCCAAGCTTCTTCCTTTCATAATAGTCGGTAATGTTGAAGAAAAAGTACAATACACCGATTCAACCAACGAACCTGGACACGGATACGAAACGAAACCGAATTACCCTTATCCTGCGCATAGTTGGTATGAGCTCTGCTTCTTCTATTCGAGTTTTGGGAAGGGGGGGGAAATGACCAGTCACCATGACTGGCTGGAGGTTGCTGTTTACATATATACCACACCACACCACCCTTGATGTCACGGAGACACCGCTCAAAAGGCGGTTCGTTTTCGGAAAATAACGGGGATTGGGGGTCTTTGATGTTATGATGGGAAAAGCGACGATGCATGTTTGTTATCGTGACACGAAGGCAGAAGAGAACGAGACTTCTTTCTTGTAACCGGATGTTCGGGATGGATGGATGGATGGGTAGATTCAGGAAAAGGGGGAAAATTGAAACAAAGTGAAAAAGATCCAACAATATCATCATGGCTCAAAGTGATGTAAACGGGGCAATCGCCGCCACCATGTTCATTCCTCTCATTTTCTAATCCCTCTTTCAGGTCCATCTCAGGGGCAAAGTAAACAAAGATTCCATGATTAACCAAACTCGACGCAATGCTATCTAGCTTCTAACACATGATTTTTTTTGTAAGCGTTTTACATCGTCTGATACTTCGGCCCTTGCTTCGTGTCTTTATTATAATCCATATGTCGCCCGTCTTGATCGCCCTGCTCCTTATCAATGCATCCGTCTATTCATTCCCTTCGCGACGTTTTCCCCTCATGTGACTCTCCCTTGAGGTTGTGTCTAGATAGGGTATGCCCACATTCTATTTCAAAGACGTCTTCTCTATAGTTTTGTTTTTGTTATTCTTGTTGGAATTCACACCAACCGCACGCACGCACGCAGAAAAACATCCAGTCGATCAATCACCCCCCGTGACTAGCACCGAAACAAATGCCATAGTCGCCGCCGTGGTGGCCATCAGCCGTCGTATTGATGATGATGATGATGACCTTGGACCCGACTTATTGCTGTTCGGCTTTCTTGCTAGCACGATCGAGATACGATAGAGGTTCTTCAAGGTGGTCGCCACCGCCACCACAGACAGTAACGCGCGGATAAGCGAGAAGATCGCTGTCCAGCAAAGCGCAGCATCAGTTAGGCAGGTTGAATACGAGACCGTGTGTGGGTTGATCTTGGTTGCTTGCAGAGACTTAACGTGATGATGGTAGGTGGTCGATGGTGGTAGCGGCGGCGGCGGCGAGGCAGCCGGCCCTGGTCTTGGTAGGACAGGGCAGGCTACGTGAGGACGTTCTACCTCCTTGGCGTGGCTACAGAAGAACAAAAGGGGATAAGGGTCAGATTTTGGTCTTCGTCCCGAGGAAAAAAGAAAATCAGAAGATTGAGGGTTGAGGTAAGGATTGTTTTACTCACCGTTTACCAACTGCCTTTGCTTGTGCAGCCAGCTCTTGGGTTGGTCGTGCCGTCTTTGGAGAATGACGTGGTTGCTCTGCAGCCGGCTTGTGATGTCGTACCATGCTGTTGTAATCATGGAATTCTCGCGCTGGAGGTTCTTGATGACTTGGTCGCTTGCCGCCTGTTGTTTGGACCGGAAGATGCTCTGGTTAGCATACAAATCAAAGGGGAACAACAACAAATACAAAAAATCGCATTACATCTGTCATCGTCCAGGCGGATGGAAAGCAACGAATGGACGTACCTTTTGGGCCGCATAGGCACCGCCGCTCTCAACAAGCTTGATCCGCCTTTGGAGATCGTACTTCTCCTGTTCAGCCTTGTCGAGTTGCTATAGGCGAGTGGCATTAGCATTTTGTGAGAGGTGCATATACAACATGGCTAAAACACTGTTTGGTGATGATAGGTTTGTCGGCTTCGACAGCTGGGAAATCAGTCTGTGGGCAGGTAAAGTAATCGTGGATACAGCTGAAAGCAAAAGGACAAGGAGCTTGAGGGATAAGACTGAGAGGCAGGTGATCACCATACAGTACGTGATCACCAGTCACCAAGAGCAGGTATCTCAGTCTTCAATCGTTTGAAAATGCTTGACAGGCAAGCACTGGTCTTCTCAAGGCCACTAAGCCAGGAGCCTTCTGATGGTATTGACGTGGGAACGATGACCCATTCACCATCTTTGTCAAAGATGAACCCAGATGCGATAGGCGAGGGGTTCGCCAAAAGGGGGATAACGACCCGTGAGGCCAGATAAGGAGGTGTTGGACTTGAAGAAGGGTCGTTGCTCACCTCGATCTTTTGCCTGAGCGCAGCCTTCAGCTTCTCCATCTTCTCAACGTCCTCCTTCCTGGACTTGTTCGGATCTCCGCCGCTCGCAATGGCATCGTCCAGCTGCTTGCGGAGCTTGTCCTTGGAGACCAATGCTTCCATCAGCTGTGCCTTCATCTCGTCCAGTTCAAACGTCTTCTCTCTGAGCTGCTTGCGTGTGGCCTCGAGTTCCTTCTGTAGCGATTCGGCTATCAACTCGTCAGAAGCCTTGAGTGCGGTGAGTGCAGCTGATTGCTCCTCTCCAATGACGGACACTATGGGAAGAACGTTGGTCAGTTTTGCCTTCGCATTTTCAGCACAAAGATGCCAGGACTCACGATCTGTCTTGACAGCGATCAACTCGCGCTCCTTGTCTGCAACGTCCTGCTCGAGCTCCTGAACTCGCTTTGTAAGCTTCTCGACGTCGCTCGAGGTGTCAAGGAACTGTTTGCGCAAATTCACAAAAGCGGGATTGCTAAGGTACTCAGGTGTTAGTAAATCCTAATTTTGTGATTTCCACTCAGTATTGAGCGCGTAAACAAACCTTTCCCCTGTTGTGTTGTTCATCATGGCATTGAGTTGTTCCTGGGCAACGGCGTGCTTCTCCATAGCCTCGGTGCACTTGCCGCGATACAAGTCAACCTTCTTGTTGGCCGACTCCAATTCGCTTCTTAGGCGCTCATTCTCAGACGCAACGGTCATATTGCTGCGCAAGACGTTGTTTTCTGCCTTGAGCCGCTGGAGCTCTAGACGAACAGCAGGTTCTGTTTCAAGCTCATGCTCGAGGTTGAAGCCGCCATTGGTAACAGGACTTTGGGAACCCGATGTCTCATGGATGGCACCGCCCATTTGAAGCTGCTCCTGGAGCTCCTTGATCATATTCTCGTCAGCCTGGTGTTTCGATTCAAGGTACTCAACTCTTCGTTGGAGCTCCTCGTTTGTTTCTTGCAAGACGTTCCTGGATTGGAGCGTGTAGACAATCTCTTGCTCGTTATTCGCCAACACCTTGACCTTTTCTTCAATCTCCTTTTGGAGCTTCCTGTTTTGCGCCTTGAAGTTCTCAAAGTCCTTCAAGTCCTGTTCCATCTGGACAATTTGCTCCTCGAGGGTCCTGTTTCGTTGCTGGATGAAAGTAAGATCTTGAGCCTTCTTCTTGTAGTTCTCTAGGCCCTTGATCTGTTGCTGTTGCTGCTTGTTCTCGTGTTCCAGCTCTATAAGCTTGTCCTCCAGGTCCTTAACCCGGTCAGCCCTTGCTTTTAGAGCAGCATTGTCTTTCTCGAGCTTGGTGATGTGCGCTGTCTCCTTGACGATTTGAGCCTCCAAGTCGTCAATGATGGCCATTTTGTCCTTGATCTCGTCTCGCAAGTCCTTGATGGCTGCGCCAGCATCGGCACCCCTGTGCCTCTTCATGGCGTTCAGCTCGGCTTGCGCCCCGTTAAGGTCGTTGAGTAGAGCTTGGCGTGTATCGAGGAGCTTGTCGACCCGCGCTTGTAGATCGGCATTCTGCTTTTTGATGTATTCGTACGCGCCCTTTGTTTGCCTCAACTCTTCCTCCATAAGGGCCGGATCCCTGACAATGTGCAGGTCGGCATTAGTTTGTCCATCCACCTCCTTCGGCTCTTGCAGTTTCGCATCCGCATCTTTTCGCTTTTGGAACACTTCGACGGTGTTTGCGATTTCCTTTTGCGTAACACTGTCGAGCTGCAGGATAGCCGGAACGTATGCCTTGTTGGTGGAACCCAAACAGATGGTAATGACGAAATACGAGAGGAACTCGCAAATCGCAATGTCGTCCGGGTGTTCTAGAATGGCGCGCAACTTGGACGGCGGAGGAGCGTACTGCGGAACGTCGTTGCGCATGAAAGCAGCAAGGCCACGAGATACAGTTTCCAGGTTGGCCTTGTTGTCTTCGGGTGAGGAAGGGTTCCGAATGAGGCTGGAGCTGGAAAAGTCCCCGGAGGTCATATCTTCGAGAATGTCTCCCAGCATCAGACCATCTTGGAGGTCCTTAAGGGTGGCCGCCCGGCGCGATGTCTTGAACGTGTTGATCCATTTCAACAGGGCGGCCTGCTTCGCGAGGCTGTACTGCGTCATGATGGGTAGTCTCAAGAGGCCCGACGGGCCCACGGTTCAGATAACTTGGTAATGGTGGTCAATGTAGAGGCCGCACGGAATCGACGAAACTATGGGCCAGCGTGTCGTCGATATAGCCTTGCGATAGGGGCGGATCGGAACCCAACGGGACGAGGTGGAGGGTGTTGGTCGGGTGCGCGTGTACTTGGTGTACAAGACGTCGGCACGTTGTAAGCGTAAAACGGATGCAGGAATTCCGTGCTGTCTGCCCGGTAATCGATTGTACTATGCTGCGGCAGTTGAGGGAAAGTACGATGTGGTGAATAATGCAAGATAGAACAAAAGCTTGTAAGGCGACGGCTGAGACGAGGTCGTTTCTTTTCTCAGGAGATGCTAATTAAACGCGGCGAACAGAAGGCCAAAGACGGGACAAGTCGGATGTTGGAAGCCAAGTAGGGAGGGGATCAAGGATAAATGAATGATTGAAATGGGATTGGTGATCCTCTTGAACGGTTGATTAGAGCCTGGATTACTCAAGACGTCTATGCGGATGCGCAAGTTCTCGTGTTGTTAGTTGTATGTCCCGAAGTTCGTTGGAAGTTGTCCAATTCCCGAGTCGCGGTTGGACATTAAGGTCGGGTTGGGGGAATTTCGTTTCGTACATGACTGGCACCTCACCACGGCAGGCGGTTCAGTTGCGTCTCCATTGGGGTCACGGTGCGCTACCTATGCAGGCCACTCTGGGGGAAGGGGACTGACTGAACGCAAATAGACCACTGACTGCTGTTAGGCATCGCTGATTTGACGCCCTGAGATGCAAGCAGAGCAACAGGGGTTCCAGTTTGGTTTCGGCAATGTATTCGATGTAATTACGTGCATGGGGCATCGTCGTTCGTTTCCTGTGCGAACTGTGGTCGTCGAGGTTCCCATTTGGGGCATCCACTCAAACATGCCGATTCAGCTCATCCACCACTGGAGCAGTCTCAGGGATCAGGGCATGCTGGCATGGTGGGTTCCTGTGTCGTTCCTGGAGAGCCCGAGTTCCTCTACGCTATACCTAGGCTATGGACATTACGAACATCACGGCACTGACCAGACATGATCTGTACCTGGGGTGGTTACGCTGTTCTTGTCGAATGATGTCAGGCTCTTGAAGACGAGGTCTCTACCAACTGGAAAGAAACCCGCGGAACCGCTGCCTCGAGCTAGGTTGTTGGGCAGGGCTGTTACCAAAGAGCCCGTGGCTCACGAGACTCTACACGACGTGCTCACCGCAGTGGATCAACCCACTCCCCTGAAGATCCAGTCATAGCTTCCGAGTCAGCGACATGGTCGGTGATGAGTGGTTAGGTAGTCGAACGACCATAAGTTGTTTTCAAATCGATTTCTCAATGACAATGACTTCGGGTATGGAGTCGTATGATGACAGTACCAGGTTCATGAAGTTCCTGCGACCCGAACCTCGACGCTTTATGACCATGATGTTGATAAACACATAATCTATTGAACGTAAAGATGCTTGCCAAACGTTGGGACATTGAGCCCGTCCGTCAGATGTTGATATCATGACAGTCCATCTCCATCGATCCATTTCCAAAAACGCCAAGACTATGACTTACAGTCCGTAAAAGGCAACAACTTTGCCCAGTACAGTTGCACCTGGGTATCATTTCCAACACACTCTCTTTCAGTCTCTCTTTCTCTCTGGCACCGTCGTACCTCAGATGTCGCTGTGTAGACTCGAATGGTTAATTTTGTTTTTGTTGTCTGCGCTCGTCCCAGGTGTCGCCAAACAATCAGCTGGCCGCTTACAACGTGCTGACGACCTTGTCCTCCTCGATAGTGGCGTAGCTCTCGCTGGCGGCGGAAACCGACTCGAGTGTCTTTGCGTTAACCTTGGCAGAGAAGCCCCTGGATAAAAGGGTTAGTAAGAACACCCGAACCAACATGACGGTATCCGAAAGCATACTTCATGAGGGTGTACTCGTGAGTAATGACGCCACCGTCATCGAGAATGGCCTTCTTGTCCTGCTGGATCACCGAGTCGGGAGTGTTCTCCTTGTAGGTGATGATGACCGACTTCTGGATGTCAACGGCAATAGCGCCGGAGACGAGGGCAAGGGCGCCGAGAACGAGACCGGAGAACTTCATGTTTGCGATAGATTTTGGTTATTTTGCTTTCTTTGAGGTTATGTTGGGCCGGACGGGTAGGTACAAAGTATGGCGTCACGTTGTTGGGCAGACGACGGATGGATGTACGGATGGGATGGGTTCGTTCGAATTAAAAGGCGGGAGGATCCCTCGACTTTATGCCGATCCTAGGTCTCTGTCAGAGGCGCAACGACCAAAAGGGTGTCATGACACGCGCCAAGGAGCCTTCCAGCGCATAAAGAGACCCCCCTTTCTGCGGTCTCAACTTCCTCAGGAGGAAGGTCGCTATAAAAGCCCCTGTAAGTTCAGGCGGAGGGTACATACTGCGTACTGTAGTGTACATTAGGTCGTGCCGGTTACTGATTAGATAAGCCCTTCGTCATGTCACCGCGGCAGTGGCACAGGGCAGAAGGCTGAGGCCCCACCGCCCAACTCAAGTTCAAGTGGAAGGTACTAGGCGCTAACCTGATTGGGTACTCACCTTCCAGCGAGTGAGGCAGCTAGCCAGTGACGACGGCGAGACCAGACCACTGCAACTACAGCAGTTGGAGCTTCGAGGCCACTGACAACTGACGATACTTGCTATACATACATCGACGACCAAAACATCCATCATACCCACCAGCCCGCCTTCCTTCTTCTACTTACCCCAGGAAATACCACCCGACCACCCGCCACGCCCACCGAACACACAAGCCATCACGCCTCCGACGACGACGACGACGACGACACCTCGAATCCAGCTCTCGCCATGCCCGCCACTACTGCGGAAACGCTCTCCCTGGTGAACCGCAGCGTCTCGGTTGCGCCGCTGGTTCTGCTCTCAGTTGTCGACCACTACAACCGTACCCAAGCCAACAAGTCCAAGAGCAAGCGTGTCGTCGGCGTGCTATTAGGCCAGAATGATGGAAAGAATGTTCGCGTGTCCAACAGTTTCGCGGGTGCGTAGTCTCTGCTGCGGAAGCTTGCCTGGTTGCCCCGCGCCCAGGTGAATATTCGGCTAACTCTGGTGATGCAGTTCCCTTCGAGGAGGACGACAAGGACCCCTCAGTCTGGTTCCTTGACCACAACTACGTCGAGTCCATGAACGACATGTTCAAGAAGGTCAATGCGCGCGAGAAGCTAATAGGCTGGTACCATTCCGGCCCCAAGCTACGGGCTTCCGATCTCGACATCAACGAGCTGTTCAAGCGCTACACTCCCAACCCGCTTCTGGTTATTGTCGATGTCCAGCCCAAGGAGACGGGCGTTCCTACAGATGCCTACTTTGCCGTTGACGAGATCAAGGATGTATGTCTTCCAAAGACGCCGCCGCGTTTTCACTTGTTCCCATTCAGCCTCGCCCAAGTCACAGCTGCTAACTATACGTGTGTGTGACTACCACAGGACGGCACCACTACATCCAAGACTTTTGTCCACACTCCCTCCATTATCGAGGCCGAAGAGGCCGAGGAAATCGGTGTCGAGCACCTCCTTCGCGACATTCGTGACGTAGCCGTCGGCACACTATCCACCCGCATCACCAACCAGATGCGCTCGCTGCAAGGCCTCCACCACCGCCTCCGCGACATCCAAGCATATCTCCAAAAGGTCCTTGACGGCCAGCTGCCCGTGAACCACGCTATCCTCGGCAACCTCCAGGACGTCTTCAACTTGCTCCCCAACCTCTCGACGCCCAAGTCCGGCCCAGGCGCTACTGGAACCAACGCCGACAGCGAGCTCAACCACGCCATGAGCATCAAGACCAACGACCAGCTCATGGCCATCTACCTCAGCAGTCTGATCCGCGCCATCACTGCGTTCCACGACCTGATCGAGAACAAGATCCAGAACAGGCAGCAGCAGGAGGAGAACGACGCCAAGAAGAAGGAGGGAGAAAACGGCGAGAAGAAGGAGGGCGCCGACAAGAAGGAGGGTAGCCCGGCGGCGGCAAATGGTGAAAGCAAGGAGAAGGAGAACAGCCCGAAAGAGAAGAAGAAATAAGTGAGACATGACCAAGTGAAAGAGGGGAACAGGAAGGCGAGCAACGGGATGGATGACGGGGCGCAACGGACCCGGCCGTAGATGATACGAAATCAATCAAATCAGCATGAATCACGTTTGTGTACGAAATCAAACACAAGAGAGACACTTTCACACATAGAAAGAGGGCTGCTCAAGGTCAAGGATGGGATCTTGAGCGATTGTTAATAATACTATTTAACTGACAAGTGGGTTTGTTGACTGCGGTTCGCTAGTAACAGAGAAACTACCTACCTATAACAGACCCTCTACTCTAGACTCACTACACATCAGCAACAATGCCGGCCATTTCCTCTCTACTCACCATCCGCTCTGTCACATACCTCCCCAACGCCCTCGTCCACTTGTCAGCCAACAGACAGGCCAGCAGGTGTTTGCAAACGGGCGGTACGCTCGAGTGATCTCCGGCGTTGAAGAGGGTCATCCCGCCAAAGGTCCAGCCTGCACTTCCTTTGTTATCTCTTTCTCTCTTTTCTTGTAGCTCTTCTCCTCCTGTTTCTTTTGCCTCATCTCCTGCTTCTGGCTCCGAGACACAAGCAAACGCAAACGCAGCGCAGGTACAGTTCCATGCTTCCAGGCTAACCATGTACCGCTGTATTCGGAAGTCTCGCTCTCGGTCTGCTTCGCTGCCAACACCTGACGGGATACCCTCGGTGTCTGCGTCTCCATACAGCCCGGAGAGATTGCTACTTGGATACCTTCGTTTCCGCTTCGGGTGGACGTTGAGGAACTGGGAGGAGCGGACGAGATAAAGCTCTGGAGGTGGTGGCCGGAGATGTTCGACTTTTGCTTCTGCGGACTCCTCCACCAGTGACTTGTGGTGGTATTTCTTGGCCTTTCCACCATCCTTGGTCTCACCCTCAGCCGGCGGACTTGTTGTTACGTCCCCGTCGTCGTTCTTCCCGTTGTCATCCACATCCACATCCACATCCATATCCACATCCACATCCCCTTCTTTCATCTGCTCCTTCTGCCCCCCTTCCTCCTCCCCTTCCTCCTCCTTCTTCACTACCACTGCCGCCTCCTCCCCAGCAGCACACCTTCTCAAAATGACCCGTTCAACCAACCCCCGCTCCAAAACCTCCAACCCTGGCAACACCACCCCCGGAAAAAGGACATGTAGCGTGATGATCAAATGTCGGTATTCAGGCGGTACCAGTTTGAGGGGATTCGCTTGACCTCCAGGAATCTTAATCTTGTTCTTGTTCTTGTTCTTGGTGGTTACGTCATCATCTTCTTCTTCTCTCCCTTCGTCACCTTCGTCTTTGAGGATCTGGAGTAGTTGTTTCCTCCGAATTGTCGTTTCTGTCTCTGTTGCTGGTACATCGGCGGCTTTGGATTGAGGTTTGGACCCTGGCCCGGGTGCGGGTTTGTGTATTTGGGTAGGTGGCTCGTCGAGCAGAGGAATGTTGGAGATGGCGGTTATGAGAGAGGTGAGGAATTGTCGGGAGGTGGGGAGGTGGAGGGCTGGCGTTGTGGAGGTTGGTGATGAGTGTGATGGTGGTGATGAGCTTTTTGCTTCTTCCTGTGGTTGAGGCTGGTAAGACGGTTGAGGGTGAGGCGAAGCGGGGCCTGGTGGGTGTAAGTCGGGATTGGGGTCAGAATGCCCGTGGTGGTGTTTGTTGGGTGAGGCCATCACGCTGTTGGATTTCCTTCAGGGAGTGATTAGCTGGATTATGTTTCGTAAGTTCTGAGAAATTGATTTTGGTAGTTATGATGGTTTAAATTTGCACTTCATCCGATTCATCATTTTATCCGGTGATGGTGGTCAAATGGTGGTGCAAGTTGTTAGGTGAACGCAGTGACGCGGTTCTAAGAAAACGTCCAAGTTCAAATCTGCATTCTCTACTCAACAGTGCGCAACCATCGCTCGAATTTAACACAATCAGATTTGACGGATCATCGATAGCATTTTGTCTACTCATTGTTTTTTTTCTTCTTCATCTCACGTAGCCCATTTTTACCATGCAAGTCATAAAAATACATACAAAGAACCTTCAGCGGCAAAGAATAAAGGTACAGATCCTCATCATCATACCCAGTCCTTGGGGTTCTTCAGCACCTCAACCAGCCTTGCCTCCCTGCTCTTTGGCGCCGGTTCATACATGTACTCCCACCTAGCCGTCAACGGCAAGCTCATGAGGATACTCTCCACGCGCGCACCAGGGGTATTCAAGCCAAACGCGGTACCGCGGTCGTGCACCAGGTTGAACTCGACATACTTGCCCCTGCGAATCTGCTGCCACCGCTTCTCCTCCTCCGTGTACGGCATATCCTTGCGCTTGTTGATGATGGAAATGTAGGTGGGCGCAAACGACTTGAGTGCGTCCTGGACGAAAGCGAAGGTGTTCTCCTTGTCGGAGACGGTCTCATCCAAGTCGTCGAAGAAGATGCCACCGATACCGCGGCACTCGCCGCGGTGCTTGTTGTAGAAGTACTCGTCGCACCACTTCTTGAAGCGGGGGTAGTATTCCTTGTCGTGGGCATCGCACACTTCCTTCAGCGACTTGTGGAACTGGATGGCGTCCTCATCAAAGAGGTAGCTGGGCGTCAGGTCACTTCCGCCACCGAACCACCACGCTCCCGAGGAGCCGTCGGGGTTGGCCGTCTCGAAGTATCGGTAGTTGAGGTGGACCGTCGGGGCCATGGGGTTCTTGGGGTGGACGATCAGACTGAGGCCGGCGGCGAAGAACTCGAGGCTGTCAGGAATGTCATCCTCCTGAGCCAGGTTTTTGTGGTTGGCACGCATCTTGATGATGGCGGGCTTGGGAAGAGTGCCGTAAACGACGCTCACACCAACACCGGCCTTCTCAAATACCTTGCCTTCCTGGAGGACGCAGGTGATGCCGCCGCCACCCTCCTTGCGCTGCCACTCGTCCACCCGGAATGGTGTGCCGTCGGCCTCCTCTAGCGCTCTGACAATTTCCTTCTGTTGCTCCTTGACGAACTTCTCCATACGCAGGCGCATTGGCGAGGCATCATTTACGCCTTTCTCGCGCTTAATCTGCTGGTCGCGCTCGGCAAGGGTGGGGGAATCGCATCGGATGGGGTCTTCGACGGCCTGGAATCAGAGCACATGGTGAGCTAGGGTCCGTAGTAGGCAATTGGTCAATGGGAAGTCGCAGCAGGCGCATACCATCTTGTAACTAAGAGTAGTGGCTACAGCCAGACCAGCAGCAGCCAAAGTGAGGTAGTTTCGCGAGTTCGAGACAGCTTGACGTGCCGATCCGGAGCTCTGGAAGCTTGATGCAGCTCGGCGAGGGGTCCAGGTATGGTTGAATTGGGGCTTCGTCTTGCACTGAGCAAACAGGCGAAGAGTAGGCCGTCGCGAGGCCATCTTGACGGTTCTTATTTATACGAGTTGGGGAGTGGTAGCGTGGTGGTGGGTGGTGAGCAGGTCGAGGTCCCGAGATCGAATGATTTTACTCTGCGAACATGAGACCACCACACCAGATCTAGGTACGGAGGGCCGGGAAAGACCGCGCAAGCTCTTTCACAATCGCGAACTGGTGAACTGTCGATTCGTCAATTGGGACAAGGCTGAACCGAGAAATTCGACAGACTCGACCCTCGGCTGATGTGGTGTCCAGAATCGGATGTTGTTGTTGAAATCGAGAGCTTGGTCTCGGCGGGTAGTCTAGTCTTCGCTGTGTAATCGCCCTGCCTGCTGGGGATCTCGAGGAGGGATCCGCTTGTGGTGCCTCGGAGCCGAATTCTCTTTCACTGCAACTATCAACTACCTACATACAAGCAATGAAAAACGACGCTATACCCGGAACAGGCTGATGGACAGCTCCTTCTATAACCACACTGCCATAATAGCGCAGTGCCGTATCCCGTGCGGGCAGAACGGAACATTCGCGGGGTGTTCCTTGCATTTCAACGGCTCCAGTGGATGGACGGGGAACCGGACCCTGAGGAGCAAGATGTCCACTTTTGGTGCTGCACGCACTCCGGGAGCGAACGGAAAAGCCGCCTAGGCGGACACCGAAAACGGTACCTGATAGTAAACACGCGGGCCCGGGTCCCATGGCGGGGCAAATGGTCAGCTCCGATCGGACTTCAGTTGTATGTAGGGAGGCCCGGGAGGAGCTCCAGGATAAAGCTTCATTGATAGATAGGAGACTATTATGGATAAGATATACCAATACAAATGCGAACAAGCGGAGAGAATGACGACTTCGCAGTGGTGACATCCATGACCTGGTCCTCCCTAGGTCTTTAATAGTGTAGAGGTAGACGGCAGGCGAACAAAGCGGTCAACAAGCTGCCCGTGCAAGTTCGAGACGCTGGCCAAGCCGATGGAACCGTCCACGCCCTTCTTAGTAAAATGCGGTCTACACGTTCAACGAACCGGGAAGCCAAAGGATCACGGCCACGAGGCTGGCTGCCCTTGGAATGTGGAAAGGAGGTTTACAATGCGCCCTTCTTCGGGCCATCCTTCTGTCTTGTCCATGTGCCGCTGATACAAGGTACCTCTATCAACCTAGGACTTGGTAATGTATACTACAACGAGAGATAGGAGACGGATACGGAGTGCTGCGTCATTGCTCAACCTCCACGCCGCCCCACTGATGGCCAAGAGGTACCGTTCAGGTACCGCTCCTAGCTGGGTGCCGGGCACGCCTTCGCCTTGAAATGCCCCTGGAATGCCACTGAAAAGGCAGTGACCTGTTAAGCTTGACCATGTGAGCGACGGCCAGTGACCCATCTGATTCACCGACTGGGAGCGGGCTAAGCCCAATCGAGGATCGACTCTCGCTTTAGTCATCTGGTCAGCCCCGCCTCCGCCTGCTGGTCACCCGCTTAGTAGTGTTCAGGTTGTCCTGGCGTGTCCAGGGCCTTTGACCCGTGCTGCGCAGACAGGCGGGCAGCCGCCAACTGGACGCGGCCGATAGGCAACACTGCCTGGCAACCTACTAACACACCTTACATCGATGGTCAAAGAGGTACATCAACCCTTCTTCCCCCTCTTCATCCTCTTGCCGTTTCTTACCTCTGACATCTCTCCCCAGCTTCCTCATTTCATCACACGCCAGTCATCAAGGTATGTTTTGCATTTCCGGCCAACACTGATTCTGCTCCTTGTGGAAGCCATACATGATCTATCTCCCTTTCAATAGCCGCTTCTTCCGACTAACACCGGATTCCCTCTATCGCAGACACCGTCTTATCCATCCATCGTATCCACGCTTGTAGTCTATTTCAAAGCCAAACACCTATCACCGCATCTTCCACATTATCAACCCAAACCGCCAAAATGAGATCCAAGTTCAAGGACGAGCACCCCTTCGAGAAGCGCAAGGCCGAGGCCGAGCGTATTCGCCAAAAGTACTCCGACCGTATTCCCGTAAGCATCCCCCATCCGGACCATCCCGCGGTCACCGCCCTTATCCCTAACTAACACATGTCGCCACAGGTTATTTGCGAAAAGGTCGAGAAGAGTGATATCGCTACCATCGATAAGAAGAAGTACCTCGTACCGGCGGACCTCACCGTGGGCCAGTTCGTTTACGTCATCCGCAAGCGCATTAAGCTGTCGCCCGAGAAGGCCATCTTCATCTTCGTAGATGAGGTCCTGCCTCCAACCGCTGCTCTCATGAGCAGCATCTACGAGGAGCACAAGGATGAGGATGGGTACGTGGCAGCCTCTATCCCCTATCATTTTTTCCAACTGTAACCCAGACTAACGTGACTACTACCACAGTTTCCTCTACATCACATACTCGGGCGAGAACACCTTCGGCGACTTCGAGACTGCGTAATCATATCCTCTCTATCGTTTTGCTTTAGACGTTGTGGGCGTTTTGGGATTCATACACGATTACTGGATCAATGAGCGGGTTGGTGGGCTGTGCATCATGTTGTTTCTGCTGGGTTTATATCCTTAGGGTTACGTTGGCTGAAGAGGGGGAGGGCTTGCTACGACAGAAGGGACGATGGGACTGCGCTGTTGGGGTCTGGACTTAAGTGCCACTTGCAGTCGTATGAAGGCGGAATCCCCTTTACTTTGCTTCCCGGTGTGCTTTGGTCTAGAGACAGCATCATTTGCCGTTGGGTTGCCCGTTTCACAAATCAATGTTTACCTCATTCTCTATGCCCTTTCTCACCACGCCGATGACTTACATCCTTTGTTAAAACCCTCCGAACATGAAACCTGGATGTATGGCCGCAACAGAAGCACATCACGAGGACGGTAGTTCCATACGTGGATATGGCGAGGAAGCACGCAGCTTATAGAAACCATGATAGCTATTACACGTATCCTAGCTGGATATCGGTACACTGGTTCTCATGGTCGATGGTCTCTGTGTATAATGACGCTTGGTCAAATCCATTGTGTGGTGTACTAACTGTTGGACTTCCCAGTTCTTCTGAACCGATTTGATGTAATCAGAGGACTCCTACAGCAGTGATACCGTCGGTACAAACTCGCCAAACTCGTATATTCGATTCTGGCAGTCTCAGATTAACTTTATGCTTCGCCAATACAAGAAAGATGTGCCGATTACTTGGCATTGCATAGGTCTGCAGCCTAACCTCCAGGGGCAACTCCCAAGACACTCAAAAGTAACTTGCCTCGGCGCATGACTGACACGTTTTCATCAACTTCCTCTGTCATCTACAAAATTAATTTCACATCGCTGTTCAAACATCACACCGTATTTGAGAGTTGAATTGTATTCTACTATGATAAGCCATCACAAAAATCAGTACGATCATGTTCATGTGTGGCTAAAACAATGGACTGTGGCTGCAGCAATAACTGAAACAACAAAGGGCTATGCGTGCGGGATGAGTGAGAAAGTTGAAAGACAGACAATGAATAGTTAACAATACTGAATGCTACAAGCTTATCAATAGTAAATTTTGAAGTGTAGGGGTGTGAGTGTGAATAACAGAATCCAAAGCACAAAATAGAAAGGGGACCGTGGCTGTCCAAGTGATGGAAGTAGAGAAAAGAAGGGGAAAAGAAAATCAGTGACATCATGGATATAGAAACACGGAGTTCTACACCTTTATTCAGTAGAAGCCTTGACAACAAGAAGTGAATGAATAAATTGTTGTTGTTCAACTGCATCACTTTTCATTTTCTAGGTACACTGGTCTGCTTCTTTCCATGGAAGTCATCACTACCTCCAAGCATGGTTGATCACATTGTCAAACCCGCCTTTCAGTCCACGAACTGTTGTCACAGCACCATAGAGAATGAATAACTAAATGGAACACATAAACACTCGTGACACCATATGTGACATGAGAAACAAGGGCGCACACCATACTTGGGTAAAAGTATAAAGAAATAGAGATGAGAGAGGGATCATAATAAGTTCACGCCATTTACTTATCTTACAATATCAAAGGACTTACAGGATAGAAGTACACACAGCAAGGAGAAAGTCCAGCTTTAACCCTTGAGCCTCAAGTCCAAGGTCCACTCACTGGTTAGAGGTATCAAGCTGCTTCTGAAGCAAAGTACCTAAAAGCCACGACACACTTTTTTCTGAATTTATCTATATCTTGCATAAGGAAGCGTCGACGTTCTTTCATCTTTTGAACTGGGAGAGTCCCAACATGTGTATGAGGTATTCCTGTATGGTTTCTTCAAGGGGGTGAGTGAGCGTTGCTTGTGAGCAGCTAACAGTTGCCTCTACAAGCACCTACCTGGGAAGGAGACGAGGTGAATGATGTAACAAAGTGATGTGGTTAGTTGTAGGTGAGGCTTCTGTCGACAAATAGGACGGAATGCGAGTCAAATCAGCTAGCTGGACACATAGCCGGACTTGACGTGGAGCATATCATAACCTTGCCTAGACTCATGATGATCTAGTGCTGGCAGGAAGAAACCTGTGACTTTTTCGTAGTTATCAGTATTGTACGGACCAGAATGAACTGTTGACGTAGATGTTGAATGGATGGAAGATACAGAAGCAACAGAGACATGGACAGACGGGCATGATAGTGCAAGATAAAAAAAAAAAAAAAATTGATTGCTGAAGTTCTTTGACTAACTTGAACAAACACAAAAGTTTTGATACAAAATACCACACCTCTCTCTCTATCCAACTCGACTCCGTTCCCTCCCATCCTCCTTCCCCTTTGTTTTCTTTTCTTCAAGTTATCTGACCCTCTTTCCATCTCGCTCAAACCACGCGCGCAACACAAGTAAGGTAAGTATCAGAAGCATCGATCCAAGCTTGATAAACACGACGATGACCACTTAATGACAGAAAAAAATATGTGGTGATACGCTATGTTTTGCATCTGTCGCTCTTGCTCTTTCACAACACCATTTTTGCAATGTCTTCACTCCCAACAGTCGGATCTCTCTCGTAAGACGCCAAATCATTAACATTAAACAGAAAACGGCGACAACCATAGGCCGGAAGACCGGAGCGGGGAGCGGGGGTGGGACAAATATACCCGACTGACACCGGAGACCGATTCATCCATGCCGTCTCCAAGCCCGTGAGGTAGAATGACGGATGATCCGAGCACTCACTCTCTTTCCCTACTCGCGTGTCGTTCTCCTTTTCCCCTCTTCTCCTTTGCCTCAACAAAAACAACATAGAGACTCTTCTTTCCAGCACTATATATCAACCCGGCAAAAAGGAAAACGGAAAATAGGTGGGTAGTAGGAATGCGCTGGTTTCTCAAACTCTGGAACCAAAGACCAAATAAAGAGGAAAAATGGAAACGCGATGTACAAAAAAATCATGCCTTCCTTCCTTCGCCTCGCAGAACGCCTGCCAGAACGCGTCAAAACGCCTGCCTCGAGTGCAATATTATATCATGAACTCGAGCCAAGTAAATTTTTGGCACCCGCTTCAGCTGACTGACCCTCCTCGAATCCTATTCGCTCTGCTCCCCCCGTTTCATCATCTCAATTCCCATACCTTGGCGCCTCTTCCTGATCGATTCTTCTTCCCACCTGTTGGTGTCAATGTTATCCTAATAACCACTTCATCTTCCACCAAACAGTTCCGCTCTCCCATTCGATAGCCTTCTCTGGCTCCCCGTTAGCCTCCTCCCATATGCGCTTTCCACCAGCGCCTTTCCCGTGTGAACCAGAAAATGGGGTATATGCAAATGGTCCGATTCCAGAATGAATGCTTTCCCCGGCCCAGATACAGAGTTAAGCCGGATGCAGTCATGTAAAATCCCATGCGTGTGTGAACAGAAAGAAAAAGTAGAAAAAATCGAGCCCAAAGACTGCCCAGCTCTGGATGTCTAAGAAGTCGAGAGGTCTGAACGAGCTCATGTCAAGAAGACCAAGCAAGACGCCAAGACACCAACCGTGAAGAATTTCTGTTAATTGTGTATAAAGGAGAGCAAGACGGCGTCCACAGCTCGATCAAAGGACGTCTCGGCTTCTATCCTTGATTGTTCTTCATGCGTTTCTGCATCCTCGGCGTTGGAGGGTGCTTAGCCTTCACTTGGACGCCGTTCATCTGAGGCATTTGGGGTGTACCGATAGTCGCCGGCGTCGGGGCTGAGGTGGGACCATCATCTTCGAGCTTCGCCTGGGAAGCTCTCCTCTTCTTGTTGTTCTGCTGAGGCGAAGTATTTGCGCTTGGCCCACTAGAGTTGGTGCCTTGCTGGCTGACTTGAAGCTGCATGGCAGGCGCCTGCATTTGGCCAGGAGCCGGGCTACCTATATGAGGAGACCCAGGAAGCATCTGGTTTGCCATTGCTGGACTGGCACCCATTGGAAATTGGTTGTATCCTGGAGTCCTAGGGACTCCTTGCGGCATCGCCTGGCCGTTGACAGCTGGACCTTGACCTGTGATCTGGGTCATGAACTGCTCGAGAGCAGCATATGGGGAGATGCCGGGATGATTGTGGGAGAACGTGAATAAGGGGCTCATTTGACCCATGATATCGGCCATCTGCACAAGACATCGAGTTAGCGTTACATTGTACCTGCAGAACAGTGCGTATTGCGACCACGTACCTCCAGGAACTGAAACACGCCTTCTGGAATCCCCATCCCAATTTTGACGCAAGAGTCCGGAAGCTCGATATCCGGCGGCGGAGTGGCTGGGCTCTTGTACGGCCTCTGCTTGCCCTTTTTGCTCATCTCTGGTGACTGCTTGCTGTCAGGCGGGTTCAGGGATCTCCACTCCTTGATCCAGGTGTGCGAAGGCCGAGCAGCCTCGATGATTGCGCGTCGCGAATGGTACTCCTCGTGGTTCTCAACGACAAAGTCGAAAAGCTCAATAAATTGGTCGCTGTCGAACTGGATCCGGAGGGTTCCATTATGGACCACCTATTTCGGAATTATAAGCGTTCTGCTACCACGTAGGCTTGGGTTTAGGGCTATCCAACTTACATGCGATCCATTATCGTACCAGTAGAAGACACTTGCCCTGGCGATCTCAATGAAATGGCCGTCGTGGGGCAACGATCTGTCTGTGGTGCCTTGCATGACCAGCTGCATTTTCGAAACGCCACTTTCGAAATGCACATTGAAGAATCGCGGCAAGGCTGCAACGTCGATCTCGTAGGGCTTGGGATCGGCAGCTTCATCTTCACGTTTCTTAAAAGTCTGGCGGAAGACGCCTTTCTGGGAGAAGAACCGCTGGACAAAGAGTTGCCAGTACTTCAATCCGTCTGCACCCTGGGAACCCTTTATAGCAGCAAAGTCAGCAATCAAGGACGGGCGGGAAGTTGGACGGGGGATGCTCAACGCGTAAGCTTACCGTGAATCCATTCAAATGCTCATTGAACGAGTTGAGCTTAAGCAAGCACTGGCCCTTCAAGTTTGCGCTATCTACACGCTTTTGCTGCAGGAGGTTGGCAACATTGGCGGCTGCTTGAACTTGGGCGTGGGCAAGTTGTGCTTGCTGGGCTTGTGTGGTCTGTGGCGTTTGAGGGGAGACCTGCTGTTGGGCATTTGGCTGCTGTGTAGGGCCCTGAGCAGGCCCCTGGTTCTGTGCTGGCCCATTTACTCCCGGACCTGGCTGAACCTGTGGTTGCTGTTGTTGAGTAGGCTGCTGAGGCTGACCCGGCTGCTGTTGGGGTGGCTGTTGAGGCGGTTGGGGCTGTGGTTGTTGCGGTTGCTGCTGTGGCTGTCCCGGCCCTCCTTGTTGTGCCTGGGCCTGGGCCTGGGCTGCCTGAACTGCCGCCGACTGCTGGGCATGGGCCTGTTGCGTATGAAGAGCGGCCAGCTGAGCTTGCATGTTGAGGCCTGGACCTTGGGGGTTGATCTGGTGCTGGCCGGGGTTGTTTCCCTGCTGGGCCATCTGTTGTTGTTGTTGTTGCTGCTGCTGCTGCTGCTGCTGTTGCTGTTGTTGTTGCTGTTGTAATTGCTGCTGCTGCTGCTGCTGCTGCTGCATCGCCATCTGTTGGGCTATGAGATTCGGCTGTGTACTGCGTTAGTATCCTTGCAGTAGATCTCCTTTCGCAACGGGATTCTCGAGCTCTTACATTCATCCCCTGCCCCTGGTGCTGTTGCGCTAGATGCTGTTGCATCTGATGGGTCATTGGCATTGGGGCACCCATTGCGCGCCTCTGCATTAACTGGGCCATATGAGGGTTCATCTGGCCCATGCCGGGGACACCTATTGGCATGCCTCCCAGGTTACCGTACTGAGCCTGAGCTTGCTGAGCCTGCATGATTCTCTGGTGTTGCGCTTGCTGCAGCTGCTGCAGCCTAACTTGCTGCAACTGCTGTTGCATGGCTGGGTTGTTGGGAACTGAAGATCCATTTTGGTTAGTATATGGTGTCTAAGCAAGCGAGCGGGGCATGGCAGAAAAAAGAAGGCAAAACATACAGCCCATCCCATTGATTTGTTGTTGGTATGCTGCCATCTGCTGGGGGTTCAAATGCTGCATGGCAACATGGGCGTTGGGAGTGCCGGGCGGCATTCCGCCCATGAGAGCGCCGGCGCTCATCTGGGGGCCGGGGCCGGAGACACCTAAGTGTGCCACCATCTGATGAGCCATGGCGGGAGTTGCGCCGGGCTGGCTGGGGTTGTGGGCCATGCCCGGAGCCATGTGGTGACCGGGAGGAGCTCCCGGATGTTGCTGCATTCCGCCAGGGTGCGGCGAAAAGGAGGGACCAATCGGCATGCTAGCCATCATCTCTTTCCACTTTGCTGTCGACTATCCACAGCGTGGATATCGACGTGACTTCCTCCGCGCTATCGCATACGAAGTGTAACCAGTTCGTCGGTACGGGGGGTTGCCGCGAGGGCCGGCTGAGGCGTTGGTCGGTCTTCTTCCTTGTCTGGCGCGCACGCGTATCACAATGCCGCTTCAATCGGGTGGCGATCGACAGGCGGTCGAGAGGCAGTTGAAAATAGCGTTTGCTGGACGACTGCTGTTGTGCTGTTGCGCTCACGGAGAGGAAGCCGAGCGTGTTGGGGGCGAATGCGACGACGACAGCGGCGACGACGGCAGGCACTGGGTGTGTCGGTTCCTTTGGTGCGGACCTGGCGATCCAAGGATCCAAATCACCTCGGACAGGCCTCAAGCTGGGAAGACGGGAGTGGCCGGTGTCTGGTGGTGTGCGTTGCACTCACAGCCAGCGACGGGGGCCTTGTCTGGCGGCGGCGGCGGCGGTCGCGCGACGAGCAACGTGAGCGGAAAGTTGGGGGAGACAGTGAGCAAAAAGGGTAGATCCAAGTCGGTCGAAAGTCGACTTGGGAACAGTGTCAAGTAAGCACACAGAGAGTGCCGCCCGAACGATCTGACCGCAAGGAAGAAGAGACGAAGCGGGACGGGTCCGGCAGGCGGATAGGCGTAGGTAAGTAGGTAGGTGGGTAGGTCAATAAAGGTACCAAGGCGGGTGAGGTGACCAGAGCGGTAGGTAGGCAGAGGCTATTAGGTATGTGTGCCGATGCGGCAGAATGCACCACGGCAGCGATAATAGGTAGGTGGTGAAATGATTAAGGAGGATTTCCCGCTGGTGATGGGAAGACAAGAGCGTCGAAAGTAGAAAGAGACTGGTGAGAGAGAGAGAGAAATGGTGAGCGACGAAGCACTAGATCTCCTGCAGCAAGAGATGAGGGATACAACGGAACGAGCACCGACGTGTCGTGGACTGTCGGAGTCGGAGGTGGATTGAGGCTTGGGGATGATTGGGAAGGGTAAGGTGGTTGTGTGGATCTCCCGTCCGTCGACTCTCTGGGCTGCGCTGCTGCTTGACTGGGTGTTTTTATGGGACTGACTGGCGAGGTCTGGGAGTCTGGGTCCTGACCTGGGCAGACGGAGTCCCGTCAAAAAAAGAGTTCCTTGGAGTTGATGCTGGGGCCCTTGGTAGGTTTTGACAGAAGCGGGAGTGCTTGGCGGGCGAGCTGGATGAGGTGGTTTTGGACCCCAGGGGTACAAAGAATGGAATGCCACTTACTATGGTAGAGATAGTCTATGTGTCTATGTATTGGGGTTCTGATGACCGACCAGTGATGACGAGCTCAGAAGAAATGTTTCTCGTCGGAATTCCTCTCTTTGTTATTTTCCCTGTGGATGGGTCAAATTTGGGATGTTGGTGACATTTGGGGGGGAGCGCTGGAAATATATATGATTCGAACTGAGCTCGTTGAAGTCTTTTTGTGTTAGGTCAGCATTGCTGCAGAGAGTCACGGGAGCTCAGTAGTTTACAGGATATTAGCTTGTATTAGATAAATCTCCCAGCACAAGCCATGATATTCTGTCTGGCTTTGACTGCCGCATATGTACTCTTGAAACTGAGACCCGTTGTTGCAGGGTTAAAGGAGTTCGACAAAGGCTGAATGCCCTCACATCATAATCGCTATACAACCTGAGAAACACTTTGACTCCCCTTAAAGGGCACTCCTCTCCAGCATTTTTTCAATACCAAATCCCATCACATACCAAGGTGTCAAACTTGGGTTCACTCAGCCTACAGCAGAGAGATGCCCGTGCTCCATGCATCGAGCCATTCTCATGCACACGCCGCCGAATCACCACCTAAACTCCCGATTTCGGCCTCAGACTTACCTCTACAGAGATTTGTTACGATCCTCAGTAATGCGGAACGACTGACGGAGGAGAACAAGTCGCTTCGGGTCATACGAATGGCCATAGAGCCAGACCAGTCGACCTACGACAGACCCTACGAGCTTCCTTCAGTGGTGACGTTGAAAGAGCGGGCTTCCAACAGCTTTCAGAATCGTGTCACCAACCCTAACCCTACAATGCTTGGACAGCCAGGAAACAGAAAAGGGGGTGTCGGCTGTTGGCCCACCCGGGCGCGATGTACACACCACACCGTGAAGCGTCAGGATCAACGAATAGTCCCTCTGAGAGGTCGACAGAAGCACAGCAATGAACATCCACCAAACTGAAGACAAGAGATGAGAGCCTGGGAAATGATTGCTCCTGTCTAACCGAAAGGGCTTTCTCGTATACACCGCAAAGATTAATGTCCAACAAGCTGAACCTCCCCTTCAGTTGGTCTCGGCTCATCAGCCCGCAGTGAGGTGGTCTGTCTGGAGTCTGGACGGCCGACAGACTCTTGTCGCGATGGCGGGCGATGGCGGGACCTTGCAGCAGGCGATCCATCCTTTGATAAGAGGTGGAACCCAGCATCACGTGTGTCCACACGTGTCTATGTTCTGCGCGCTTCTATTCTGTCAGGTCTCCCGCCCAGAACTTGCCGACCCCACCTGAATTTTCGTTATCGTTATCTCCTCCCGCGCAGAAGTATTTGAACTGTCCAATTGTCGCAAACGCAACCTTAATTTTCTCCCCTTCCTCAGAAACCAACAATCGCAAACGCCGCGATTTTCGAGCTCACGCATTCATCCAACCGATGCTCCTGGTGAGCAATGGTTCGAGTATGCAGAGCTGGCAGGAACCGCTTCGTTGCGTGTTCATGTATCTGCCCGCAGCATATTGCTTCTTTTGAGAGGCAAGGCTGTGCGACATCTTGTCAATACTTCACAACGCGCGGACACAAGCGTCGCATTCAGGTAGGTCAACAACAACTGCCATGACAATCAACGAGGTAAGCGCCGATTTCCCTTTTCCTTCTTTTCGCAACAGCACCTTTCACAGCCCTTCCCCCTGGATCCGCCTTCGGATGATGACAACTTCTGAAATGTCTTCTTTTCCCAACTGAATCGACCATGAACGAAGACTAGTCTGTTTCGGGCTTCCTCCTACGGGAGTCGGCCTGTTGCTTGCCAGTAATTTTTTCTGACTGAAGCGGATTGCACTTCTTCATTTTTCCACAACCCACACGCGCGTATCCACAGCAACTTTCGCCAACATTGTTGCTGACTCCATACCGCAGACAGACACAGAACCTTCTCGAGCCTGGCTCTCTGATATATAAGGCGCCCTTGTGCCCTTTTTCTGTTGCTTCTGATTCTCTCCTCGAGACAGACAACAATGTGATTCTGCCAACTAATCACGACAGCTTGATCACAAGATCACTTTCAGCAAAAAGGTTAGTTCATACTTTGTGCAACTCGCACACATCACACTCCCCCCCGATTCTTATGATGAAGTTTTCCTACATTCGCAGTTTCCACTCGAGACCCCACCTACGAGCCTTTCTCGGGGTCAGATGAGGGCGAAGTCTTCCTTGGATGTCTGATTGGATCATCAAACACTTGTTGTTTTGAGCAGTCTTTTGTCTTGCGAGCATCAGCTAACAGATCCCAAGCGCAGGATATCCATCTACTATGAATCAATTTTAGATAGCCACAATAAAATAGAGTTCAAAAAACTTCTGCCTTCGCCCTCCTTTGTGATCGATGATCGATAAACATAACAGTTGCCAGCAGATGCGCTTCGGCGTGTCGAATCGACATTCACATCATCTTTCCATTGATATGAATGTTTTCGCTCTGGCATAGAGAGATCATTTTTGACCCATTGCTGGGCGCCCATGTTGAGAGATCGTTTTGTATCTCACCGATATCTGGGAATCAGTAGAGGTTACATCCCATCAAGAATATCATCCAATAGTCAAATCGAACAGTGATTAAAAGTTCTGCTGCCTCCGCCTTTTTATGTGATCAAAGTTTGAAGAGTTGCCCTGGGTGATGTGTAATGACACAGATCCCTCCTGATGACAGAGCGCGGTACCCCGGTGAAGGTGTCTAATGGATGACCTGTGTATTCTCACCATCCGTCGGACAACTGAATGACTTGCAGCAAAAACATATCCTGATCTTTTACCAACCATCAACGATGAACATGCAGGTCTTCATCAAATTATGGCTGTATCTCCTCGGACATCAAGTATGCTACGTTTCCGAAGGCATCACCGCCCGTGCCCAAAACCAAAGCAGGAGAAAATATTACTTGTATAGATATACATATTTATATATGCGTGGTCCTGAGAACCGAGGAATGTAAATGCTCCCCCAAGAAAAAACCGATGATCTACGAGAATTAACCCCTTATTCCAACTCCATGCCTCCATTTAACCCGCATATCTCTTTTCTTTTCTTCTTGTTTCACCCACTTCTACTACCTCGTTCCCATCCCAAGTCCAAGTGCCCATCTCTCCAGAGGTTTGGTTACCATCCACTAATTGTCAACCACAATCTCGTTCGACAATGATCCGGCGGCAGCAGGCATAGAAACACCAGCAGCACCAGCCAAAGCGGCACCCGCACCAACAGTACCGGCAGTAGCAGGAACAGAAGCACCAATAGGCAGACTACTCATCATCCCTCCCGTCCCTGTTGTCCCAGCAATAATGCTGGCAGAGGTACCCAATCCCGACCCCGACCCTGTCCCCGTCCATCCTCCTCCCCTATCTCTCTCAGCCTGCTGACCCTGCAGCAACCCACCCCCAAACCCACTTCCCACAGTCCCTATACTCATCATACTCCCCATCGTCCCCGTGGTCCCAAGGCTATTCATGCTCACCCCCGCCGGGCCCGTCCCCAACGATCCCGCATACCCGCCACCACCACCACCTTGACCAGCATAACCGCCGTAGGACGACGATGACGCATAACCCATCCCAGAGCCAGCGCCCATGGAAAAGGCCAAAGCGGACCCAGACCCGCTCCCTGCTCCCGCGCGCTTGACTCGCCCGCCTACGATGCCCCTTCTGTTGCGACCGGTGCGGCCGCGGCCGAGCCAGTTGAGTTTGAGGAGCTTGTTCAGTTCTTCAATCATGCGAGAGGATTCATCGGGAGGTACGTTTCCGTATGCACCCGTCCCCCCACCAGGACCGCCGGCACCACCAGCAGCAGCAGCAGCAGCAGCAGTAGCAGCAGTATTGGCGGGGGCTGTGGGTGTGGTTGGTGTTGTGGCATTAGCAGCCGTGGGTGTGTTTGGCAAACTATTGTTACCAGCACCGCTGATCCCGCTAGTAGCCAAGCTAGCGCTCAGACTGGAAATCGACGGGCGGGGAGGTAGCGGACCAGGGCTGTTAGCTGTCGGAGTAGCCGGCGACGAAGGGGAGGAGAATTGTGAAGGGGAAGACGTGGTTTGGACGAGAGGGGGTAAGCCGCCAGCCACTGAAGAGCCCGAGGGAGAGGCGGGGACGGTGGCGTTGGTCATGGTTGTTGTTGCCACGGAGTCTTGCGAGGAGGAGTAGGTATTGTAGGAGGCGAGGTTGCCCGTGGAGGAGTGGGGGTTTTGGTTCGGTATGGAGGAGGTGAAAGAAGGAGTGGTGGGCGCGGAAACAGAAGCCAGGACGGACATGCATTGGAGCATGCGTCCGACCATTTCCGTGACTTGCTTGGAGTCTTCGACGTTTTGGTCGGCGGTTCTTCCACCGCCGCCGCCTGTAGGGTCGCGGAGGCTGCCGTGGATGGAGTTGCTGCCTATACTTGCTATACTGGGCGCTACGTGTAAGGGGAATTGCTGTACGGGTGTGGACATGTTGAGGTTGAGGTTGGCGATACCAACACCGCTAGGGGTGGACATGGCGGCTTGGGCGGAGGCGGCGCCAAGGGCTTGAATGCTGCTGGGGGTAAAAGGGCGGTTGGCGTTGCCGTGGTCGCTGCCGAAGCTGACGTTACTGATGGTACGCGAGCGATTACCGCTTCCTGGAGGGGTATCGCCGCCACCGCCGGCGGTGCCCATCCCGTTGCTGTTGTAGCTCGCGTAGGAAGGGTCCACACTGGGAACGGGGTTGGACATGGAGGTGTTTGGCCGTGGAGGGGCGGTGCCAAAGCCGGCACCCATTCCTAGGGTCATGGTTGCTGGGAGGCTACCTGCGAACGATAGCGAGAGTTGCGACTCTTGCGAGGGCGAGGTCGAGAGCGCGGGCTGATAGGCACCGCCTTGGTTATGAGCCGTGTTTTGGAACCCGGAGGTAGGAACTGGGACCGGAGAGGAAAGGGCCATGCTAGCCAGGCTCTGTGGTAGGAACTCGAGAGAGAGACGCGAGAACATGATCTTCAGCGTGTCGTAACGGGGAAGAATAACGATATCGCGGAAGGCAAGGAGAACCAGTCTCCGTATGTCAAGGACTGATGAGGCCGATATGCTGAGGCCGTAGCTGGCTGGGACACCGCCCCAGAAGTCACGAGCTTGGTCTGGCGTCATCAAAGGCCCGCTGCCGGCGAATTCCATGTCTAACGGTAGAAAGACTGCTTGCAGATATGGCAGGATACTGGTAAATGTGAAGATCCAAAGCTCGACAAGAGCAGGGATCAAGCGGTCTTCCGGAGTCTTCTTCAGACTCTGGTCGAGACTCGAGAAGCCCGTGGTGAGAAAGTCCCGGATATCCTCGATGATGATATTTGGGCTGCGCCGCGAAATGCAATACTGGATATGCATCGTCACTATACGATTCAGGTCTTCTACAGGGAGACGAAGGTCCTCAGCTTCAAAGATGACAAGCAGCTTGGCCCTGAGAAACGGCCAGGCGTCATCAAGGGTCATGTTGTTGAGCCCGAACTTTTGGCTGTCAAAGGGCTCGTTGTGGAAGAGTGCTGAAGCCAGGTTGCCAGTGGCAGAGCTCACGCTACTTGGACCAGGCCAGTCGCCTCCAGGGTTGTAGCTTGAGGCCGCGTCGTCCAGACTTTTGTCCTCCTTGTTCTTCTTCTCGCGCAATGCACGGCCGCCGTGTCGCAAATCAAGACCTGATTTGAACGCATTGCTGCTAGGACCAGGACTTGTTGGCAAGTTGAAATTATACAGACTGCTGGGGGCTGTGGGATCTGTAGGCCTGGAATTGCTCGAAGCTGACGAGAGCGGTAGGTGATACGCCTCTATCAGCTTTTCCTTTTGTCGCTTCAAAAAATGCCCATGCTTCTTCTCCTTTTCTTTCACCTCCTTCTCTGTAGCTTCGGCTGGTCGTATCGTGGCGGTTGACGAGTTCCCATGGGCGTAGAAGGGTTGCTGCATATTCGATTCGAGACTCGTAGTGCTGTAGTTGGCCCGTTGCAGATTCGAAAAGGCATGCCCTAGCTTTCCGGGACTAGGCAGTGGTTTCTCCTTGGATGTTTCCGCCTTTGAGCTGGACTTGCCAGGGCGCGAAAACAGCTTGACCTTGCTCTTCTCTGACTTGACAGCGGGTTTCTCGGCGGCGACAGGCGGTGGAGTAGGTGTCAAGGGGTTCGTCGGCTGGGCGGGCAGTTTCGGGGACGATTGCGCCGATCGGGGGAACACCACGTTCGCGGCCGCTGTGGCAGCAAGGGTATGGTTTCCGGCGAGACCGTTGTGGTTTCCTTGACTTCCAAACACATTATCCCTTGGCGCGCTCGCCTCTGTCAAGCTCAAGATGGGAGGGCTCATCGGACCGCCGCTTTTGCGCTTGTTCGCGACCGAAGTCTGTTCATGATGCTCGCCTGACGGTGGTATCGTTTGTGATCGCTGACGATGTTGTAGATGAACAAGGTGTTGATGCGCAAACGGTGGTGCCTGTTGTTGTTGTTGTTGCTGTTGTTGTTGTTGTTGCTGTTGTTGTTGTTGTTGTTGTTGTTGTTGTGGCTGCTGCTGCTGCTGCTGCTGCTGCTGTTGCTGGGTAAGCTGCGACTTGGAGACGGCTGCCTGCGCAGCAATGTGGCTGGCAGACATGTCTCGTTGCGCCTGCGACGGCGTCGGGCCGAGTTTGGGCGATTCGGCTTGGATCTGGTCAAGGTTGGAGGTGCTCGTCGAGGGCAGGGTAGGCTCGAATAGGCCCGCGTTCGCCGAGTGTTTGCGCGAGTGTGCGCCTACCCTGCCGGAAAACGAAGTGGATGTAGTGGACGTTGCACTGGTCGGCGGAAGGGTCAGGGGGGAGGGCCCGTTGCGCGGGGCCGTATCGATCGGGGAATGTGTCCCGGCGACGGAGCGGGCAGTGGACAGGGCGGCGGTGGTCGATAGGGTCGGTCGCGAGAAGTTGGTCTGGAGACTCGGGGCACTGGCGCTATTGCTCGGAGACGTGAAGCTGCTGTAAATAGGAGTTGCAGATTCGCGTCCAGGGGTAGGTGTTGTTCCTCCTCCTCCTCCTCGTCGCTCGGGTGATGCTCCTGCTCTTCCCCCAAATCCTGATGCGTCTGGACGTCCTCCGGGCTGGGGCGACGGGGCGGTAGGCTGGTCGGATGGGCGAGGGATGGTCAATGGCGTGAGGTCGTCGCTGGTGGAGGTCGAGGCTGAGATGATGCGGACCGGACCCGGAGACGGTCGATGGGGACGGACAAGACCCATGTCGGCGCCGGCGAGTGCATTAACAGTGGAGTTAGTGCTGGCCGGCAGCGGTGAGAAACTCTCTGGAGCCCTCTGCGTGGGTCCGGGGGTTCCTCTTCCACTCATGGGTTGCATTGACTGTTTGCCTGCTTCTGCAGCATTCAGTGGTGCTCTCTCAATGCTCCCGTTCTGTTGGTCCTTTGGCTGGTGGTGTTTGGTAATGGATCATACGGTACTGGCGTCGTTTCGAACAGGCTATCCTTCGCAAGGGCAAGTGTCACATCTTGCTAACCCGTTCAGATGGATGTCTGTAGAGGAAGACTATCAGTCGATGGGAATAGTCTATGTCGGTGGTGGTTAAGTCAATGAACATGTGAGTGTAGTTTGGAAAATATACGTGATCGCTGAATTGGCCAAAAAGAGGACGGGTAAGAGCGGGTAGATGGAATAAAAAAAAAAAAAAAAAAAAGTGAACTTGTAAATTCAAACTCCGATTGCGTACGAGGACATCACAAGCGCTGATCTCCATTTCCCTCGTGGCCATGTTTTGGGGATCCCGTCCCTTCTCTTCTGCCATGGCACCTCCCTCTGAGCCTCCCTCGGGCACTCCCACTTCCCACTTCCAGCCGAGCGCTTTACTTACCTGATAGGTTCAGTTGCGAAACGTCAACCGATACGACGCCACCACTTGTTGTTGGTGTTGGGTACTGGTTGTTTTGGGCGATACTATCCAACTTGAAAATACAAATTCAAACAGGGGCTTGAATGCTTGGCAAGCAGCAGAAAGGGAATCAGAGACTAGATCGCCCTAAAGTGTTCCGTCACGATCGCAATCTTGGTGGGGAGGGCTTTTAGTGCCCCGCAATCAACGTCAGTTTTCCCCAATTCAGGCGCACGCGGGGGGATGCTGTAGGGCAGTGAAACGTGCAGCATTGCTTGGTTCCAGTGGACACCTGAAGAGGTCAGTGAGATGCATTTCAGGATTTTGAGACTTCCTTTTCCGTTCATGTGAGGATCTGATTCTGATATCGATTAAAAAAAAAAAAAAAAACACCTTCTCATCATTGGATGCTAGAAATACCATAGCTAAAAAGACACTTCATGTATGTTTCAAATCCCCAAGACACCCTAACAGAACTGTCACTAACCATAACCCAGACAAATTCCACCAAAATCACGCCCAACCCTCTTCTCACCATCAAAACATTTGAAACCTCAAACCATTCACATCTTCTGTTCCAACCCCCTTCAACAAAGAATATTTCAAAATGGCCTCCTCAGCCACCACCTTCACCGCAACCTACACCAACTCCACAAACCTGTCTCCCTCCTTCACACTCACCAAGGATGTCCCCACCACGACTTCAACCAATACAACCTCTTCATCATCAGAAATGACCACCTCCGACCGCGCCAAGTACCTCCACGAACTCCGGCAAATCGCCGCCACCTTCCAAGACGACATCAACCGGGAGCTCACGCAGCGGATGGAGGAGGACAACAAGCGGGCGGGTCAGAATGGTGGTGGTGACCAGAGCAAGGGGAAGGAGGCAGAGGCCAAGGAGGAGGAGAACTATGGCGAGGAGGTTGTTGACGAGGATGAGTGAGTGATTTGGAACAGGGAAAAGGGGAGAGCGCTAGGAAGAAGAGGGTATAAGAGGGAAGAAGGATCTTTATGGTGTGGTGGTAGTCCTTGGATTTGTTGCTCCATCCATGATATCTGGGGTTACACTTTATCAGGCCCTTGTCTATGTGATGTGCTGTATGCGGTTCAACACGAATTGGTACGAGTGCATGAAGAAAACGTACCGGACTATGAGAGAATTGGTCATGATCATACTGGGGCCGCTATGCATGAGTCCTAACCCTTTAGTCAACCTTCACCACAATAGAAAATCCAGCAGGAATAGAAGAAGCCCAAATAGATTTCCCTTTCCGCTCCCGGATGTGCGCCGCTGTCTTCATTAAAAGCATAATCAACGCGAAACAACAAAAAGGAATACATCAACAAAAACGGGATCATTTACTCCAAAAACATACCGCCGAAACGCTTGATCATCACTGTCTAGAAATCCTCGTCCTCCTCCTCGTCTTACCCCCCCCCCCCCCCCCCCCCCCCCCCCTTCTCATGATCCGCTTCCCTTATTCATGCTACCAGCCCAACTCTATAGCTACCATAAATTCAAGAATATCTACGTAATTATAGGTAGGCCCCTTACATACCAACAACCCTCATAGCAGCATAACCAACCGTGACGGTCACCAACAGGGTCAGCAAACTGCTGGGCACACCACGGCTAATAAAGTGCTTGACTTGCAGGTATCGCTGGCCAGCTGGGTCTTCCTTCATGATAGCGGCTGTGGAAGATAATGTGATTAGCCTTGGACAAAAAGAGAAACGGGCAACAGTAATAAAACTTACTCATGTTAGGGAATCCTGAAGTAGGTAGCGCCATAGCAGCACTGCACATCAATACACCCGCCATGACCAACAAGTTCGGGTGCGGCTCGTCTAACCCCTTCCCGACATCGTACACCAGCGGCAAAATGATCAGCGCCGCAACAGTGTGGCTGATGAACGTGGCAATCACCAGAATCAAGCTCGAGAAGACAATCAGGACACCGTAGAGGCTGAAATCCTGGACATCCTCGGTGATCAGCCTGGTGACAGTGTGCAGCAGGCCAGACGAGTTAACCGCCTTGCCGAGTGCCAGTCCACCAGCTGCCAGGATGATGATGGTCCAGGGGAAGTTGTTAAAATCTGCCTTGGTGAGGATGCCGACGCCGAAGAATAAGACAATGGGAATAATGGCAATGACGCCCATATGTCCAAACTCGGCTTCGAGCTGGTGAGAGGCGCACCACAGGCCGATGGTGGCGACGGTCACAAGGGTGACGAACCACTGCACGCCCGTGAAGCGGTCCTTGACGGGGCGGATGGGCACAATGGAGGTACCCTTGCCCGGCTGGAAGGTGAGGAGCAGGAGGACCCAGATGAGAAGCAGGGAGATGACGCCAACGGGGATGACGATGAAGAACCATTCTCCCCAAGTAGGAGGAGGCTCCATCAAGCCAATAGCGACAATGTTTTGCGGGGAGGCAATGGGTGAGAGCATGCCGCCTACGTTGGAGGCGAGGGCAATGCCCATGATGACGGCTTTGGACATGTTGGAACCAGCTGGGAGGTTGCGAAGCATGGGCTCGATGATGCCAAAGCAGAGGACAGGAGCGGCGACGTTGCTGATCAGCATACTGGCGAATGCGGCCACAGCCATGTTGGCAATGAGGACCGTCCTAGGTTGTGTTCCTGCCTTGCTGAGAACAAAAGTCGCTATGCGCTTGTCGATACCGCACTTGGAGAGAGCCGCTGCGAGAGTGAAGCCACCAAGCAGGAGCATAATGACAGGCGTCCACATGGCCGAGAAGACAGCATCCGTAGTCGCCTTGGCACCCAGTCTGTGATGGGGCTTGTCGGCATCGCGGAAGACTCGAAGAACAACGCAGAGGAAAGGTATGATGAGCGAGGTGACGAAAAGGGGAATGGCCTCGGTAGCCCAGAGCAAACTGACAAATACCAGCAATGCCAGGCAATTTTGCTGCTCGGGCTTCTTCATGATGGGCATGAAGAGCAGGGCGAAGAAGATGGCAAAGATGATGATGAGAGTCATCAGAGTTGAGCTGACTAGCCAAGCAGGCAATCTGAAGCGACCAAGCGGTGTTGCGATTTCCTTGGTCGGCAACACCAGCTCGTCGTCGCCCTGGAGACGGTGGCTGGTTGGGTCGGTATCTCGCGCTAGAAGAGTATGTCCCAGACTTGCGGCTTCAGCTCGCCGCTCCATACCGATAAGCTCTCTCCAGACCGTGTTTCGTTCCCAGACGACGTGCTCTCGAAGGTGCGATCGCAAATCACGCGTGGCCGCCGCCTCGTCACCCTGAGTAACGATGTCCATGTATGCGTGGACCATCAGGTGAATCTGTTCTTCCAAGGTCTTGGTGGTCTCTGGACGAAAGGCGTATGCGGTATCAACGAAGGTGTCCATGTACTTGGAACGCAACTGTCTGTCAACGATCTTGTCGAACTTTTTCAGGACCTTGCTAAAGCCCGTCCTGTTCAGCTGGATGTACGACTTGAGCTCGCACAGCTGGACGTAGAGGTTGATGATCCTCTTCTTGAGCATGATGCCCGAGGAGAACAAGACAGCCTGCTCGGCATAGTCGTCGTCGAAGGTAGTGCTGAACCTGCGAGACCTCGTCATTTCTGTAGAGGCTGTCATGTCGCCAATGGAGGACATCATGTGTCCAGGGATAACGGTGCTAGATTTTCGCCTCCCCGTGCTCAACCGCCTCTGTTTCCCCCGTGTGTTCAGGCCGGTGTTCTCATTGTCGCTCTGGTCGCTGTTGGAACCGTCGTCAGTCGAGGCCCGGCTCGGCAGACTTTCGCTCCGGGCTCGCAAAGGTCTCTGTTGTTCGCTGCCACGGGTAGGGGGACGAAGTTGGCGCTCTTGGTCGGTGTCACCAGACTGCTCATCGAATGCGTCGACGTCGCGCAAGAGGTTCTGTACCTCCTCAAACAGCTCCCTCTCCTTGACAGTATAGAAGGACAAGACCTTTTCCAGCTCGACATCCAGGGCTCGAACGAAGACGATTTCGGGGTCTTCATGTTGAATCAGCGGGCGCGACTCGCCATCACCGCCGGATGCCAGGTGGATGACCTTTTCGAGCTGGTAGATGCTAAGGCGGTTATGTTAGCTGGCTGACTGAGCACGGCGGCGGAGACAAGACAGGCGGCAAGCTTACAGCTTCTTGAGGTTGCTGTATGCGATGTAATGTGTGCTCCAGTCCGGCACCGCATTGAACTGGATACTATGAGAAAACTTCATCTCGTCCTGTGCCTCAAGCCAGCGGCGCTTCCTGGCCCTCTTTTCTTCCTTGGCCGCGGCGCGATCACGGGGCGGATTGGGGTTGCGGTTGGTGTCAGCTGTGTCGTCGGCTGTGCGAGTGTGAGGCTGCCTGCTGGATTGCGGATAGGCTTGGAGCTCGAATCCGTCTTGGTTTCGTTGTGGCCTGCTTGGTTGCGCAGAGACAGAAAAGAGAATGCTGCGGGGATGATGGTCTTTTCCAATTCTTCCTCGTGTCCTCCCTCCCCTGTCCTTGGTGTTATGGTCTCCAGCAGCTGGGCTTGGTGGTGTTCCGGGTGGCACCTTGTTGTCGTTCTCGTGATGGTTTGCCGCGGGTTGGTCAGGTCTAGAGGAGGAGGGGCTTCCAGACTCGGCTGAAGAAGCTATGGTGGGCAACGATTAAAATATCTTTTTGGGAACAAGATGGAAAGGAAGGCAAGTAGGTCTGAAATCACAGAATAGCTTTGAAACAAAGACTGGTCACGGTCGCCAATAGTGTACAAGTGGTGCAATCATTGCTTGGAAATATCCAAGCTAGCGACGATGGAGGTGTTCTGTCGCTGACGAGATGGGCCATTTTTAGCCAATTATGCCCGTCGATGCTGCAGCCACTCCACTATCTTACAGCGGATCGGGTGGAGTCCTGTCAGGAAACCCAAGGGAGGTTCTACAGAATAGCCAACCTGGATGCACGATTATCAAGCAGCAGCGCCATGTATAATCTGTACACTACAGATTTGCTTCTAACAACGTGCTTTTTACCTCTATCGGCAGCCAGTGCCGTCGGGTGATGGAAGCCGAATCGACAAAACATGAAACGAATCGGACGAACACTACACTAGAAACAGGCCAGCATGCACCAAAATCAAGAAGTTGGGCGTGTAAGGCTGTCCATCATGTCAAGTAGATATCATTAGGTTCCTTGGAAAGATAGGTACCTAGACTCGACCCGGGGCATCTGTTTCTAGGTTCCCTGGAGACCAGGCATAGAGATGATCAGACATACACAGAGTATGCCCGAATCTGTACTGTAGAGTCTCATGACACTGAGCTCTGAGAGGAGTTGCCCGACACTCCATCTACTTGTAAACCGGGAGCTAAATCGGGTACCGCCAGCTCGTAACGACTCGTAACAGTACAGTACAATACAACATGGAGGACTCCATCGCAACTCTCCGCATCTGGATGTTGATTCGAGAACCTTGACGGTCGTACTTGTTCGTGACCAGAACTTTGGGAAAATACCAAACATGAAAACACGAGTGGGTTGTCTGAACTCGATCATTATTTTGCACTTCACTTTAACAAAAGCTGTTGCATTGGAAATGAAATGCCACGTCTACCCCTAACCCTGCTTCTCGAAAGACAGTCCCGCTACGGTATCGCACCCACCCTCCCACCCTCTCGTCCCGTGGGGTTGGGCACTGCCTGTAGAGGTACCCTACGTACCCTTGAATGCGGCGCCTGACCATCATTCAGTATCACCACTGCCCTGCCAATCGCCATGCCGTCATCCTCCACCCGGCACACCCACTCGGCTGCGATAACACCATCCATCCGAGACGAGACCGTACAAAGTGGAACATCGCCAACCTGCGCCAGCGGTGCTCGACAATTTCCTGCTCCAAAGACACAATCTAATGCCTTCATAACCGCCCTGTGACCACTGCTGCAACCAGGGAGCAGCGGGCCCGTCGCCATGCTCTCCGCATTTACGGCTCGACCCATCATCGAGCTCAAGCAGAGAGACAAGTCCAAGATCGAGTCCATCCTCGCCTACGGTGACCGCGTCCTCGTCGGCTTGAATACGGGATCCCTCAGAATATACCGTGTAAACGAACTTCCACCCGCTCCTCCTCCTCCACCACCACCGAGCCAGTCTGCCAACGGAGCGTCGTCCCAACAACCGAGCGAAGCTACAACCGAGTTGATGACCCAAGACCCCAATGGACCTTTGACGACGACCCAAGAGTACCAGGCTGCCGCGCCAGGCTTTTACAATGCCCAAGCCGCGCCGAGAGGCCCCAAGCCCACCGACCTCCTCCGCGAGGTAGAAAAGTTCTCGACGCGCGCTATCGAACAGCTCGCCATAATCAAGGAAGCCAACACCATAATATCGCTGTCCAACTACAACGGCGTTGCCCTCCACGACCTCCAGACCTTCGAACCTATCGAGTTCCCCACAGCCCGGACGAAAAGCGCTTCCACTTTTGCCGTCACGAGCAATATTGTCAAGGATCCCGACACTGGGATACCCGAGATTATATCGCGTCTAGCTGTTGCTGTCAAGCGCCGCTTGCTGCTGTGGTCATGGCACGAGAGCGAGCTCTCCCCCGATGTCACCGAAATAGTCCTGTCCGAGGCCATCCGGTCTCTGACATGGGCCAACGCAAACAAGGTGGTCTGCGGCATGAACGGTGGCTACCAAATAGTCGATATCACAACCGGTCAGATGGAGGACATTGTTGGTCCTGGGGCTATTGGGGCAGCAGGAGGGCAAAGTCGCTTTGGTGCCACAGCCAGTATGGGATATATGGGATTGGGCAACTTTACGCCCAAACCGCTGTCAGCGAAGCTCGCCGAGGGTCAGTTATTGCTCGCCAAAGACATCAATACGTTATTCATCAATGACGCCGGGAAGGCCTTGGAGAAGCGCCAGATTCCTTGGCAAGCTGCTCCTGAGAGCATAGGATATAGTTACCCCTATATTCTTGCCTTACAATCACCGACCAAGGGCAGTCTCGAAGTACGAAATCCGGACACACTGAACCTGCTTCAGACCATCAGTCTCCCTGGTGCCGCTTCTCTGCATTTCCCGCCACCTACGGTCAGCCTAGCACATGCTGGAAAGGGCTTCCACGTCTTGAGCGAGAGAGTGGTGTGGAAAATGGATGCTACGGACTATGATTCCCAGATCGACGAGCTGGTAAAAACCCAGAGGTATGATGAAGCCATTAGCATCTTGGCTATGTTGGAGGACGCTCTTCTCGAGAACAAGACTGAGACCATGCGCGAAGTCAAAATGCTCAAGGCCGAACTGCTCTTCCGTCAAAGGAAATTTCGCGAGTCTATGGACCTGTTCAATGAAGACGAGGTCCATGCTCCGCCTGAGAGAGTATTAAGACTCTTTCCCAAGATCATTGTGGGAGAGCTGGGCGTTGATGAGAAGAAGCCTGAAGAGCCGCAGGAAGAGTCGGACCACGAAGCGCCCCCTAACGGTAAAGCAAATGGAGATCATGCACCCAAGGAAGATGAGCCGCATTCTGAGGTATCGTCGCCACAGAAAGGAGGCGGGTTTGCCAAGTACCTCATGGGTCACGGTCGCAAGAAGTTTGATCCCGAAACCTCATCCATAGTCTCTTCCAGAAGAGCCCCAGTCGATGATGATGCGGCCAGCATCAAGGGCAAGACGGCCGAGGAACAACGCGCCCAAGACGAAAAGGATCTCATGACAGCCGTCTCGGAGCTGAACAGCTACCTGGCCGGAGCCAGAGCGAGACTTCAGAGAGTCATTGATCCAGTCACCGGAAAGTTGAAGCCGCGCAAGTCAGCAAACGGGGTCACAGAGGAGGCGTTCAATACACTCCTAATGTCTCACAAGGATGAGGATGACGAACAGCTTGAGAAGGATCTACAGGAGACTTTCAGAGTTGTCGACACCACTCTGTTCCGCGCCTTCATGTACTCCCGTCCCACATTGGCCAGCTCCCTTTTCAGAATCCCCAACTTTTGCGACCCACAGGTTGTTAACGAGAGGCTTGTAGAGCACAACCGGTTCAACGAGCTAGTTGACTTCTTCTACGGCAAGAAGCTGCATCGCCAGGCTCTAGATCTGCTTCGCAAGTTTGGCTCGCCGGACGAGCCTGATGAGGCGGCGCCTACGTTGCACGGTCCCCAAAGGACGGTCCTGTATCTTCAAGGCCTCCCGCCTGAGATGATCGACGTCATTCTCGAATTCTCAGAGTGGACTTTGAGGAAAGACCCCAAGCTGGGAATGGAGGTTTTCCTCGCCGACTCGGAGAATGCCGAGACTCTCCCGAGAGCCCGGGTCCTCCACTTCTTGGGCGGCATCGACACAGCCTTGGAGATCCAATACCTGGAGCATATCATCTCGGAGCTGAACGACATGACTCCCGAGTTTCATAACCGCCTTGTCGAGTTGTTTATCAGACAGCTCAGGGAGGAGAAAAAACAAGGGAAGGAGGAAGAGTGGGACTCTCTCATGGAGCGATTGGTACAGTTCTTGAAGGACAGTCGGCAGTACAGCCTCGGAAGAGCGTTCAGTCTCATTCCCCGAGACGACCCACGCTTCTATGAGGCGCGAGCTGTTGTCCTCAGCAACATGGGTCAACACAAACAAGCACTCGAAATTTACGTCTTCCAAATGAAAGACTACAAAAAAGCAGAAGAGTAAGCTTCCGCCGGTTCTTTTTCCTCAATCCATCCCATGCATACTAACCAATCCGTTCTTATCCAGATACTGCAACCGCATCCACAAATCCTCCGAACACCCTCAACCCACCTCCCCCTCCCACCCCCCGGGCACCACCACCATTACCTCGCCCTCCTCCACCGAAGACCCTTCTCAAGACGAAGCCCACCCCTCCATCTACCATACCCTGCTCTCCCTCTACCTGACCCCTCCCTCCCCTCACAAACCCAACCTGCCACCCGCCCTCGACCTCCTCTCGAAGCACGGCTCTCGCCTGCCCGCCACCTCCACCCTCTCTTTGATTCCCGATGACCTGCCCGTTTCCGAGCTCGAGTCCTACTTCCGCGGCCGCATGCGCAACGCGAACAGTATTGTTAACGAGACCCTCGTCGTTGCGGGCCTGAGGAAGACCGGGTTAGTTACCAGCCAAGCTCTTCTCTTGTTGGGTGATGGGTTACCGAAGGGAGCGGTACTACCGGGGGGTGGAAGCAGAGTGGGAGGAAGAAATAGACGGGTGGTGATTGGGGAGGAGCGAGTTTGTGGGGTTTGTCATAAACGGTTGGGTGGGAGCGTCGTGGCGGTTTTGCCGGGAGGGGAAGATGCGGTTGTTCATTATGGGTGTTTGGGGAGGAGCCAGCAGGGGAAGGGTATGGGGATTGGTGAATTGGCGAGCCCCGGGCAGACGGGGAGTGTGAAGAGTGGTGTGAGTGGGACGCAGTATGGCGCTTGGGGGAGGGGGTAGGTGGTGGTGGTGGCTTGGGATAGGAGGTTCAAGGCCTTGTTATGAATATAAATACAGGTATGAATGATGAATGTTTAGGTTATTATGAAATGAAAGGGAATGGAATTGGTTCTGACATGATGATATATCTTTGAGGTGGTGTAGCATCTGGCGGCGGTTGGTTTCTTTTCTCTCTATCGTGTTTTATGCTTATATGTGTATTGCAGGATTACTCAATCAGAAGATACTATGTACCATCCACCAAAAATGCATAGTGATGAGTTTATTCGCTACCTACTACCTTTCTCTCGTTTCCGTTTTCCTGTTTAGTCCCCTGTTCGTCGAGATTTCACGTTCAAAGAAGCTGACATATCACCAACAACACTGCAATTACGTAGCTGGGTCGCCAGCGTATCTGTGGGCTTTCTGCGACTTGAGGGAGGAAAAGAACAAGACTTTAGCCACGACTTTCCTTTATAAACCGCCTCCCCCTGCCGAGGCCTGACCTACCTACCTCTAGTACGCGATTGTGTCCAGACAGGTCGGTACCTCTAGCCGCATCGAAATGAAGACGAAATGGTTGATGGATCTGGTGGTAAAGTAATCATAGGCTTCATTAGAAGTTTGGGAGACTAGGTCCGCCAACCCACGAGTAGTCGGAACTAGTCATCAAGCAGGTTATTAAATCCTCCACCCTGACTATGCCCATTATTATCCCCTCCCTCCCTCCCTGTTCTCTCTCCATGCTCGCCCAGCTTCGTGGTTCCATCCAAGGAAAAAAAAAAAAATATTTAAAAAAATAAAAAGAAATCCAATTAATAAAAGACCTTGGGGGTATCAGTTTAAGCTTGCTTTTCCGATTGCCCTTTCTTTCAAACTTCCAAACATTCCATTCCCATTACCCCATGTCATGACATGTCATAAACACACACACGCACACACCATTCATTTCCAAAGAAAACGTTGACGTGCCATCTTCACCTTGGTCAATGCTCTCATATCTCTTGTGGTATAAACTCTTCCCATCTCGGCCATTTCCATTCACATCCACCCTCATTCTCCTTTTAAGCAAGAGGATTGCCATTAGCCTGGTGTCCCTGACCCCCACCATGCCCCAACGAAAACACCTTTTGCAAACTCCTCCTTATCCCGCCCTTCCCTCCTCCTCCTCCTCCTCCTCCTCCTCCAAGATTCTCATCACTCTGACTCCCCGACCTCTCCCGATCCCTATCCTCCGCCGTCGGCACCCTCGTCAAATGATTCACCACTCCGCCCACCAACGCCACAATACTGGATCTTCTTCCTGCACCCGGCGCCCCCCCTTGCGCAGTAGCATCGCTCTTCCGCCTCTGCTTCTCCGCCGCCCTCTCCATCCTCTCTTGCTTCTCCCTCTCCTCCTTCTGTTCCCTCGCTTCCCTCGCCTTCTGCTCCCGCTCCTCCCTCTGCAACCGAGCCGCCTCCCGAGCCCGTTCCCTCACCTCACTCGCCTCCCGAGCCGCCTTTTCCCTCGCCTCCTTCTGCTGCTGCATCTGTTTCTGGAGAGCCACCTTCCGCTGCCTCTGCGCGGCAATCTCGGCAGCGCTCATCGGTTTCGGCACCAGCATGGGCGGCACGGCAACGTTGGTGTACTGCGATCGGGGCGGCCACTCGCCGTCGCGCTTCCAACCCACCACGCAGGCGCGCAGCACGTCGGCCAGGTTGACGGGGCAGGAGGGCTGCATGTTGTTGACAATGATTTTGTCGTAAAGAGAGGGGTAGATGGAGGGCGTGACGGAGGCGCGCATGGGGTTTTGAGGCGGGAGGAGGGGAGGAGGGAGCGGAAGGAGGGTTTGCACTGGGTAGGCAGGGTAGGTATCGGGTTTAGATGGTGAGGTGGGGGAAGTGGAGGGGACGGTGCTGTTGTCTGTTGCTGCTCCTGCTCCTCTGGCTGAGGTGTCGGATACGGCGTCGCTTTGGGCGCTTTGCTGGGAGTTGCGCGTGGTTGTGGGTGACAAAGGGGCGGAGAGGTTTGTTGCTGCTGCTGCTGCTGCTGGTGGTGAGCTGGCTGGGTGCGCCACGGCGGCAGCGCTCGTCGACTCGGACGAGCGATGATGGCGCCAGAAGGAGAGACGGCGGGTCGTCGTTGACATCGCTGTCGTGGGCGACGCGGGGCACATCGGCTTGGGCTTGACGCGGAACGTCTTGGCGCCTGTCCAGGCATCGCGGCGAGCTTCGAAGCAGGCCAACCCGGGATTCCACGAGGCTTCCTTTCTCACTGCCCGCCTCCTCTTGGCCCGCTTTGCTTCCAGGGAGCTTTTGACGGCGGTTCCGACTGCGTCGGGGCTGTCGAAGCGGAAAGGTGAGGAGGTGTTGGGAGCTGGCGGCTCATCGTTGTCTGAGAGATCCGAGGTCCATTCCGCCCGGGGACGGTAGTGAACGAGATCTTCTGATATCGTGCTGTAAACGGACTCGACATCAGATTCCGAATCTGCCTCCTCTCCTGGATCCCGAGGCGCATCATCGTCAAAGGTCTGAGCTACGGCACCGTCTGCTATCCTGGGTGATCCATGCTCGTTGGGAGCGATAGTGCTATCTGGTGGAAGTTGAGCGATATCGCTCTTCTCATGCGGCTGCTTCTCATCGAAGGTTGCTGCTGCTTCGGTTGGACGTGGTTGCGTCACAGGTGCCCATTCGAAGTCCCAGTCATTTCGAATCTTCTCAAGAAGGTACTTTCTGACAGCTTCCTTCTGCTTCGCCTTGTCTTTGCTCACAAGGTCGGCATCAAGGTCGGATGGTAGGACAACCGGCTGATGGTGAGGAAACGAGTGCCTGAGCTTATTTAGGGGCGACCTGGGTGACTTGTACAGGTCGGCGAAAATCATGGTAGACGGTGGTTGAGGGTTAAATGGGGTGGTTGAATCGTGATCGCCACCGTCAGGACCGTTGGGGAGCTCCGACGTCAAGGGGGACGACCTTATATAAGTCGACGGCGACGCGGGGGGCCGCGAGCCAGGTTGAGCACGCGGGCAGCAACTGGGGTGGTGATTGCGGTTAGACTCGCTAGCCTGTACCGGATGGTCGTCACTGGGGTCACCGGGGTCCTTTAGATAGTGGCCAGGGTGGTCGATAGGGTGGTCTACAGAATGGTCTGGCTGATGCGGGGCCGGCTTGGCTCGAAGTGGTATGATGTCCTGCTGCTCGTCTGGGGCTGGAAGATCCGGAGTACGACCACGCGTTAGCGATCAGCGCATTGCCTTTTTTTTTTCTCCTCGTCGTTTTGACAACGTGGGACTCCGGAGAAAACAAGGTTTTTAAGTATGTAATGAATGCCGAATGAGGTCCGTGAAAAGTTGGGGAAGCTAGACAAACAAGATTCTGGATCCCTGTTGAAGACGGGTGGCATAGGATACGAGAGATATAGACAGACAAGAGAGGAACAGGAAATGTTAAATGAGAGTTGTCCAACAAAGAAGAAGATATGCCAAGATTAGGTAGGTAGATCTGGTGTATTATAAGATCAAATTGAAGGACAGGGAAAAAGCAGGTGAAAAAAAAAACGGGCAGTGCCGCCTTGGAAATGGCTGACGATGAGTGGACGATGACTGGTCCTTGACTAACAGTGGCGGCCAAGTCTACAGTGTACATTCAAAGACATGCAGACAGGCTAGAGTCCAGACCTGACGAAGTTAAATAAAACGACATGTGCGGTTCCCATCAGGGAGGGTGTTGGTGATGAAGGAAATAAAAATGGGAAATAAAAATGGTAACTCACTCTTGTCGGTGCCAGTGTTGGGAACTGAACTGCTCTTGAGAGTGTCTTCTTGCTCTTCCGTGGAAGTTGATGTTTTTAAGCTGTTGCTGGCAATAATGGTGGTGTTCAACCCATGTTCATTTTCCTGCTGCTTCTTCTGCTGATGTTGTTGCTGTGACGGAGACGAGGAGGAAGAAATGCCAGATGCGCCAGCTTGATCCGAGGAAATGCCAGTTACGGGGGCGTTACCAATCTGGTCCTCGTGAATGCCAGAGCCAGAGGCAGAGCCAGTGACACGCCCGGCAACCTGAACACCATATTCAGTCCCATGTCCAACAGGCCCGGGCCTAGGCACGGACTCGGTTGTGGTAGGGGTGGTGGTGGTGACAGTATCGGTGGTGACCGTGGTGGTGGTAATGGTGGTGTTGTTGTGCTCTGACCCCGACATGCCAGCCACAGCCGGAGAGGGTGAGTGGCCAGGAATGATCGGCGCTTTATTGATCATGTCTGGCACATCTGAGATCACCGTCTCGTCGTTATGCATCCTGTTCTGCTTGAGGTGAGGTGCCGGGTTGCTCTTCCGTACTTTTTAGCTTGGCAGCCGTTGTTTGTGTGTATATTCCTCTCTTCTTGGACACCTCAGTGTCATGTATGTGAGGATCTCAACTATATGTATGAAGGGTGATGGAGAGCCGCTTTTGTCCTTTAGACTCGATGGACTCGATGGACGGTCTGCACAACAGCCTTGTGAGATTTGTACAGTATGCGCCAAGCTGTATCCTGCGCGGCAAGGTATGTGCTGTTGTGCTTTTGCGACGATGCCCAAAAAGAACTAAAAATAAAATCAAAAACACCAACAAGTGGAAGAGCCGAGGATGGTGATGGAATAGGATCTGGTCGTTGCCAGTTGCCAGTTCCTGCTACCCCTCAGTTCCCGATCCGAGGCTGTCAGTCTGTCTCGGGAGCGAGTGCTGGGGCTGCCGCAAGCAAGTCGGATTCCTGTGCCTGATCCGGGCTTTTGGTTCGTTTTTTTTTTTTTTTCGGTCGCCTTGTCGCAAAGAAAACAAAAAGTCTGCGCAATTCAAATTTCGCGATCAATTCCATGCACCACCCGCAGTATGTGGTGGACGGTTGCCAAGAAAAAAGCAAGATGCTTGGCCCACGTTGGGTGGGGTCTTTTCTCTTCATCTTGGCTCTTTCTTTCCCCGCTAATTAATGGGGACTGAATGTATCACTGCTTGGGTACAGTACACTAGTCTACACTACCGTAACCTGGAAATCATCCATCCCGTTGTCCAACAAGCACAATAGGTAGTAGCACATCCAGCTCGCAATGCCCTCACTTTGAGCTGCTGGATTCTAGTGTACCGTAGGATGTTTGTGTCAATCACCCTACCTAGGTAATGAACCCCTCTCTTTACTATGTAGGTACAGAGGTAGCATAAGGACACCGCACCTGGACGGCAGCCCCCCGAGTTTTTGTCATTGATGACTGACCGTTCCCCATCGTCACAATGGAATCTCGGTCGTTACGGGATCTGGCACCACAAGTGCGCAAGTGCAACATTTGGGACAGTCTTCTGGGCTTGTCGTGTGACGTGAGGGTTTGGCCATACGGTAGCTATCACCATAATTGCGATTCCCATCTATACCCAGACCCCAAAGCAAAGAGTCTCACCTTGCCATCGGTCTCGTTCCTGTTTCTCGTTTGTGCACTCTCCTTTGTATTGATTCGTTCACAATCCGATCTGTCCGCTTCACTCGCTGCACGGAGATATCTCCATTCGCACTGTTCAATCAACGGTTTGGCGTATTGCATTTGCGCAAATGCGGTGAGGTACTGTATGTAGTGTAACACTTGCAGCTGGCACCCTGAGTTGAACAGATGAGGAAGAACGTGGTGAGAATTGACAAATTATGTATTCTGCTATTGTGATAAAGTTGCGAGAGGGAACCTTGGAGGAAACCAAGACAAAAAAGAAAGGTGGCGAGAGGCGCCATGATTGGGCACCTATCGACTCCAAGATTCCTGAGGATGGGTGCTTGCTCTCAGGCCATATCTGCATCTGGATGGCACTATGTACCTAACTACTCGACTTCTGCAACCTCAGTCTGCGATAACCATAGTTTCCATGTCACGACGTCGTCACGACCGGGAAAGAATTGCCATGCTTCCATTCGACGGACAAAAACCCGAATAGTTAGACTTGTCCGTGTAGAAGAAGCCGCCGATGTTGGAGGTGGATGGTCTGTGACTTTTCTGCAACTTTTAGACCACTTATGGCAACTACCCTCACCGGCTTTCACAGCCACCTCTTGTAAGAATGTGGTGTAACTTGTGGTTGCTGACAGAGTAACGTCAAGGTTATTTGGGCTTTTTTTTTATTGAAATTGCGGATGTTATTCCGGCGATCCATTTCCAAGTTTTGGGATCGGAGGCGAACACGGTCGAAATTTGGTTCGACTTGTAAGAGAACAACAATTATGTCATTAACCGCTGGCTAATACTTACTTCTATCGATTATACCTTGGCGTTTTGCTTGTTTTGAATCTTCAAAGCAGATTGTGAATGATTCCATGCTTTTGCTCCATATCCGACTTGACGGGGGGAAAGCATCATTAATTTACTCCGCCCCTTCTTTCTTCCCATCACGTCGAGCATTCCGCGCATCTGCCACTTGCTGCCTCATGCGTTCCTACCGCCCCGAGGCACCAGGAGCAGGCGTAGCAAATGTCCTCGTGGTGAGCAACACGCCCTTGACCCGTCTGATATTCTCTTTGGCCTTCTTGATCTCATCGTTAGGCTCGCTCCTATTGGTATACCCGTACAACGAAAAGCCTCCAGTGAAGTCGTAGTGCTGCAGCGCCAACTGCTCCAGCTCGCCGTGGAATACGTCCACCGTTGTCCTGAGCTCGTCGTAGTCCTCGCACTGCGATGTCAGCCCTTCGTTGATCTCCTTGACCGACGTCACCAGCTCCGCCAGTCGCCTCTGCTGCTTCTGCGTGTGGTTCATGTGCCGCTCGGAAATGGCCGACGCCGCGCGCGACTGGGCCCGCGAGTGCGCCTCGTAGATCTCCGACAGAGACCGGGCCGACATGGCTGTGCCCGGGCGCGAAGGGAGCGACATGGCCCGCACCGACGGCGTGGGCGGCGGCGACGTCTGGATGCCAACGTCCCGGTGGAACATCTCGGTCGGGTCCTCGTACGTGCTCATGTTGTCGTCGTCATCGTCGTCGTCGTAAGCGTCCTTGTAGCGGCCGGCGCGGCCGTCCGACGCCTTGTAGCCCGGAGGCAGCTCCGACACGGTTTGCTCGAGCTTCTCGACCAGCCGGTCCAGGTTGTCCTTGACGTTGTCGTGGAAGTCGACGCGGGCTTCGGTGAGTTGGTTGAGCATGGGTTCGACAACGTACTTGTTGGCGCCGTAGACGAGGGCGGCGATACCGCTGAAGGCGTAGGCCGTATTAAGGACGCCGTTCATGGTTATTAGCGGTGGCGCCCGGTGCGTCTCGGCCATAAACTCGGGGTAGGTGATGATGGGCACATGTTGTTCTTTTGTCTTGGGGAGGGTGGTTGTGGTTGTTATCGCAGCAGCCACCTTTGACGAAGCCGATGATGACGATTCGTTGGTGACGGGGATTTCTCTCATCTGTAGATGTCCATGTTAGCAGCTTGTCTTTAGGAACACTGAGATACAAGAAATAACTTGCATCTGATTGCGCCCGAATCCAGTCCTCCTTCAGCAGTTCGTCGATGTCACTCTGGGAGATGCCCTTGCTCCTCAAAAAGGCGGCCTTGCGCTCTGTCGTCTCCTTTTGCACCTGCGCATCCTGGAGGAATATCCTGGCTTGTTCGAGGGAGACTGAGACTTTGGGCGCTTCTGGAGAGGTTTGGGCTGCGGGCTGGGATTTTGAGGATGTCGATGTTGACGGGGCCTGAGCCTGCGTCTGAGGTTGAGATGTGTTGTTGTTGTCGGCTGTCGCTTTCTCCCACGCCAGGGTGTCGGCGCCCTTGTGTTCTTCCGAGTCGCCCATGGCGGTGGAGTTGAATGCCCGAATTCGGTTCTTGTAACTGTCTGTACGAGGGGTGTGATGCTGCTCCAGGTAGTCTGGACGGTTCGGCGAGGACTCGAAGACGGCGAGGGGATGGATGGATAAATGAATGAATGGACGGATTGTATGGGTGAATTCGCGATGCCGTTGTGATGGCTGGCGGCTGGGAACTGACCTAACTTTCCATGGTCTTTCAGCGCCGCCAGCCGTGGTTGTCGTCTCCTGTTACCGAGGCATGGGTGTCGCTATTTGGTGCTGTTGGTCTGAGCTTTTTCAGCTGGACTTCAGCGGTAGGCTCAGGGGTTGAATGCGCAGAGACCCACTTTACCCACCCCCCGGCAAAGGCCGAGCCCACTGACCGGGCATCCACTGGACCTCCTGCGGCCAGGCGGGACCGACGGGGACTGTGGGTGGAGACAGTCAACATCACGGTCGCGACTTCCACTTGTCGACATGAAATCAGAAGCTGGATAATTCGATATTGAAACATTACGGTATTCTTTCCATTCTTCCCCCATACTTGATATCGACCTCTCTCTTTCATCCCTGATATCTACTTCCCATTGAGTCTTCTGAAGCTCAGCGATTCTGCAATCCCGTCCGACGTGCCATCCTCGCGAGACGCCCTCGATCCGGCTTTACGACTCAGCGCCAACCATAGAGCTCAGACCCGCCTCTACCATCACAGCAGGTATAGCGTTGCTAGATATCAAGATAGGATAGGCAACTACGACATTGCTGTCCTGTTTGCGGAACGTCACCCTTCTCAACAGAGAATCGCCACCCTCATCGCCAACACTTGATTTCGGAAGGTAGTCAGCAGGGCCAACAGTTCGCAGGTCTTTTTTCCGTCCATCCGATTTGACCTTGGTCATAGCTCGACTGCGTATTTTTGAATCTCATCATCGTAAGTGCAGCGAATCATCTATACACACGGCATGTCGCTTCTGGTGTTGGTCTCTTCCGTATCGATCATGGGGTTGGAAGCCGAGTCGAGAAAGGGCCGAGGATGAGAATGAGGATGGAAACAATATCGTGACTGGAAGGCATGGTCAGCACGGCAGTCAAAATTGGGGAGATGTGAGGATGCTTTGTCACAAAGGGAGGACCCAAGAAACAATCAAGATGTCGCAAACGACACAGTAAAGACTGTGTGGTTCCAACAAGGTTTCCCGACCTATTTCCATCCAACGAGACGAGACGCTGGATTCATCCTTGTGAAACCGACAGTCTGGTTCTAGCCCAATGTCAGGGCAACGCCGATGCGCCTTGTCCGCAAAAAGGCAAAAGCTGGAAGCCAAGAGGAAGCAAAGAAGAAGCGAGGCGACGTCAATGTCCGTCTTAGATGTGCTTGCTGCACGGTTATGTTGCATGACAAGGCTTATCAACCCGAACGACAACGGCGGCACCATCCAACCACCACCACAACAACAACAACAACCTGTGAACCAAAGAGAGGGGACCATGAACAGACGGGTCCTCACTTCACCCCACACAAGCAACACCCACCGGCACTTCCCAAAAGATTAACACCAAACCGCCAACTTTCACATCCCACCTCGTCCTCCAGCCAAAAAGTCTTCTCAGCTGCGCCTTTCTACCAGATCAGCAAATCAGAGCGATACATAACCATCAAAGAACACAATTATAATCAGGGTCTTGGTGGTTCAAGGCACCACCTTTCCGTGTGCCCAAAGGAACCAACGCCGGGTTCAACAAGGCATTGCCACCAAAAGTTTCCGGCTCGTCAAACTTCACCTGGACCGGTCCAGACAAACACATGACAATCCTCGCTACCACATCGCCCAGGATCACCAGAGCCAGTCATTAGCCACATCGCCTCATCTCGCCTCGACCCATCTCATTTGCTCGTATCTCTCGGTTTCAGACGATACTCTTTTCCATAACACTATCGGTTCCCGAATATTTTGCCTCATCAGATAGACCATACCTCTGCACCAGCAGTCATGTCTTCACGTCCGCGCCGCTCAGCGGCCCAGCGCGCCAACGCTTTGATTACTGATCTGATCCATTCCGACAGAGTAACCCCCGAGCGCACCATGTCATCATCCCGATCAACCACTGCGCGCCGCCCACCCTCGTCTCCAGCTAGTAGCCGGAGTGACGCAAACGGTCACAACATGTTGACTGTCAAGGTACCCTCCAACAAGCTACGAGAGGCCACGAGCGGCAACTCCAGCTCCGGCATTGCGGCTAGTAGGCGTAACAGGCCAGGAGCCAAGAAGAGCTACGTTGTTGAGAGCAGCGAGGACGAGGACGAGGAGATGGAGGAGGAAGAGGAGGAGGATGACGAGGAAGTAGAAGAGGCGGACGAGATTGAAGTTAGCAACAACGCGCCCGTTTTGGACGACGACGAGGGGGAGGATGAGGAAGAGGAGGAGGAGGAGGAGGAAGAGGATGATGAAGACGAAGATGTGGACGTTGATGAAGATGGCGATGTCGACATGGACGACACACCTGCTCGACCCACCATCACGGTTTCCAAGGTTCAAGCAACGACATCACCCAATAAAGCGAAAGCAACAGCAAAGGTGCCTTCTAGCTCCCCAACGACGATTAAGGCTGCTCTCAAGACAAATTACTACGATGACGATGACGACGACGAACTCAGCGAGCTTGAGAGCGAACCCGAGGATCCAGAACTGGAGGACATGGCTGCGGCCGAGGATGATGCGGAGGAAGCCGAGGAGGAAGAGGACGAAGACATGGATGCCGATGGCGACGAGATTGAGGTTGCCGAGGATGACGCTGAAGCAGAGGAAGTCGAGCTGGATAGCGATGAGGAGGGCGGCAGTCGCGGCGGCACGCCGGATATCTCCAAGATGACGGCTCGTCAGCGAGCCAAGGTTGGCGTTGCGTCTCACGAGTACATGAAGCTCTCGGACGAAGTTCAAGCCAAGAAGGTTTTTACAGCTGAGGAGTTGTCAATGAGAAGGGCCGAGATGGCTCGCCGTAGGAGGAACCTCAGCGAGAAGCGTAACGAGGAGGTCAAGGTACGCAACTTCTTGCTTTTTCCCTCATAGATGTGAACTGCACAGCTACTTACCAATCACCGCGCGAAACAGATGGAAACGATCAACAAGCTTCTGAAGAAACAGGCGCCCAAGACCAACCGCAAAGCCGCCCTTCTGAACGGCGACGAGACTCCGGCAGGCGATGCCGAGCCGCCCAAGGCTGACCCCACCTTTGTCCGCTGGATCAATAACAAGTCCGGAAGCAGGATTGCCGTGCCTGAAGACATGCTGGCTGGTCCTGTCGGTCAGGTGTTTACTGGGGGAGTGAAGAGGAAGATGGTCGAGGAGGTTGTCTGAAATTATGTCTGGTGTTGCTAGAGTATAGTTTTGGGATTGTATTCATATGATCAGAGGAATAATCAGGCGCTCGGTTTTATCCATCGGGAAAATGGCAGGGAGAATGATCATATGGGAAGTCGGCGAAAAAGACATTAGGATACATACCTCTACCTCTCGGTCAAGGACCGCACTTATAGGTTACGGAATCAACTATGGTATTTTTCTCATCGGTCGCGGCTTTTGACTTGACTGTCTACGCAGACTTGTAAGGGTACTACTAATCTACTCGTCTGGTAAGACCAGAAGCGACCGTTACTGGCCCTAGGCTAGCCTCTTGGGCATTAAAGCCTGACTGGTATTGATTCTCTAGCCTCGCAGAACCTGGAAGGCTTTACCACTCCGAATTACCACGAAAACGTCGACCCAAACCACCAAACAACCGTCGCTGTTCTCACCATTCAGTACCGGACCGCTCAGCATTACAGTATTACTGCACATTCTTCCCGTTCATTTGTGCACACCAGAATACTATCATGCTACCGAGTCCTTTGGTTTCAAGTACTGCTCACTTCAACACCTTTCTCGAGCAACAGGCAATGGCCTCTTGGAGCCGAGACTACAGCACTTTCAAGTCGAGGCATGAGGTCAAGATGGTGATCCAACACTTGGAATGCCGTCGACCTATCTACAGGCCCAAATTTATTGATGTCTGCCCCGCTCTATCTGTATTTTTTTCACATCATCGCGCCCCATTTGAGCAGTCTCAAGCTGGGAATGGCCTCATCGAACCCGCTGACTGTTTGGCTGCAATCAGCGGTCGTGGCTGGAGTGTGGCTGAAGTGTGGCTTGTTTCAACAACGACTCGACCTACCGACGACAATCGAACTGGCTGCCTGCCGAGTCCGGCACACTGCCTAGTCCCTACAAGAAATTTGATCATTCATGCACAAGCAATACGCAACAAGAACACTCGACTTTCACTCTTCCATATAACTTCCCCCGAGTCTCTCTTGACCTTCATCTGATATTTGCGAATATCCAATTCAATATCAATAACTTCTTCTCTATCCCTTTTTTGGGATGAACTGGCTATTTGGCTAGCCCTCTATCTTAACCCTCCATCACGATATTTTGCTCAATATTGTGTACATCCCGCTGACATATGTTGACAACACTGCAGTACAATACCATATCGCCATGCCTTACCTCGCATCGCCTCACCTCTGCTTCTGCCCAACAGCAAATCAAATAACTGCAATATGACTAGCCGCTCTGTTTCCGGAATCATGCCCGTTTACACGGGTCATGAAACCTTTCTCCACCATGTGAGCCACCATGGCCAGAAGGCTCCGAGAGGGCTTCAGCCCTTCTGCACCCGGGCAGCTCCAATGGTGCCATCATCCTCAATGATGATATTGCGATAACATTTCCAGCGTGGAACCACACAAGTTCCTGATACTTACATAATGCTCTCAAGACACCCCCGACGATACCTGACCCCCCGGTCTCCGATCCGCGGTCGGCGGAGGGCGCAAGCCCCTTTCGACTGAGCTTGAGCCAACCCTTCCCTTCTCTCAAGCCTCTCAGGCTGTCTTCCGCCCCAAAAGTATCTGACCTGCTCTGGTCTCCATCCGCCAGAGAGGGCAAGCGACCTCGACCCACAGTTTCCCTTCTCTTGGATCCTGCAGGCCATCATTTATAGCTTCAGGGCTTCCGCGACACTGTCGGGCAAGTCCCAGTGCTTGACGCCGGCACTCTTCACTGGACTGGTGGCATAAACTTACGGGACCGCTACGGTCTCTGTCAGAAGGTCAGTCAGCCCCCTGGATGTTACACTAACAGAGGTTCTCGTCATCCTCGACACTTTCAGATATCTCGAGAAACAGCACTCAACACGGCCTTTTGTCGAGCTCGAACGTCGAGGCCGACGTCTATGCACCTGGCTGAAGCCATTGTAGACCTTGCCGCGGCGAAATTTCCACCGAGAGCTTTCGTACCCCGTACGAATCACCATATTAGACAAATAGAGCGGTTGTTAGCATATTTGCCAGTCTTAGCATTCTTTCCTAAAAGTTCAGGGGCCACCGTTATCCTGTTAACAGCCGACTTTGGACCACGCCGAGCCTGGTCGCGGCCGGACCGACGACAACGATCTAAGAAGTGAGACGCCCATTATCAAAAATCTTTCTTTCAAGATACTTGGAGGCTAAGAAGGGACAACGAGTTACACTCGGGAACCTGATCAAGGCCGCCATATCAAAATCTCTTTCGATAGACATGATAATAGACTCGATTTGTTCCTCTCTTCCTGACAGCCCCTCTAGTGTTTTACGGGTTCCCTCGTGATTCGCCGATCTCGGCGGATAGGACGCAGCGTCCCGCTCGACGGTCGAGAGCGCATAACGCCAGCCGGCGAAGACGATCGATTATATCCCGACTTCGAGGCATTCCAATCGGCGAGAGGTTACTGCAGATGACTAGAAAGGTTTTCTAGGTGACCCGGCAATGACCTCTTTCGTCCTTGACTGCTTTCCGAACACTCGCGATGAGCTATGACTCTACAGCAGCCAGCTACAATAATCTGTGGCATGTAATCCAGCCAGCCTCTGCCAGCTGGAGAATTGTGTCTCGACATCTCCACGCTGACAGCTTCTTAGGCTTGTACATCTACAATGTCCCTAACCCTAGACCATCTCGTGGGAACAGGAGCACATTCCACCTTCGACAGTGGACGCATGCGCTGCTCTGCGAAGATTATCGACGAAACACCCACTTCAACTCTTTGCCGGCAGCGAAAAAAAGGCTTAATAGCCCGAAAAACGCTCTCGCTGTCTTCGAATCATCGCTGCGACCACGGCTGCTCTTTACTCTGCCTCGAGCACCACAACAGACTTACAAACGACAGCTTCAGAACCACTCTCGGCATGACTGCAACTAGCATCCACCTACAGGGGAACCGCGCCTCGGCGCATTCCGCGGATGCTCGAGATTCATTGCTCTCTAACAGCCTATGGCGCTCTCTACAACATAAACAACCATGACCGAGGCGGTTTTGGGGAGCGGATTGTGTGCCTCGTATAGGAGACCGCCCAGAGACCTCTCCCGCAGTCCTGTATTCACCCATTCTCCGGAAAGAGAGCTTTTCCGGGCGCCTCGTCGGGACACATATGTTTGAGCTGCGCAGTGGAAGTGGAGGAAGTCGAGATGACTGCAGACACTCTGTGTCCAGGGTCCTGCCGTCCCATGGCGCTGCGGTCTCTTTCTGGAAGACATGATTGCTTCGACCACGGAATCGACTGCTGGGGCTCGCTCAATCTATTTTGCTTTCGATGTCTTCATAGACTAGTATCATCCGAAGCAGCGTCTTGTAGTTTAGACCAGTGCATCCCAGACTTATCGGTTGAATAGAACGGAATATTAGGTCTTACGACGAGAGACCATGACCAGATGTCATCATGTGCGCACACTGCGGGAACGGGTACCTGTCTATGTCTCCCGCTGGTTGATTCCATGTCAGATCCTTGCTCATGGTTTCGAAAACAACGTCAGGTCGTGACTGGAAAGATGCGACACTCGCAAATATCACCACCATTATCGGCGAAAAAGGTGGGAAAATGCGGTTTTTGAGTTCCGCTCCTCTGCCAGTCTTTGATTCTCCTTGTTTAATGTATGGTTCCGATTTTTCTGCTCAGTAATGCTGCGAAAGCAGTGCTCAGGAGTTTGTTGATGGTGGCCGCTCGCCGACCATACTGGACCAGCACAATGCCACAAAACATCGTCGCTGATCAAGTTTTGGCATGTGATTGCGTTGACAGCTATTCGGAGCGCTGATGTCAATTTTCATGTACGTTATGGTGTTCCGGAACTTCGTAGTCGCATCCTCGATGTTGGTCGCGCAATTATCCGTCGCCGAGCGATGCGGGTTTGTGGTTTCCATTTGGCTACCACTGCAGCGAGGTCGGGGAGCCACTTGCACTTGACTTGACGTCGGTATTGGTGAAAGCCACCGCTGGAGGCGCGGGACATTGTCACGTTTCTGTAGGCTATTGTTAAGCAGTCGTCAGTTTAAGCAGCTACATTGATCCTTGATGATCTGAACATTGCGGGTGCGGTTTCCCTTTGGACTTGCCGCAATATCATTCATAAAAGCATGTCGACGCCCACGACACCGATGGTCTCACGCATCCTACGGACCTTCCAGGAGTTTCTTCGTCATGCCGTGCGTCCGGTACGTTCAGGTACTGTTACCGCTCGTAATCAATGGCCACCGTGGCCACCCAAATCTCTTTGCTTCACCCCCAAAAAGCAGTTTGGGGGGTAAATTACCGTGTGTAGTATCATGTTCTGAGAGTGGGTCTCGTGGCTTCCCAGGTCCGATGGAGCGACCTTCCTCCCCGAACCCGTCATTGAAGCCTCCCATGACACTTCTAGCAGCTGGTCAACAATGTTCAGCATCGAAAAGCTTACGCTTAGTGGTCCCAGAAGCGCTCTTGATGGAGAAAGCTTGTGGAAACTTCCATCTCTTGTGTCGGGAGCTTCCTGCCCATGCGAGGTGCTCTGTCAACCGATCCGGCGGTTACCCATCTCCGGACTCCCTTGAGGGTGTAGAGTAGCGGGTAGCCCTATTGTTTCAAGGTCAATAGGGGCTCTTACAGTGCTCAGACTGATGCTATCTCTTAGTAACCCTTCTCTCAGTAGTCAACACCTGGCCCATGGAGATAGTTCAGAGGTGCCTATTGCCCTTCCAGTGCTCGCCCTTATCCTCGCCTCCCGTTCTTAACACCGGGCCTCGTTGTCGCTCCAGGCCAGGCCCCCATACCTTATCACAGCCACTTCTCGTGCATTTACAACTGCCTCAACAACTGCCTCATCGTTGCCAGCCGTCTCGAAACTGAAGCTTCTAGATAGAGTCATACCTTCCGCAGCCTCCTAATTCTGCTGCCCGGACATCCAATATACCTGCTCATTGTCGACGCACCTCATCAACATTCCGCGTCATCCCCTACATGATAACCAAGAGAAACGTGGTGCTTTCCCCAGTATTTGCTGTTCGCTTCAACAATGAACCCATTCTCAACCATCATATGACAAGGCAATATCTCTTTCCTATCTTCCACTCGTAGGCGTCCTTCTCTCGAACTTCTCGCATGCTTTTCCGGCAAGAGAAGCATGATATCTCGTCTCTCCTGCTGACAGGGCTGGTATGGAAGTCAACCGCAACTTCTCTTTGCATTATTACCAAGGCCTCGTCATCTCCTGCATTTACTTCCATCTACATCTTGTTTCTTTTGCAGAGAGATACCTGACATAGATTATTAAACCGGACATGAAGATTTAATAGTCCTTTCCTGATGTTGTCAGCCAAAAAACATGTGCTTGTTGGAAGGGCTATTTAATCTCGCTCTTCCTCCATGTTACTCCCCGTCTTTTTCCTTTTTTTTCTTCTTCTCTATCCAGCTTCAGACTTGGGTTCCAAAAGACACCATTTGTTACTGAGTATCTTTCAAATAGTATAAGCCATCTCTACCGTCTACTGTGCTTGTTCAATCTTGATCTATCACCACGAAACCCTTTATCTCTGTCTATCATCACCAATCTCGCTGTCGTCGGCCTCGCAGCATCGTTCCTATCCACGACAACACTCAACACTCACGATCCTTCACCTCCATCACAGGACTATCCCTTTTGGACCCTCAAGCTTTTGCTTTGGTCCTCGATCATCCGTCATCGGCTGTCGGTCGTTGATATCTCCTAGTCGATATCCCCACATAGTAGGTAAGCAAAAACCTAAAGTTAACCATTCACCGTGAAAGCTTCAATCTTTGGAACCTGTGTCTTGCGGGCCATCAAGGTTCTATGCTTGTTCTTATTGATTTTATCTGTTATTGTCCCGTTTTGTTGCACCTGTGACCTTGGAGATCCCTTCAGGTTTGCACAGATCAAGTGAATGCCAGTTTCATGCCACTCAGTATCATCGTTTCTTCCGCCATGTATCATGCGTCTTTTCTCCCTTCGCTCTGTCTCGTCGATCAGTTCTCTTGCAATTACCCATCCCCTATTTTCACCCAGATGACACCCCACTCATCGGTTGTTGTCTTCACGCGAATGATACACCACCCCGCTGAACCGACGACAGCGACGACGGTGACAACCGACATGCGTGTTGTTGATCAACTCGAGGTCCTGGTTGGTCTTTGCTTCATCGACATCGTGGCCGCTGTTGCCCTTGCCCCTTGAGCTTGCCTTCGCCGTTGGTGTTTTCCTTCTTCTCCTCCTTCTAGTCGTCAGTTCGCCTTTGCCCTTCTCTTTATCTCTAGTAGGACCAACTCCTCGCTTTCTGTGAGCAGCTCTGGTTAACGCTTGGTACCTTTTCTCTAGATCTTGACAGTTCTCATCATGTCTTCGTCTTCGGAAGACTCGCAAGATGAGGTTTACGCTCAATGGCTCGCTCTTCTACAAGAGTCCGTACGGAATGTGGCGAGGGAAGAGGAAACCACGACGCCTGAGCAAAAGGCCCAAAGGGAGGCAGAGCGTCTTGCGTGGTTGGCATGGAGGGATGAGAACGACGCGAAGAAAAAGGCACCCAAGCCCCGCAAAGCGCGCAAGACAACTAAACCTCCCCAAGCCCCCAAAAAGGAGACCAGCCGGAAGAGAAAGAGACCTACCGCTGATCCGGAGAACAGTGGAGGACAAGCAGCATCAACTTCCTCTAATGATCCGGAGAACGGCCCTCCAAAGAAGCGGAGTCCGGGGAGGCCGAAGGGTAGTAAGAACAAGCCCAAACCTGGACAACAGCAAGCGCAGGCTGAAGCAGCACAGCAGCCGACGCTACCTCGGGAGCCTTCGCCAGTCGGCCAACAAGACCCCGTTGACGGCCCCACGGGCTCCTCGACCGACTACTTTGGGCAGCGTCTCGAGGCGGCGGCCCGCTCCAGAAAAACCTCGCCTCCGCCCATTCCTCAACCTTCCCTCGTCAGAAACCAGAACGGCGACGTTGAAGATGAGGACGACCTGTTCGGCGACCGATATGTCGAAACGGTCTCTTCCCAGTGCGAACCGATGCCTAACTGCGCGGAACGTGATCAGGATCAGGACCAGAACGACGACGTTGAGGACGTGGACGACCTCTTCGGCGATCGATATGTCGAAATGGCCTCTTCCTAGAGCGAACTGCGGGCAAGGTGATGGAGACGAGGAAGAAACTAAACATAATCCTTTCCTCGATATGCTGTCTGTCTCTGGGGTCTTGGGTGTGGGTCGTGCTGGCAGTGCGAACTGAACGCTTGTGTGTTGGGGGTGGAAAAGCGGAAACGAAAAGGGGTCTGTTTTTTAACGGTAACGTAAGAGGAGGAACGAGAATTCCTCGCCGGGAAGCACAGTGAATGCTTCTAACTGCCAAGGCGCGGCCGGCCAACCTTGCGTCTCGACGTAGTCTCCCGGAGGAGGAACGATTTGAGCTTTGAGGTTTCTGGGTGGGTTTTTCTTCTTTGATTTGGGATGGAAGAAGCACGATGCCATGGTTATATCGTATCCCGTTACTGATAGGTCGGAAGCCATAAAAAGGGCATTGAGGGACAACGATGGTTGATCGAGTAGACTTTCTTTCATCGTTCGATATCACCATTAGCGAAATAGCGACTCTTGCAAGAACATATTCTTCTTCGTCTTACAGAGTGAAGAGTCTATCCCTAAACATTGGATGATGATTAGCTCAAGTCAAAGCATGTGGAGCCACTGCCTTCTATTCTAGCTGTGCCGCCAATGTGTGCGAGTTTGATATCACGACACTCTTCGGGTCAGCCGTCGGCTTCAACATCACCAACCCATCACTTCTCACCACCACCTCACCTTCAACTCACTTTGGCCTCAACACCATTTCCAACACCGACTTGGCCGCAGGCTCCACGCAAAATTTCTGCACAGGTCACACAGAATTTTTTTTACTATTTCAACCCGGCCCCGACCCCTCCTCTCTTCTCCCAAACTTCTTCCTCGCTTCATCCATCACCAACCACTTGGACCCAAACTCGACCACCACCAACCATCTCAACTTTTTCCACCCATTCAATCACCATCTCGAATCCCAATTGATTCCATCAACTCCGTCTCTTCACTGCCTTTCTACAGTAACTGTCTCTCCATTCTCCTCTCCAATTTCTCGTCGCATTTTCTGCTTCAACTCGCTACCTTTTGCGACATCGTACAACATTCTCGCAATGCAGCAGCATCCGCAGCAACTTCAGCACGGCCAATTGCGCCAGCAAGGTCAATTGCCTCAGCAGCAATTTGGAGGACCTCAACCTCAGAATCTATTCATGCAGCCTGGCAAATACCAGATGCAGATGCCTTCACCAGTCCAGCAGGCCCCGCATCGCGGACAGCGTCGGGTCTTTGCGCAAACCTTTCAGGAGAGCGATCTCCCTCAGCAGTACTTTGAACCGTCACAGTCTCCTCAACAGCATGCCCAAGTCTTTCAGCACCCCCAGCAGCATGGCCACAACTTGCAACAACCCCAGAAGGTTGTGTATCATCCCCAACAGGCGCAGATGAACTGGCAGCAGGGAGCCACTCACCCTGACATCACCAACAACTCTTTTGAGTTCAATGCCCAGCAGCAATTGGGTCCCCATAGTATCTAGGAGAATGCCATGGAAACCTCAAACAGCCCGCTGGGCGATCTGAACCTTGAGGACTTTGACCTTGATCAGGCTTTGATGATGTCTGTCAATGACGATTTCAACTTCGACGACTTTGGCGATCTCCAGGTTCAGCAGCAGCAGCAGCAGCAGCAGAACGTCATTTCTCAGAATGCCGTCAACTGGCCATCCGAGAACCTCTTCCATGATCAGACGTCGCAAGTTGCCCATCAGAGCCGCGCCAATTCCTCAGTGTCTTTGATGACTCCGCGTGCCGACAACTCGTATGATCTCTTCAACAACAACACTCCTGTCCAGAACTCGCACAACTCTTTCACCATCACTCCCGCTGCGACTCCGCAGAACTCTTTCAACAACTCTCCTGGCCAGATTTCAAACAAATCTTCCAACACCACTCCCGTCGCGGACTCGCTCAACAATTTCAACACCTCTCCCGCTGGCAACGCTGGTGATTCACCGAGCTTTTTCAACACCTCTCCTGTCCAAGACTTATCAGCTGGCTGGGGAGTCGAAAACAACAACTTTGGTGATTTGTCGGCATCTTTCTCTTCTGCGAGCGAGAATCATCAGAACTTCGTTGATCTGACGGGCGAGAACGTTGATTTCACGGGACACAACGTTGCCTTTGGTCAAGTATCGCAAGGTGCCACCTATGGCCAGATCGATCCCTTCGCATCATTTGCCTCACCGCTTGAGAATTCCCAGCAGCAGGTTCTCAGCGTCGCACCAGAGAACCTGCATAATGTTCACGAACATCAACCTTTCCCAAACCCAGGGCATGCCCAGTCTCAAGGCTCTCCTCATATTCCCACAACACCATTTCCCGCTCAGCAACCTCAACCTTCCCCGCCCAAGAATTCGGCTAAGAAACGGGCCCCTTTGCCAAAGAAACCTGCCGCAAAACGTCCTACGAAGAAAGCCAGGAAAACTAAGACTCCCACCAACGACGAGCAGATTGCCGATTCTGAGGCTATCGACAACGGTTACCAAAACGAAGCTGCCATCAGCGAGTATCTCTGGGGAGCTGAGCTCCTCCCCCAGGACTATGAGTATGACCTCGATGCCCCCCTTCGCAACTTCAGCGATTCGATCCCCCAGCGTGTTCCCGCGAGCGAAAATGCGCCTGCTCCTGCCAGCAATGTCACTGAAAACGACCCTCTCTTTGACCCTACTCTTGCCAGCAATGCGATCTTGCAGGATATTCCCGTAGAAGGAAGTGCGCCTCCTCCTGCCCACAACAGTCTTTTCGACAATGACCCTTTTATTACGCCTGCCCCTCCCAGCAACGGCATCGAGAACGACCCTCTTGTCGTTTTCCTCAACCAGGAAAATGCTAAACTCAACGCCATGAAGCAAGCCAACCAGGTAAGCATTGCAATTCCCAATATTTTCGATAGGTTGACTGACACAAAACAGCAGGCCCAACTGAACAACGTGACAACCCCTGAGCCCAGCAGCCCTCCCAAAAAGCGTAAGCGCGGCAACTCGACTCGCACGCCAAATGTCAGCGACACCCCAGCCAAGAAGAGGAAAGTGTCGAAGAAGGCCAAGGTTAAGGGCAGATTGTCCAAGTCGGCCTCCTCGGCCAAGTTCGGTCTCGGAAAAGGTGCGGGTACCGGTCTCAACTCCCCTCGCACCATGTACGTCTTTGAAGACCGCGCCTTCTACTTAATTCCCGCCAATATCATGCCTGCTTTCCTCGAGTTTGTCTCGACGCCCAGGGAGATTCCGGTTCAGCAGCAGTTTCCCACTGCGCAACAACAGCCTCTCGCTCAGCAACAGAACTTTGCTCAGCAGCAACCTGCTCCTGTTCAGCAGCAGCCTGCCGTAGAGCAACAAGAGTTCTCGCAGCAGCAGCCTTTTGATCAACAGCAGCCTGCCCCTGTTCAGCAACAAGATCTCTTCCAACAGCAGGCCGCCATTGAGCAGCCGGCTCCCACCCAAGAGGAGTTTGAGCCTGCCTATGACATCGAGGGACGACTCCTCACCCTGCTTGATGACGACGAAGTCAACGAGCAAAACAACGATGAGGATGACCCTTATGCCCCGGCTCCCCGCCGCCCTGTTCCGCTCAGTGAAGCCGCCATCGCCTTTGGCTTCACTAGTCTTCCGACCGAGCGCAGCCCATCGTCCTCTCACAACCCATTGCCTGTCCAAAACCCACCGCAGGCCTTCTCGTCCCCTGCCCCTGCTCTAGCTCCCTCGTCAACCTCATCGCCTGCGGCCGGCAACAGCAATGGCACCAATACCGGCAACACCAGCAGTTACGCCATCCTCAGTGCCAGCAGCGACATTGTCATCAATCCCATCCCCGAATCCAGCCCTCGTTTCATTCCTGACAATCGTGAGATCATCGCCAGATTCAATCTGTCACCGACAGGCAGCGGCACCGAGCGCGACGTGAGCCATCTGGAGTACTTTATCAACCTGGTCCATAGCAGCGGCCTGTTCGCCTGCGGTCATCACGACGAGATCCCTGGCGGTTTTCGTTGGGAGAGTTGGAAGACAGCTGAGGAGAATCTGCTCGCGCTGCGTCCGTTCTTTGGGACTCTCACCACCAAGGCTTGGTTCGAGCAGTGGAAGAAGGGTGAGAACCCGGTTCAGTTGGCCGAGATGGAGGAGGACGAGTAGATGATTTTGGAGCTTGAACTTGAGGGGTGAAACGATTTCTGTTCTGCGATGGAGAAGGAAGGAGTGTGGAAGAGCAGCTGTCTCCTTTGACAAAAGCAAGAACATTGTCTCCTAGTCAAGCGCCAGAGAAATTGGCGATTGGATGATTTCAAGAGCCAGCAACAGCCAAAAAGTAACAACAACAAACAAGTGGTTTGGTCTAATGTACCGACCACACAAAGTATCGGCAGATACTGTCAGTTGACAACAAATCAACAAACAAAAAAACGTCGGCAAATGGATCGACAAACGGATACGATTTCCTTTATCTCATTTCATGATTGGCAGTGCTGTTTAGTACAACAACAGCACCAAGTACAGTTTCATGGCAACCAACAGTCACTTTGGTTTCGGATAGGGTTTACATATTTCTAATTTGGCACTTGGCACTTGGCACTTGGAAGGAGGGAAGATGATACCCAGATACCCCGAGATACCCATCATGCATTTTCAAGCCCTTTTTCCTTTTTTTTTTTTTTTTTTTCGTCGACAAGGGATTCATGGATAAACAGAAACGACGGTTATGACATTACGAGGCTACGAGGTTATGATCATATGAGCAGCTCACGAGCAAACCAAGACATGATACATAATTGATGCTTCACCTTACGTGGGAGGCAATGTCTCTTGGAAATTCGCTAGGTGCTCTCTCAAGCATCAACTCTATCAGATTGGAGTGGTTTATGGATGCGGGAGAGGGTAGGGTAGAAAAGAAACCCTCAGCGGATTGGCGAGAGAGAAGTGATATGGTTCGGAAGCTAGCTATTTAGTTGTGCAAAATCATTGCAATTCACATTTGCTCCAGCTTCGTGACATGACATGTGTGTGCTTGAGTTGTTCATGTTTGAGTGTCCAGCGAGACTTGCTCCAGCTGTAGCCATTTGAGAACAAATGGATCAACATAGAGGTATTGATGACTATAGGTATCTTTCTCTTCCTCCTCTTCCCAATGCTTCTGTTAGGTATGGTTCCGTCCTCAATACCTACTCTTGGTGTCTTGATCACCATGCTAATTCCTATCTCGCATATCTTCCCATAGCCTTAACAACATCCTTGACATTCACGCTTCCTTTGTCCATTCTATTCTGATGCTGGTGCTGTTATGGCTATCGTTGTCGTTGCCGCCATTGTTTGAGGGTGTTGATGACATTTGAATATTGGGTCGCGCGTTCGCGGTTGCTGCGGTAGCCGCCCGAGAAGAGGAGCAAAGTTGATGAGAGAATTGGGCCACTAATTAAAACATAGAAAGTAAGAGTCCACCTCATCGATTCCTGTATGTTCAAGCTTTCAATGGAAAGTGAAAATGAGACAGGCAAGACATCATTCAAGATCAAATGAAAAGAGATATACCTGAATGAATGTGATTGTCCATGCTACTCCGTGACAATAATGCTTTGCTAGGTAGTTTGTACATGGCGGCCACGGATCACGCTTGTAGGGGGCCGTTTGAAATCTTATGATTGCATCAAATTGAGGCAGCAGAATGAGGTCGACGATTGCAGATGCAACTGACTTGTCTTGAGAAAACGAGTATATTCTAGTACGTTCTTGAGATGAATGTGCGATTTGATTTTCAACATAAAAAACATGCAGATAGTTAGTATCACGCACACCAATGGAACTTACACTGAGGTATTTCTCCAATAGTGCCAACACCCAATCGCAACGCCCAAACTCTCGCCGCGCCCCAACAGTTTTTCTTTTTTTCCCATTCCCCTCTCCTCGCAGATGACTAGCCCAGGTCTTAACGACTCTCAAGGTGAGAGACTCCATCCAGCTACATCATCCTCACTGTCTCCACCCCCTTCATCGCCAGCCCCCCTCTTCACTTCCCAACCCAAGCCACCAAGCCCTCTCCCGCCACGAATCACCAGAAGCAAATCCCTCCCTCCAGTTCTACCGTCAAATACGGCAAAGTCAGCCATTACCACCACCAGCAAGCCCAAGCCAACTTACTCCGAAATCGCCTCCCTCTACCAATACATCTGGGACTGCATCGATGACCTCAAGATCATCACAGGCGACCTCTGCCAGCGACTTATTGCGCTGGAAGACACGGTAGCCGCCCTGGACGAAGGCGACAATGTGGAAATCTTCACGAGGAAAGCGCTCGACATGGCGACCGAAGGGCAGCTCATAGCGATGATTGCGGAGCAATTTAGGGAGATGGGGACGAAGATAGCGGATAGGGGGACGGATGTGGGCTTGGAGGATGGTGATTATGGGAAGGCGGGTGGGGATGGGGTTGATATCGAGAATAGGCACGGGGACGAGAACGAGAATGGGCATGGAGACGGGGAGGAGAACACGGATGGGAACGGGAGCGGTACACAGAAAAAAAACCAGGGGAGGGAGAAGCGGAACGCCAGAGTCAGTAACACTGACACAGACAGTGATCCCGACTTGTAAACTCTGCAAGCATATAGAGTGTTCGTGGGGGAACTGGTGTGGGGCAAGTGTCTGGACCCACGGGGGAACAAGGAAACATAAAACTGAGAACTGTACCTGTAAGCCAACATGAAGACGGCCGTCTGTTACCGGTTCGATGCAGCGAACATGTACAGTTGATTATCCTTCGTGGGCGCAGATATCCAGTCTGGCTCCAGCCAGACCCGGCCAGACAGTCTTGCGGACAGGACACTCGTAATTTTTTGCCTAATCACCCTATAAGATGGACAGCCAAATGTCGACTTTATGTGCCAAATGCACCAAAGAATAAGCGCCAACGGTATAGGGATCCTTTAGAGACTTCAGAGGTCTTCCAAGGCCATCGCACTATGGGAGCCGCGTCGAATCGGAAAGTGTAACGACGCTTGTTAGAGTAACATATGACTCCATCAATATTGTCCTTGTAGCTAAAGGTAATGCAGCCCGGCCGCGGTATGTAATCGCCATGCAATGCACAGTTTCGGAAAGGTACCCGAGTGCGATCCGTAGTCGGCCCATGATGCCGCATGGGTGTAAGAACTTCTTCCAGTGGGCACGCTCAGCTGGTATAGTTTTGGCCAAAAGCATGAAACCACCACCATGGATCATTCAAGATAAATCGTGTCGGCAGTGTGACCAGATGGTCAAGTATTTCGTAAGTGGCCGAAGGAAGACTTTGGTCATGCTGTTTTGTTGGAATTGAGAAGTGTCATGTTCCAGCCTGGTCCGACAACGCTTTGTTTACTTCAGTCAGGGGTTGTCTTGCTTTTCTTGGCCGAACACCTGAAGATCTTGCTGATCTCCACTGGACTACCTGCCGAGAGCCATCAAGGTGCATCAACGCGTTCTAGATCCATTGTAGCTGATAGGGCGGATGCTCCGAACGCTTGTCGTCGGTTCGATGTTGGTCTTGTGATCGTGTGGTTGTCCAGATGAAGGAAGCGGATGGGCCGAGCACATCCGGCGACCCGATTGCATCCGCGGGTATACCGCAATAGAATCCCGACAAGACCAACGGTTGACCTTGCTGAACCAGGCTGTTCTTGAATCCGTCTCTTGTTGTAACGATGATCATCAATTTCTGTTGTCCGGATCGTATTGTCGGGAACTGTCCAGGACTCAAGTGATTGTATATCTATATCTGCTCATCATATCCGATATCATTAGCCGACTGTCATGAACGTGTAAGTGATAGGGTATCAGTAGTCTCGTAGCCGCATCCTAACAGCCAATGTTGTGTGACGTCAAGTGAGGGTCTGGACGGTGACCAGGAGGACCCTTCTTTTGGACAGCTGCAGCTACTTGACAGCTCCAAATCTGGGGAGCATGAATGCCAATGCCGCGAGCAGGCGGCTTTGCCTATCGATCGTTACCGGGCATGTGGCTATTCCGGGGAAAGGGACCGCCAACATGAGTCGGGAACCGAGCCAAGCTGGCAGCATTCCTCCGGACCGTTCCGGTGAATGGGGCCCGACGATAATGGTGTTGCCGAAGGGCCAGGGTTTCGCCAGGGTTATAGGTGCATTTTGGGCGGCTTTGGGTCAGTTTTAGCCAGGGGCATGAATCGCCGTTCCCACGAACTGTCAAGGATAGCTCCTCATCTACCCCGCGAACCGATGTGAAGACGATCCCGCCTTGTCCACAATATCAAAGTTAAAGTTGCGGTAAAGCCCGGGCGATGACGGTTGTGGTTCCTTTTGCCTTTTCCCCAGATCCACTGTGGTTCGCGTTCCATCGAGGGTGTTGTCTAGCAGGGCACAAGCTGGGAAAATGAGAAAGTGTCGGTTTTTGTTGATGTTGGATATCGTAGCCAACCAGCCAACCAGCCGACACTCGGGCTTGGCATGAGTCGGTCGGTACACCAGGATGAACTAAGGATTGGGTACGATGTGTGGCTGCTGTTCACTTGGTTGATATTGGTTTTTTTTTTCTCTAGCTGTGGCTTCGCTTGTGGCGCAGTAACAACAGGGAACGAAGGCATCGTTTCAAGCCTTCTCTCAAAGCCCAACAAGCAAAATATATTGGAGTGGAGCAGATGAGCTGCCGAACGGGAGCTATGGCCATGCAATCCACTTGGGAGCAAGATCATGACGAATTACTATCCAGTCATCAAGAGAGCTTCGATAGGAGACTTTGTTGGTCCAAGAGGACACAAGAAACAAAGCGAATGAATCAACAAATTCGTGAGAGGACAAAAGGCGGCCAACAGATGTCTTGAAACTGACAGCGTGGACAGTCAAAAGAGACGGTGCAGACTGCAGCTCCGCTTGAACTGAGGGTCTCGGCGAGAGGGGGGCGGATGGGGAAACGACGAAAATGGGAAGACTGTCGCCGTCGTCGGCGGTCTTGAGACAAATGCCTCCAAGCATTCCCGTAGCCCACACCATAATGACCATGTTGGATCCCGTCTTCTTCCTTACCGACTGTCTTGGTTTCCATTTTCCGCTCCGTACCGTACCGGATACTCCGTGTCAGCTGAGCAGGTCCTTGTTAGTAAAATACACACGTTGTTGCCATTGCTGTTCTTTGATGTTGATACAGGTGATGATGGTGTTATAATCAGTCGCCGACGGAGGACGGCATGTAACGCGATGCATGAGCGATTTCGAGCTGTCAAGACTATCGATAGCCTGAAAAACAGTCCAGACGGAAAGAACCAGCCTGATCCCCGTTGCTGATTTTCTCTCCCAGCAAACAAAGGCCCGATGAGAAAAGTGATCCTCTGGGTATTTCGGCGCCTGGCCCGTTAGCCTGGTACGAGACTGGCGTCGCGGCCCCGGTGACGGAGTGCTATGGCTGCTTGTTGGGGAATTGCCGAGGCTCGCAATTGTAGCAGTCAGCAATGTCAGCATCGACATGTTCAAGTTGACTCATTTCAATTGGTATTACAAAGACTGAACCCGTGAAGCACATAGCGTGACCGTAAATCACGGATTCTCCGGCAAGGAGCTTGCTTCATTGTTGCCTCTTGTCGGCGGCTCTCAAAGCAAAAAAGGATGGGAATCTCTTCATGCCAAGGGCGCGGCGCCGAGTACTGCGCTAACATTACACGCCAAGCCATTGGAGAGTGGCCCCACCTCATCCCACCATGTCCCACCACCACAGCCCACCATGGAGCAAAGCGTATGATGCAACCACGATGGGAGGCAGCTGGTGGGATGGAAGGAACGAGCAGAAACCACCCACCCATTGACCACCCCACCCTCAAGCCAAATTTATGTCGCTCATGCCACCACGGTGACATTTGGCAGGCATTGAGAGCGTTAGGTAGCAGGGGTAATGAGGAGCTCCCCTCCTCTTTTGCCCCTCCTTGCCGACTGGGGATTACAGGCTGATAACCAGACTGGACGCAAGCAGGGCAGCTGGAGTCGGCTGGGAAACTAGATAATAGATAGTACAAGAATCTCCTCCTGCCTCCCAACTTTTTTCTTTCTTTCCTTCTCTTGCTTCATCATCATCATCCTCGCGATACCTTCATCTTTCTAACCAAAACTCTTCTTCCAAACCACATCAGGTATGTTGTGACTGCCCCCGCATCTCCAGAAACTGAGCTTCCTTCCTCAACACTTCCAATCATCGTCACTTCCCTTGTCGGCGGCGGCGGCGGCGGCGGCAGCAGCAGCAGCAGCAGCAGAAGCAGAAGCAGAAGCAGCAGCTACCCCGCACCTTCCTGACCCCGTCCCATCTCATCCTCAGTCAATTCCTCCCGCTTCGCTGCCAAGCTGTGTACAGCATCTGTGTCTGCGTCTGTTCCCCCCCAAGAGGAAGTGGACGAGACTCAGATCGGACTGTCATGGATGCTGGTGGTAGAGGTGGCATCAGAAGGGTTCCTCGGAATCGCTCCTCCCCGATCCTGCCTGCAGTCGGTCCTTCCGTGTTTTTGGACGCTCCTCGTGTCCAGTTGTTCTGCCACGCAAACATGTGAACGGACGAGACCGAAAAGGATAAGGAGGGCAGGCAGACGAGTCCGGCTTTAAAACCCAGACTTTCCTTCATCCTACCACCCATCATCATACAACCTTCAACAACTTGCTTCACAAGGCCTTGATACTTACTCGTCTTCACTCCAACAGTCAACATGGTCGTCAAGGTCGGCATCAACGGTTTCGGCCGTATCGGTCGCATTGTCTTCCGCAATGCCATTGAGCACGATGACATCCACATCGTCGCTGTCAACGACCCCTTCATTGAGCCCAAGTACGCTGTAAGTTGGCCTCGCTCACATACATCCCTTGTCTCATATGACAACTCAGACTCTGACCATCATCCCTCTTACAGGCTTACATGCTCCGCTACGACACCACCCACGGCAACTTCAAGGGCACCATCGAGGTTGACGGTGCTGACCTCGTCGTCAACGGCAAGAAGGTCAAGTTCTACACTGAGCGCGACCCCGCTGCCATTCCCTGGTCCGAGACCGGTGCCGACTACATTGTCGAGTCCACTGGTGTCTTCACCACCACCGAGAAGGCCTCCGCCCACTTGAAGGGTGGTGCCAAGAAGGTCATCATCTCTGCCCCCTCTGCTGATGCCCCCATGTACGTTATGGGTGTCAACAACGAGACCTACGACGGCTCCGCCAACGTCATCTCCAACGCCTCTTGCACCACCAACTGCTTGGCTCCCCTCGCCAAGGTCATCCACGACAACTTCACCATCGTCGAGGGTCTCATGACCACCGTCCACTCCTACACCGCCACCCAGAAGACCGTCGATGGTCCTTCCTCCAAGGACTGGCGCGGTGGCCGCACTGCTGCTCAGAACATCATTCCCAGCAGCACTGGTGCCGCCAAGGCCGTCGGCAAGGTCATCCCCGACCTCAACGGCAAGCTCACTGGTATGGCCATGCGTGTCCCCACCGCCAACGTCTCCGTTGTCGATCTTACCGCCCGCATCGAGAAGGGTGCTACCTACGATGAGATCAAGGAGGTCGTCAAGAAGGCCTCTGAGGGTCCCCTCGCTGGCATCCTTGCCTACACTGAGGATGAGGTTGTCTCTTCCGACATGAACGGCAACCCCGCCTCCTCCATCTTCGATGCCAAGGCCGGTATCTCCCTCAACAAGAACTTCGTCAAGCTTGTCTCTTGGTACGACAACGAGTGGGGCTACTCTCGCCGTGTCCTTGACCTCATCTCCTACATCTCCAAGGTCGATGCCAAGAAGGCCTAAATCGGTTGCGTATCCGCACGGTTATGAAGTAATGGTCTTTTCCTAGATATGAAGAAAAAAAAAAGGCAATGATTCCATGGGATTGAACTCGAGCATGTTGGATCTCGGGCAGTCCTGCTTAAAGTAAAATAATATCCGAACTCAAATAGATACCAAGTTCACTTCCAGTTCTGTTCCTAATTGCGCATTGTGATACGAGTTGTTTTCTATCTCAGAAGTGCTGTGTATAGATGGCTGAGATCATTCCAGTTGACTGCGATGACATGGTGCTACAGGTCGCAGCTGAGTGCCTCGGGCCTCCTGCGACGGTTTACCAGCAGTGAAGTGCTCGAAACATTGAAACAAAAGCTTTCCTTCGGTGAGGGTAAGTATCAGCAGCGTACGATGAAAAGTAGATCAATACCCTGCTAACCAGATGTCTCTCTTGACGTGACCTACTACACCTTCAATTGATTGACCAAACTCTAGCTAGACCGTAATTTCCAGTGGCCTGAGAGCACGGTGTTCCTGAACAACCGATGATTGGCAATCTCCATCAGTGGTATGACGATGACAACATGAGGCGAAGTTGAAGGGTAGGTAGTATTCACTGTTACCGTTACTGTCGTATCGACTGTGAGTGTGGTCTGACAACGCCTTGTCGGGCTATCCGATCAACGAACGGTCTATCCGTCTGCCGCCCGCTGCCGTCCGCTACTGTTACATGGGTGGGTGAGTGGACTGAGAGAACGTCAAGCTGTCAAGGGTCTTTCATCAGTCGTCAGTCTATACCTGTCAGGATTACATGTACCTACATAGACCGTCAAGGTAATCAAGGTAATCTCTGATCTGATTGTCCGCCACGTATCTCAATCAGGAACTGGGAGGGGGAGTTGTTCATGTAGGAAACAGGAGAGACAGGACTGGACTGGATCAAATGGGGAATAGCATGAGGCATGAAGCAAGCAGACTCCATTCTATGGCTGGGGACCTTGATGGCCCTGGCTCTGGCCCCTTTTGACGGCGTTACTTCCAGAGTAACAAAGTGGAAAACACTGCTGATGATGACGTTGTTCACCTTGAACCACCTTGGACCACCTTGATGGCCGAGGAAGTACCGGTTAATGTCTAAGGTCAGGTTAGTATTGGATTTTCGCGAAGCAGCGAAAGGGCGAGAAGTAAGTTACATTGGTCTAGAAATGGAAGGAGAAAAGCGAAGAAAGCGAAAATATAGGTATATATATGTATATATGTGAAGAAAGGAAAGGAAAAAAAAAAAAAAAAAAGAAAAGAAAAGGCGAGATGGGAGAGCTCATGAAGAAAGTAGGAGAGTGTCACGCAATAAGCTGGAGGTAGGTAACTCAGCTGGCAACGAACTGGATTGAAGGTATTTGTGTGAACATGATAAAAGACCACCACCACCGTTACTACCATCATCATCACCGCCACCGTCACCATTATGATCGACGACCGTAACTTTTCTTGCCGTTCACTTAGTATACTCTAACAATACGATGGATAAGTTGCATGTATGAATGACAACGACAGCAGGAGGAAGGATGAAAAAGTGCACATCGCGTTAATTCTCTATGTCGTTTGTTGGTTACAAGTGTAGATGACAGTCAATCTTGTTTGTATGATACTCTGTAAATTCAACTGGACGTTGTGAGGAGACAACAATAAAGGAAGCACAGAGAAATACGAACAGGACAGCAACATGTTTTCTCATTTTGAATAAGTGCATTCATTGTTTCTTACTTTTCGCTGTTCTCATTTCTGCCCCGTTTTGATCACTAGAGATAAGGTAACACACGGCACGCACATCTAGCCACACACATCACTAAAATCGAAAAGAGAAGTTACTGTCAATATTTTACTGTTTTTCTCGCTGCGTAATCTATATGCATTGTTGAAACCCGATCCATGCATTTGCCGTACCACTTATTGTAGTCTAGCATCACCATCACCAAACCAAACAAACCGTCTATTCGTATGCTCGCATACCATACCATACCATACCATACCATACCATATCATACCAGAATCAACAGAACACGGCAGACAGACAGACAAACCCCCGTCCGGTAACCCTTCCATTATCACCAACGGATGTGCCACTCGTTCGTTGTCAACTAAAAAGCAGCACCACCCAACCCCTCCCCCGCCAAATTCTTCAAGCTCCGCTCACTCAAATCGCTCTTCAACTCAAACGCCTTGCTCTCCCTCTCCATCTTGCTCCACATCCGCAAGCTCCTCCTCAGCTTCTCCTTCTTGGCATTCAACTCCTCCCGAATACGCTCCTCGTCCTCCATCAGCTTGCGGTGGTGCGGGTCCAGATCCTTGGTGACGCCCGTCAACATGGCCGAGCCAATCGACGGGTCCAACTTGCCGACGCCGGGAATGATGGGGGGCATGCTGGCCATGAGGGATTGCGCAAGGGTGAGGGACTGCTGCTGATGGCCGCGCGGACCGTGGTGGCCATGGGAGTGGGCGTGAGCCGCGGGGCCGGTGGGTGGGTTGAACGGCTTTGCGGAGCTGCTGAGGGAGGGAGAGGGGGAGGAGGTGGAGGTGACGACTCCTGAGCCTGCGGAGGCGGAGACGGATGATGCAGCATTGGCGGCTGCGGATGCGCGAGGGCCCGTGGGAATGTTATTGGCGTTGCTGGGGCCGGTGGGCGGGCCGCCGGAGGAGGGCGAAACCGATGCAGCGGGGCCGTTGGTGTTGCTGGTGACGGAATTGTGACGGGAGATGCCTGACCAGCTGTTTCCTCCACGTCCTCCGCGGGGTGCGAAGCCGCCTCCTCGGGAAGGAGGCACGTAGCCACGGGGTCCCGAGGGTGGTACGGGCGGACTGGACGTGTCGGGTCGGGACGGACCGCTGGGAGTCTGAGGAGGATGACGAGTTGCGGGGCTTGCTGATGGCGCTGCAGGCGGTGCCAGGTTCCTGGTTGCTGCAGGACCGGTGGGTGGTGCCCTCAAAGCTGCCGGGCCTCTAGGGGGCGATTTGACGGGAGTGGGAGTGGGAGCTGGCTCTGGTGCCGGTGGCCGTTGCTCTTGCTTGGGCGTCTCACGCACAGGAATCGGAGTGGGCGCGGCCGGTTGTGGAGGGGATCGGGGTGCGGGTGTAGGTGCCTCTGTTTGTGTCTGTGCTTGTGTTTGTGCCTGTGTCTGTGTCTGTGCTTGTACAGACGCCGATGCCGGTGCCGGTGCCGGTGCCGCTACCGGTGCCGGTGATTGAGGTCTTGATCGGTCATCTCTTCTCTGGCGAGAGCCCGGACGCGGCGAAGACTTGCCTGACGCAGAGCGAGAGGTAATGGCAGATGAGTTGACGGAGTCTCTGGGCGGCAGAGGTGACGCCGGGCGTCTATAGGCCGGGCCTGGATAACGATCGTCCTGATCACGAACACGGCGTTCGGGAGATCGGAACCGAGGACGGTAAGATCCCCCTCGCGGTCCGACAGGTGGTGTCCTTCTCAGTGGTGAGCGATTCCGGCGAATTCCTCTATCTCGATCAAATGGTGACCTAGATCTTCTCCGTATTTCAAAGTCGCGCCGAGGGGGGGATCGAGCTCTCTCAGGTCGCTCATCGCGACGGGGAGAGGCAAATCTGGGCGGAGGGCTTCTCCTGGGAGGGGGACTCCGTCGTGGTGGTGAAGGGCTGCGAGGAGGGGGGCTGCGAGGGCGGCTTCTGCTGCGATCTTGTCTTCTCCAAGTGTTCTCGGGTTCCCTGGACCTATCCCGCGGGCGTCTGTACCGGTCACCCATGCCGCCTGGGCGATCTCCCATGCGATCTCCCAGACGGTCTGGCAAACGGTCTCCCATACGATCGCCGAGACGGTCTCCCATGCGGTCACGAATGCGGTCTCCTAAACGGTCTCCAAGACGATCTCCCATCCGATCACCAACGCGATCAGCCAGGCGGTCGCCTACACGATCTCCCATGCGATCGACCAAACGGTCCCCCAAACGATCTCCTCCACGTTCTCCTATACGATCGACCAACCGATCACCACTACGCGAGCGGCGGCGTGGGGATCTACTTGGAACATAACTGTCGCTGGCGCCGGGCGGAGTACGGCCTCGGTCTCTCAAGGGACTGCGAGTGGCCCGAGGCGACCGATCTCTGTTATAGGGACGGTAGGATTCGCCCGCTCCATACCTCCGAACTTCCCCATCTTCATATCTGTACGAGCCATCTGTTAGAACGTACCCCTGGCTATAGGTTAAGCTCCAAAATGCAGCTATGGCGTGGGTCCGCTTGGCCAGCACGAGCTTAACAATAAGAGAAAAGGAAGACAACAGAAAGAAAGAGAACCGAGCCACGGTCAAACCACCGGCAGCATGGATCCACAAAAGCAGGAGACAATGACGCTTCAAGACTGTCAAGCAGACCCGACTTCTTGGCATTCGGAGGTAGACTGCTCCGACAGGATTGACTGATAACAAACAAAAATCTTAAAAGTGATAACCCCAAAGAACCTTGAACCGGGAAGTATGGGGGTTCAAGAAAACTAGCGGCGAGGGCCGCGACGGCGACGCCGCGGCTTGTACATCTGGAGTCCCGTAGTGGGAGGAAGTTGTCCTTCCAACAGAGTATAGCGTCCATGTCGCAAATCGTTGACTTTGTCGACATATGTTTTGGGACCCGGATAAGTTGCCCTTCCCTCGGCGTCATAGGTACATGGCAGGATAACCGGGCTGTAGCTTCTTCGCTTTTTCTGCTTGTTTGATCCCGCCGCCTCAGGAGTCAGAGATCTCGACCGTTCTCTGCCCCTGCTGTCCATTGTAGCGGTTGGGTGGGCAGTGTCGATGTCCATGACATCAGAGCCCAAAGCTTGGGCAGGCTGGGAGTTGTTCTGAGAAACTGCAATGACAGTTTGAACATAATCAATGTCCATGGCATCGTAACCCAAAGCTAGCGCAAGCTGGACGTGATGCTGAGAAAATGTAGTGACAGCCTGGGCGTTCGGGTTGTACACAGGCCCCTGGAGAATGTGGTTCTCGGCATTTAAACCCAACGCCATTGCTTGATTGGAATGATCCTGCGACACTCCTTCGGGCGGACTGGCTTGCTGTTGCTGTTGCTGCTGCTCGACGTTCGACATGCCTTGCTGTGGAGCGGACCCAAGAGGGATACCGTGCTGGTTGTCGTCAAGTCCTCCCTGTGGATCATGGCTCATGGAAACCAGAATTGCTGCTGCGGGGTCTTCTTCTGACATCGTAGTAGAGTACGTCAGGCAAATTGATGACTGGTAACGACGGTACTGGCGGGAGACGAATCTCGAGATCGATAGCGGTTGTTCAGGAGGGTCCGACAACGTGTGCAAAACCAGATCTGTCCAAAAAATCTGATGACGGTCGAGATGGCGAATGTGTTGTTCATAGTGGTACAAGTCGTGGGATTGATGAACTCGTAGATCCGCCGAGGCTTGATGCCAGATCCCAGGGAGGAAAGCAGACAAGTGTCCATACTTATCAGCGTTCGAAACTTAGAACATCCGGACGCGCATGAGTGAGGCCCTTGGGGCTGCTGAGTGACGGGCATGTCGGCAAAAGAGTTGGCGTAGATTCGACTCCTGTCTGCGTGCATGAACGCGGCTCAAATAGATTCGAGCAGAATTCTCGGAAGTCCGATCCGACGCCGTCGTCATTGTCCAGACACTGCTGATGATATGTAGAAGGCACACGTGTCCCTTCGCCAATGTCGCTTGCTCCTCGTCGGTGTTGATGGGCAAAATAAAAGTCTCATGGTCGAGTCGGCCTCTCCGTTCGTTTGTCCGATCCCCCGGCGTCGCACTGCCTTTTACGGGCAGCAGCAATACCATACGGTATCTTCCCACATTCTTTCCCTCCTTCACCCCTCCTCCGAGTATCGCATGAGTTCCATGAAACCATCACTTCCGCCTTCCCCTCTTGGTTGGTCCATGCTGCAGGTAGTTTGTTCCCATCGGTTCCCATTCCATCCAAGTCTCAATTGGCATCGTCAAAGGTTCGTATAACAATCCATCTTTTTCTTCTTGTTTTTCTTTTGAGCTTCTCACTTGAGAAGAGATATGAGTACAACAAAAGCTCGCACTGGCGTCCTCCCACCATTCACTAAACATGAAGATCAACACATGAACCAAAAAGAAAAAAACTTACCTTCTACTTCTCTCCATCGCCACGGCATCGAGCGGTGGCCCTCCCCCCGATAAAGGAGTATGGTTGTGGTTTCTAGCAGTATGCCGTGCTGCAGGCCCGCGGTGGTGGTGATGCTTGAAGGGGTAATCTGGTCGCATAAGGGGTGGTGGTTTGACCTTAACGCGAAGATCAGATCGGGCGACGATAATGATGGACAAGCTGAAGATGAGGGCGAATTCTAGGCGGTTGGTTGTTGGTGAAGTGTCGTCGTCGCTCGCTTTGGTACTCTGCACGTATAGAGATGTTGTTGTTCGGTGGAAATGGAAATATTGAGGCTCAAGGCGCTGCAAGGTAAAAACGAACCGAACGAATCGTGACCGCGATTCGTGCAGTGAGTGCAGTGAACCGCCCCCGTCCGCTTGCAAAGGAGTGCCAACTCAAAAGTTTTGCCTGCCGGGAACTCAAGCCAACTTGCTAGCGCGGACACGCAGTCACGTGGATGGGTGTCGCTAGACGACTGCAAATGGGACCCACATAACCTCCAGACCGTGACAGCGTGGCTTGGCCAGAATCCGCCACGAACATGAACCAAGGAGGCCCAAGCACGTTCAGACGCGGTCTGGCCGAACAAACCGACGCGTCCCATGGATCGCTACAAAGCACTGGCGGGTGGCGATATTGAAGGTTTTAGGGTTTAGACAAGGATAAGCTTCACCAATGAACCCAAGTCTCCGAGCGAGTAATTACGATCAACTATAATCAAGAAAGAGACTACATAGCAAACGGGAGCTGTCAGATGGTCTGATAGTGAAATCGGAGACGACGATTTCGGTAGGATGTCAACCAAGTCCACCTCGTTACGAGTCACCAGATCGCAGAACTGGGGAGGACAAAAAGCGCTTGTGGATGAAATGATACTACGTTGCTACGCACTCTAATACGATCTATGTCCAAGGTGATAAGGCTCAAATTCGTTTGAGCGGAGGGTCCTGTCTTGCCTAACCAAACTCTTGTGTCATGGAACGAAGAGCAAGCCATTATCAACACCGAGATCCACCCACCCTGGAACACCAGATAATCGACCATGGCACCGAAGGATCCTCACAGCAAGGCTCTAGGTAGGTCAACATATTTCCAGTATTGTAGTCCAAGCTACCACCACGACAGCTTATCTTAAACTCGCCATCACCAACCGCAGCGTCCAAGGGACCAAGGCCCGTCTTGTTCATATCTCACGCGTCCTCCACCATCTCATCGCCCAGTTTCTCCTCCTCCGGTACCATCCTATCAACCATCCAATCCTGAACGTCCTTAAAGTGCTCATTCATCATGCGACCCAACCCGCTCACGTTGCTGCGAATGACCGAACCGAACCGGCGCTTCATAACCTTCCGGCTCAAGTCGGCATCCGCCCAGCATGCATGGTCCGCCGACACATAGACCCGAGAGTTATCCTTGTACCACGATGAAAGATCCGTGTCGACGTCCGATTTCACAGGACGGAGATTGCCGTTAACAAAATTGACGACTCCCGAGATTCGCGACTTCACGTCTGTAGGGTTTGAAGAATCGCATGTCAGTCATCAGAGCCTCAAGGAATATGGGAGAAGGAGGACACAGTGCAGAAAATCATGTACATACCTCTGTTAATGAGTAGGAGCTTGACCCCGAGGTAAGCGTTGCCGACGCCCATGAGGAAGATGTCGTCCACATTGTCGTAGAGTTGGAGGTAGTTATCCCAGATGTAGCACATGAGCTCCTGGATCTGTGCTTGTTGCGTTCGCTCGTCGACCTTGGGGGCCAATGACTCCGTGTCCTACATGTTGAGGTTAGCACGATCTTATTCTACACCTTGTCGGGCATCGTCATCCCTACCTCTGGATGTGTAATGTATTGAGGAATGTTGATATCGATAACACCAATCTTCCTGTTGATGGCCCACTGGATGTACTGCGGGATGCTGTCCGTCTATATTTTCTATTAGGTTATAGTGGCGCAACGGGCAAAAGATGTAGAGCTTACAATCCAGGAGTCGTGTGGCTGGAGACTGTTGTCAAGGGGATCTGGCTGGGCATGCAGTTCTGGTCTGTAGCAGGACGCAATTAGCTCGGTCTAGCAGGGAGGACGCAATTGCAACTTACGGGTCATGGATGACTACAAGAAGCTTGCGGGCTTCACTTGCGTTCCGCGTAACCAGCACCTGATTCTCAAAGGACTTGAATAGCACATCACGCTGGATATACAGCGGGAACATGCCAAACTTCTCCGAAAGGTTGAAGCGCTGAGCTGAGCGGACAACATCATGTAACCTCTGGCCACCTTGACTCTGCATCTCCTGGACATCTACAATGCCTGGTCGCATGCATTCCCAGTACGGCGCTTGGTACGCCTGCACCTTAGCCAGAACCCGAGCAGCCTCCTTGTTGATTTTGGGGAGATCCATCTTCGGGGGCGGTTCACCCATGAGCGTACGGGCTACGGCCAAGGCTGACTTGGAGATGGCCGCAAGGTTGTAGCCGCCTTCTAGACAGACCGCCACCTTTCCGTTGGCCAAGGACATGAGCATATGTGTCATGTGAGCGTAGCAAGCTGGCGATACAAAGCAAGCACCCAGCTCGTCGCCGTCCGCAGCGTCGAACCCGGCGGAGATGATGACAAGGTCGGGATCAAACTCGTGGGCAATCGGCATGACAATCTTTTGGAAAGCCGCCATGTACTCGCCGTCACCCATTCCTTGGTCATGCCAGCCAATGTTGACGTTCTTTCCCAAGCCTGGCCCTGCTCCACAATTCTCAATACTGCCATCTGGCGTCATCGGGTTATCCGGTTTTCCAGGGTAGAACGAGCCGTTCATGTAGACGTGTAGCGAGATATACAGGATATTCGGGTCGTCGTAGAACATGTTCTGGATGCCATTGCCATGGTGAACGTCCCAGTCCAAAATAAGTACCTTGCGGCAAATCTCGGGGTATTCGGTCTGGCAGATCTTGGCTGCTATTGGGACGTTGTTGAAGAGACAGAAGCCCATCGGGGCGTCGAACTCGGCATGATGGCCAGGCGGACGGATAACAGCGAAAGCATTCTTGACATTACCGACAACAACGCTCTTGCAGGTCTCAATAGCACCTCCAGCTGAGATCAGTGCTGCCTCGAATGTCATACTACCGACGTAAAGGGAGTCTCTCCCTTGATCCATAATGGTCGAGAGGCGCCGGAGCTCCGATGTCGGTTTTCGTGACAGATCTTCCACCCATCGGAAATGCTCAGGGTGGTGGACGATGCAGATCTCCTCCTTGGTTGCGTGTCGGGCTGGGATTCGCCACATGTACCTCCTAGGGTCGGTGCGGATGACCTTCTTGAGATCCTCATCGTCGCCAGTGAACACTAGGCCTTCCCTCTTGAATATCCTCATGATATGCTCGATACGAGACGGGTCTTCGGGATGGTGGGGGTTTGGGCCAAAGTCGGCATTTGCGTGAAGTTTCATACGATCGTCGTAACAGCATCCTGTCGGAAGGAGACCTCTTCGCTTTAGGCGAGCCGGATAGATGAAGGGATCTTTCTCATCGTCCAGTTTTTCCTCCTTCTCGTCGTTGGCTGGCGCGGACTGATCATGACCATTCGGTTCTGTTTTGGTGATGCCATTACTTGTTGCCGGCACGTCAATTGTGGCAGGATGAGTATCTTGGCCGTCCATCACGATATCATTGTCGTTGTCGACCATCTTGAAATGGTCCGTCCAGATGGACGACTATGTGAAGGATAAAAGTAATAATGCCGGTGTCAACTCTTGAAACCTACGTGACCGTATTAGTAGGACGCAACGTGAATGACTGGACAAACGAATCGAAGGCAGTTCAGGACGTCTTTTGGGATCTGACAACACAGCAAAAGAGCAGTTGCTGCTTGAGAGGTAGAGGCATGGGTGCTGCGGTAGAAATAACAAACAACGAACGAGCAGGGCAGGGGTGATCTTGGCTGTCCTTGGGCAGGGAAACCCTTAAACCGCTGGACGGTAGACATCGGAGCTTCCACAAGCGCAGATGGCAAGCAGCCGTACCCAAACCCAGACTGAAAGTCAGAGTGGCTGTGGAAGTTGAGACTGCAAGAGGCTATCGTCAAAAGAGAGAGGGTAAGGATATGTGAAGCAGTAGATATCCAACAGTCATCGTTCATAACTTCTGCCGTCGGAAGCAAGTTATCCGGGGTCTTTTCAGGAAACATAATAGGGAGGAAGAGTTATGTGTCAGGTGGGCTGCGGAGTGTGTATATGGATGATCGTGTCGACCACCGAGCGTCTCAGGAGTGAAGCGGTTATGTCAGACCTGGGCCGGACACACTTGCGCCGCGAAGCCTTCCGAACCCTTGAAGCAGAACCCCAAGACATGAATGATATGAGGATATCTTGAGCTTTCCAATGACACCTTCTCCAAGCAGATTCCGCGCGGCGTGAATGCGCGCTGCCGCAATCAAGGTGGAGAGAAAGCAAGGAAGGGGCAACACCAAACCGGCGGCCAAGATGGGGATGGAACGATGGGTGAGGGTGGCTTACCTAGCTTATGGAATAATCGCCGGGGCATGCCTTTTGGAAAAAGAAGGAAGCCAAAAATAAAACAACAAGAAAAGACCGTGTATGTAATCAAATCCAAGCGAGGTATGCGCAAAAGTGTGCCGAAAGAGAAAGGCGGAACACTGCCGAAGGATAGTGGGATGTAGAAAGTGCCCGTTCAAGTGCTTTGCTGAGGCGTTTGGGAGGACGGATCGGGAGGTGTTCAGTTTGTTGTTTGGTTGTAATTGTGGTGTTGAAGTTTAGAAGGGAATTGAGAACTAGAAGCAGCGCTGAAATGGGGCGGGAATTGGCACTGGCAATCTCGGGGCCAGGCACTACATGCCAGTTAGGTGCCCAAGGTACGCTAGGCAGGCACGCAAGGGGGCCTAGAGGTAAGTAGGCCGGAGCCTCCCGCTCTTTCCCTCACTGTTCTGGAGGGAACAGGTCCCCTGTAGCGAACTTTCACAATGAGTGAAGTGAACCCTCTATCCTCAACTCCCGTCTCTCCTCCGATATCCATGAACCTGAGTCATGACCAAAGTACTCTGAGTCGTTTTTTGCCTCTAAATTTGATTCAAAGTGTTAGCCATAGGTGTTCAACATTAGACTCAAGCCATTTGTCTTTCGCTTTAAGGAGCGACGTCCGAGGTATCGGCTCCAGTCCTTATCTCTTGTTTTCAAGAAGCACCAAACTCGCGCCAACTCCCACGCACACTACATGACTTAGACGACCCAAAGCCCCTGAACAAATGGCTAGTCCGTTAGAAACCTTGAAATTTGAGACGATGTCGCCCAAAGCTACCTTAGGATGAAACATGGTACTTTTTCTTCTCCTTGAGGAGAGTACTGAAAGTGGTGATATCATCCCAACAACTCAACGAAAGAGACACCTCCTGTTTCTTACATATCTAGAAACAACCCAAATCATAGAGCAACAATATGAGACAATTCTTCACAATGCAGCTGTATTCAAGGTAGAGTCCAGGTCCTATGTGAACCACACCTCCCTCAGAGTGTGGTTATAAACAGTCAACCCTTAGTGAGGTGAGGTGCCGAGCAAAGTACTTGCTCTCCTACCCTTCTTTGACCATCTCCTTCCAACACGACCAAGACCGGAGCCACGACGGCGTTCATCACTCAATCTTGATCTGATGTGTCCGTTTTCGAGCCAGCACCTTATACGCTGAGTGCTCATCTACCACTCGATCATGATCCTCTTTCCCAACTGTCAAGAGAGGACAGCTCCTCCGTCTCACACATCCCCACGAATACTGTAATGTTGTACAATGCAAATCGATTTCCTTTCTTTTTCCCGAACCAGACCAAACCAGCCAGTCAGCAAAAGTACAAAAAACTCCTTCATTACCCCTAAACCTAAGGCGTGTGTTGCTTTGGTGTGTCGCAAGCGAACAGACATGATGAAATCGTGTTGTGAAAAGCTCTCTCTCTCTCTTCCCCCTCCTTCTCCTTTCTCTAAGCAAAGAGCTCCCGGGTATCCAAGACATCCTTCTCCTTCTTCGCCTGGGCCGTGAGGGTCTCGAGCTTGCCGAGCCTCTCCTTGACCTGCTCCACCCTGGCGTTGTGCCTGGTCGCCTTGGCCTTGCGCAGCTCCGAGCGCACCTGGTTGGGCGAGATAAAGCGCTTGTTCTCGTAAATGATAGGGCCGCCGAACGCGCCCTCCTGTATGATGATGGGCGTTAGGACGAACCGAGGTCCGATCTCAACCAGGCTGACGTCTGTGTCCTTGAGCTCCGCGTTGGGCGCGCCCTTTCTCTTTTTCGATGATGACTTGTCGCTCTCGGGGACAATGTCGTTTCCTTCGCTGTCCTTCTCGCCCTTGGCCTTCTCCACCTCCCGGATCTCGTAGTTGCGCACCCAAATCTTGCCGTCGGCAATGCTGAAGCTCATGACGTGGTCGATAAACGGTTTTGACTTGCGCGCGCCCTGGGGGACGCCAAACATTTGCAAAAACACCTCCTTGATGACGCGGTAGTGCGGCTCTTGCTCGAAGGCGAGGTCGAAGGAGAGGAGTGGCCTCGAGCCCTTGAGGCAGTTACCTGTGAAGTGAAGCTCTTCCATGGTGTGCACTGCGCTTTCGTTAGAATCCGATTCTTTTTTTTTTTTTTTTTTTTTTTTTTTTTTTTTTTTCCACAATGCGTATCTCGGATATGGGTTGTGCTCACAGTTTTGGGCGTGGAACTTGACCGTAGGGCCGTTGGGGACCTTGCTAAACCACATGTACAGATCCTTGCCCTTGCGCGCCTCGAAGAACATGACGTTGTTGCAGTTGTAGAGCTCGGCAAGCTCGTTCAATTGGTAAAGCTTGGACTTGGAATCGAACTTGACGTCTTTGCGGCCGTGGGGGAGCATCGCTGCGAGATCGTTGAGGAGATGTCTGTGTCTGTACTCGGGGCGCAAAAGCAGTTAGCGATTGACCCTTCCTTCTTCCATATTGCAGGTATGCAGGGTCCATATGTACCTGTAGGTAACGCCTCTGGACGAGAGAATCAGAACTCTCTGCTTGTTCTTCCGGAAGCCGCCATTGGTGGTGGTGTTGTTGTCGTTCTCCGTGTCCTCGACCTTCTTGGCGCTCTTCGAGAGCGACTTGTAAACGGCGGCCATTTTCCTTTTGTTCTTGTCGTTCTTTGGGTATCAAAATCGGGCGAAGGACAAGGGTGACTGAAGTTGGTGGTGGTTGTGGTGGAAGTGATGGCAGAAAAACGGAATGCGGATTGCAAAGGTGAATTCAATGCTCCATCCACGAACGTCGCGGGCGAAGCGCAGTGATGGAGTGCAGGCTGTTCCATCTCAAAAAAAGTTCGCCGGCCAATCGCAGCCCCACTCCGATAAGCTTCTCTTATCTTACTAGCGTCCCTGTCCCATCCCCCTGCTTGGAACAGCTGAAAGGCGGTCGGCGGTCTGGGCAACCCGCATTTGTCCCACTGATGGACCCAACCTGGAATCCGGACCCCCAAATTCTGGGGATTCCATTGCCTACACACAGTCTAAGTTCCACGCGTTCTTCTCTCTTGTCTGCCCTACAGTGGGGGATGGGACTGGCCTCTTGTCCGCACTCAAACCCACTTCAATCGCCTCGGGTGACGCGATGGGAGTAGGTAACGGCAGTCACCATAATCCACCAGGCAAGCCCAGATGTCTTGATTTGTGTTGACCTTTTCCCGCTGTTGCACATAACCAATATCATAACGAGACCCTGCACGATTATCGTTACGTACTACTCACTCTCGAGGTACTCCTCTTCTCCCACATTGTGGATGCAACAGATGGAGACCTTGACAACTTGGAGCAATACCAGGTTGAGTTAAGGGCTGTTTATCGCCCATAGTTCATTTCAACTAAATAATATCTTTCGTAACCCATGCGCAAGTGATGGCTTCGTTAACCACATTGAGGAAAATTCCAACGACCAGCACGGGGGGAAAAGGGAAGAAAGGGGTAGTAGTAGTAATAACAACAAAAAGGAAAGGCTGGAAGACGAGCATCCTTTCCCCCTCCCCAAAAGCCCAAAAAATAGAGAGAAAAAGAAAAACAGACCATCCCATCGGCGACCGTGATGTAATAAGACTGGGCAGGATCCGTCCGTACTTTTCCCCCGATGCTGCTCTTCATTGTTCATCATAAGCCTCCCATTGCTTCATGTCAGACATATGTGACGCCGTTCTTGGTTCGGCACCCTGTTGTACTCTGCTGCACCCTGCACCTCAACCCTTCAGGGCCACTCGGTTCCCGGCCCGGAGAATCAAGCACCTCCTAACAGCAGCCAGACTTCGCCTGGGGGTCGTTCGCGGTCTGACTGAGCGAGATGCTCTGGCCAGACAGGTTTTGGTGTCCCTCGTTGGACCCGCTAGGGCCGTTATCGAAGTTCTTGGTCGACACGATCTTGTAGATTTCTAGATAAATGATCGCATGTTAGCGGTAAGCTCGCGCCACAGCAGCGGCTGTAGGCTTTGGGCAAACGTTACCAGTCAAAATGTTTTGGAACGCGAGCTCGACGTTTGTGGCGTCGAGAGCCGAAGTCTCGATAAAGGATAAGTGGTTTTCCTCTGCGATTCTCTCAGTCAGTCATCCTGGCGATACGGCTTTCCCGAGCGACAATGTCGTCATTGCTGTGACGCGCAAACGTACCGGCAAACTTTTTGGCGTCCTCCGTGGGCACGGCTCTCAGATGCCGCAAATCGCTCTTGTTACCCACGAGCATGATGACAATGTTCTGGTCGGCATGGTCGCGCAGTTCCTTCAGCCATCGGTTCACGTTCTCAAACGTCACGCCCTTGCTGATATCGTAGACGAGGAGGGCGCCGACAGCACCGCGGTAGTAGGCAGAGGTGATGGCGCGATAACGTTCCTGGCCAGCAGTATCCCAAATCTGTGCCTTGATTGTCTTGGAGTCGACCTGAATGGATCTGGTGGCAAACTCGACGCCGATGGTGGACTTGGAGTCGAGGTTGAACTCGTTACGGGTGAATCGACTGAGAAGGTTGGACTTTCCGACGCCCGAGTCTCCGATGAGGACCACTGGTAGCGGGATCTGCAGTCAGTAACTGATTGGCCGCCGCCGCCGTCATCGCATCGTCGCGACTGCTTCGGAGCTTCTGGGGAGGGGTATGCTTGCGGTACCTTTGAAGAGAAACTGTGACAGTCACAGGCTGGTCAGCGCAAGCGGGCGGAATAAAGGGGGCACGTCCTAACAAGGATATCGAATCGACGCAAGATGGATGATAGGCAGGCGGACGGCAAGAAAGAGAAGGCGGGCTTACATCGTACTCGTCGTTGGCCATGGTTGCGGTGTGTGATGACAGAGGTGCTGGAGGCAGAGGGTATGCTGGAATTCGCAGAGCTGGCGATGGGCTGAGGCAATGTCTGGCAAGTGGTTGTCGCGTTGATAGTTGTACTGTATGCAGACAAAGTCAAGGGCAATGCGATGTATGTGAGTTCGGGTTCGATCAGTGGTGGTGTCCAGGAGAGGCAGGGCCAAGGAGGGCGGTGCGGCTCCCCTCGAGTGGGTCCGAGTTTTTAGCTAAGGTAACCAAGTGCAGCCAGCCAGAGGGTGCTGCAGTGCCCCTGAAGGGAACGAACGAATGAATGGAATGCGCCTGAAGTCACATTTGCAGTGAGCCACGGCCCCCTCCATGGGCGGGTGAAGAGACCGGGCTGTCAATGGACGCGGGCTAGACGGCGTAATATTGGAGGGTCAAAGAGCTGCGACAGTAGCGTTAACGGTGGACTAAGTCTAATGCCCGAGCCTGTCCTGGTGCGGACAGCGGTGGGCCAACAATCCAGGGATCGCGGACGGCTTTGTCTAGGTACCTACCTCTACTATCCCAGGACAATGGAGATGACCGTTTTGTTTGGGCCAGTAAGGTGGTGGTTGGGTGTCACGGGCACTGGAAGCTCTTTCAGGTATCAAGCGCCATTCAGGCTACCATGGAAGTACCTTTGAGGTCTTTACCTAGGTAGGTCTCCTTTCCTCGAGGTTTTCTTGCGGCAGTCAGTCAAGATGACGCGCCCCGAGGAAGAGACGAGACATGGACGACATCGAGTTATTGACCTTTGGCAATTCCACACATCCGCCGGCATTGCGGTGGCCATGCTCTGGAATACATTAACTTGATGTGTTCTAAGAAAACCCATAAACCCTTTTATGGCTTATCCTTTGTGCTACTGCCCTCTCTTTCCCATTTCCACTTCCTCGTATGCGCTCTTCCCAATCCCTCCTGTCTATGACATTCAATGAGCTGCCAGCCCCCCCTTGGGACCTCCACTTACGCCCTTTTACTAGGTATCGACTTGTTACTTCGATACCAGCTGTCTTCTCCCGTCTTCCTACCTTAGCCAAGACCACAGCTAGGTAGATGGAATGGCCGAAAAGGGTTCGTACATACCTAGTACACAGCTTACTTTCACGTGCATAGACTTGGGCACGAACGGATAGCATAGACGTACGGAATCCACATAAGCGTAATGGTCCAAACACAGTAACCATCCAGGGATTGGCATGGTCTCTGTCTCTAATCTTTGGTTAAATATCTTTATTCTTTTCTTCCAAATCCAACTATATTGACAGCAATAACGGCGCTTAGTGTGCTCATTCGCTTGCAACCAACCAAGCACATTCTTATCCCTAGAGCAGATCTAATGCATTATTGTTCCCACACTCAATCGCCTGTGCAGTCTTGGCAAGAGGTGTGTGTGCGTGCACACACACATACACACCGCACTTCTGTATTGCACAACTTCGTTAAAATTCATTATTTTACAATAATTTCTATATTAATTTGAAGCCATTTTAACGTATAAAGTAATTATAATACTAGTAATTAATTAAATCTATCGCAATAATACCTTCTAAGATAATCCTCAATTTAAAACCCGCCGGTATAAAACGATTCCGTATTCGAAGTAGCGCGTTAGTAATCTACTTCGACGAAGATTAAAATTAAAAAGATCCTAGCCTAATAATTCTATAATATACCTCCTCCCGCCCTAAAAAGAAGAATTGTAAAGCCGAATAATTTATTAAAATTATCCCTAAAATTATTCTACTTAAGAAGAAGGCTATTCCTATTAAAATTACCGTTAAGAAGACTATTATTAAGATTACTATTAAGAAAGGGAAGGCTACTACGCTAAAGCTAGTCCTAATCCCAATCCTAGAGCCGCTATTATTCCCCCCTAAATTTACAATACTTATTAAGATTTTTAATAGCGAAGAGGATACTAGCGACAATAATAAAATTAAATAATAATTCCCCGTCTGCTTTACCCCTAAGAAGCGGGCTTTTAATATTTTATTTTATTTATTAGGCGATAATAATAGCGAGGTAGCCTCCCCGATTAAGCTAATTACTTCGGCGCTACCGGCCTAACCCTACGTTGCCCGTAAGCCGGTTATTATAGTATTACTGCCGCTATGTTCTAAATACCTTAATTCGATATAAGTCTAATTTAATATAGTCGGTTTATATATTACTACTAATTGTACTAAATTATTTATTATCGAAGAATATAATTTATTTAGAAAGGTTAAAGTTAAGTAAAATAACGGCGAGCTTTATAAGTAGCGGTTTAGGACGATATTATTTAATAAGATCCTATATATATAGCGAAATTATATAGAAGATATTATTAGTAATAATATAATTGTAGGGATAAAGTAGTTAGTCTCTTTATATAACGTTATATATATTACTGTTATTTATGATAACTGTTGCGCCCGGGTTATTATATATAATAAGATTATTCTTAGGAAGGATTTTTATAATAAGTATAATAATATTAAGTACGAAACCGTTATAAAGTCGTACTTCTACTATATTAGCTAGTACTATTATTTTACTATATTATTTAAATTTCAGTTAACCAACCCGCCCGTTAGTAAAATCCTAATTACCCTATCCTCCTATAGTAGTATATTTTTTACTTTTACCCCTTCTTGTAGTTTAATTAATCCTTTTATTACCCTAACCCTACGAACGGTCGATACGCTATTATTACGAAGGTTATGGACTCTAATTGGTATTGAGAAGTTTAAGCGTATTATAATAAATACTATACTAGTAGAAGTTAAGAAGAATCTAGAGGAGGATTAGTAGTGAGAGGAGCGTACGAGGGTAAAGCTATGTGGTATTATATATTAGGAGTTGGTATAAGTATAGGCGTATAGTCTTAGCTATAAGTATAAGAATTATAATAAGGCTATTAAATATTAAATATATTACGTTATAGATAGGAATATAACTTATTATAATTTTAATATTAAAAATATAAATAAGTAGGTACGCGCTATATTGCTAAGGAAGGTTACGGTAGTTAATCTACTATTTAAATTAGTATGAGATATATTAGGTAATAAAGTAGTAGCCGCTTTTAGTATTGGCGATAGTAGTAGTAAATATAGGGGAGGAGGTAATAATTTACTAGTTAATATTAATATTATTAATAATATTAATAACGGTAATAATAGTACTAATATAAAGATTATAAATAGTTTACTATAAGCTACGTTAAGGAGGGACGATTTTAGAAGTTTATATTAACTATACCCTCCTTCCCTATATCTATTATACCCGCTACTATACTAATATTTCCCTCTCTATTTTTAATATCCCTAAATCCAGTTACCTTATACCGCTGGTAGCTTTATTACTAATTTAATAATTGCTAGCGGTTATAATTATAATATAGTAGGCGCTCTCCCCTTACCGGGCAAAACGGTAATTATTAATTTATATACGCTATTAGAGTATTTTACTACTGTATTTTATAGGTACCCGACTAATTATAAAATTCTTGCTACTAGGCGCGCTAATATTAATACTAACCCTTCTCCTATTTCTATAGCGATTACAATCTTTATTTAGTTATTAGTACTATTATTAATTGTATTGCTATTAATAGCGGGCGAGGAGGATGAGGGTAAGGAGATTAGAGATTCCTTAGTGGAGGTTAGAGAATTCTCTATACTACGTCCGTCTATACTTTCGATTCTCGGTTTTTATTCGTTACTACCACCCCCCGCCCCGCTTAGTCGGCTAATTAAAGAGATTATTACCGAATTCTTTAAAGCGTTCTATAAGTATTACTATATTAAATTATTAATTAAAATAGTACTAATATATAGAGTTTTAGTCGTTTTGAAGAATAAATTCCGGAATAAGAAGGCGCTGCCCGATATATTCGTACTTAGAGAGTAGCCGGTAGAATAATTTATAAGGTTAGAGTTTAATTATAATTTCTATACGGTATTTAGGAATAGTATTAAAGACTTCTTTAAAATTGAGTATACGGTACTAGTAATATAGTTAAACTATAGTAAATATACCCTCTAACCCCTATTACTATAATTTAATTAATTAGTATGTATTTTAGACCTGCAATTTAATATTATATTCGAGTACAGCGTTGCTAGAGCTTTTATTTCTATAGTAGGTAGTACTATTATTAGCGGTCCTAGTAAGTAATAATAATATTATAAATTAATTTATAGTAAAAGAGGGGGGTTTTTAGTATTTTAGTATTATTATATAGATAAATACGATTTCTAGTACTTTTAGTACTTCTAGTATTTCTGGCATTTCTAGCATTTTTAATATATAATTTAATTTAATATATATAAATCTATCTCTCCCTTCCATACTCTCTACCGCCGTTTAAATATAGTACCCGTCTTTCTATACTCAACTAGCTCGTTAATATATAATTCGCTATACTCTTTATTAATATTATTAAATTAATTTATTATTAGTTTTACATTTTTAAAATAATTATAGATTTATTATATTCTATGCCCCACATCCTATATTAATCGTTTAAGAAATGTAGTAAAATTGTCGTTTAATATTTTATTACTACTTTTATTACGATACACCCTTTTGAATTACCGCTTGAAATCGCTAAAATATACTTCGATAGGGTTGAATTCGGAAGAGTATAGTAATAGATACTATAATAGAACCCCCTTCTAATTATATACGTATTGGAGTTCGGTACGGGAATATTAACTAATATTATTTATTATTAAAATATTATTACAATTGGGAAATAGATTTATTTTAAGAAGTAGGCATTTTACTATTTAATTCTAGACCCTAACCGAATCCGTTATACCTTTAAATACTAATATATTAAGTAGCCTATTTATTATAATAATTAGGAGGAAGTAATATTACGTACTATATACGAATTTACTTAATATTATTGTAATAGCACCGCAGGGTACCTAACTAGTACAATGAACGCTATTCCTTTAGTTTATATTAAATTTATTATAGAATATAAATATTTTTATAATAAATAAAGAGATTTTTAATATTTATTCGGCTATTAATATAGGGGATTATTATAATACTTTTATATAGAATCGCTTCTTCTTCTACTTCTCCTATCGAAGGTACTACTGTATAATTTCGGTTGAAATATATATATTATATTCGTTAATTAGAAAGGTATAGATTTCGTCGAAGTATAAATCGGGTTTTAATACAAGGAGGTTTATAATTTCCTATACAATATTAATTATAATTAATAAAATATAGGGAGTAATATAGTATATATTGTACTTTAAGCGCTTATATAGGAAGTTTTCTAGTATTTTAGGAAGTTCGTAACGGTAAAAATACTTTACTAATATCCGATAGAGTACGTTTATATTTCTACGTACTCTTTATATTTATATTAATAGTCTTAGCGATATTGTTGGAATATTTATTATTTACTAGTATTATTATTATTAATACCTTCTAGCGGGTATTAGGGTAGTGTACTATATTAATAACGGTTTAAAAGATAATGTAAATATTAAAATAGATAATTGTACGACGTAGAGTATTAAAATATCGATTTTTTATACTAGTTTTGGCTAGATTTCGATATTAAACGATCGAGTTGAGTCGTGTAAAGCGATGTTAAATGGCTAGATTTGTCAAATGCGGTGTGTGTGTGTGCGCGCACACACACCTCTTGCCAAGACTGCACAGGCGATTGAGTGTGGGAATGGTACACTACACAGCTGTAGCAGTGCTAAATCAAAAAGCCCAACGAAGCTGATTTCAACAACGAAGCATTGGATATACTTACCTTTAGGTAATGGCAACACCAAAGCTATCAGATGCTTCCACCTGGTTGACGACCTTCAGCCAACACCGCGGTCACTCTTGCAGTTTTCTTGTGCCAATGGCTCTTTCTTTGCACCTTCCCTATTCTGATACTATTAGATACCGTTCGTCTACCTCCACTGAATGGTACCTGACACTAGAGGTACCTCTACGGGAAATAGTGGGCCACTCAGTCTAAACCCCACCTTCACCACCACGTCCAGTCTCGTCTTTGTTCATCGCGTCCAAATTCCTTCCTCGTTTTTTTTCACAACTTTCCGTCTCCATGGGAAACCCCTTCTTCCAAACATCCATCTTCAGTCGTCCTAAAACATCGCCAGAAAAGGAGGTTCAGATCAGAAACACTTGTCCAAATACTGCGTTCTTCCAAGTCCGCCGGAGCACAAGGTACATGGCAATATTGTCGCCAATCATCATCTGAACGTCATTTTTTC